TTATCCAGTGAACGTAAGCTCCTCTATGTTCGGTTTAGGCAAAAAAATGCATGTACAGAGTTTTTACCGAGTTTTTTAAAAACTCGGTACATACGTTTTTTTGCCTAAACCGAATGTAGAGGAGCTGATGTAATAAAAGTTCTTCTAGAAGACGCATGTGCCTCTCTCAACTTTATTCTTCTCCTTCCGACCACGCTAATTTATTATATAAACTTGTTCAAAAGTCCTCGGATCTCAATGAGCTTTCCCCACCGGTTCACCTGTGATCCGTAGACCAGAACGGGTTATGCACACACCCATCAATGCCCACCGTCTCAAACCTCCACCCTAATTTTTTTTAACTCAAAAAAATTACTACTTAAAAGAAGGGTGCATTTATCAAAGTTTCCTCCGCGAAACCTAAGAGGAAATCATTGAAGTTAAAAGCACCTCAGTGTAGAGAGAGGGAGAGAGGGAGAGAGAGAATGGTACACGCAAAGACGGACTCGGAGGTGACGAGCATCGCACCTTCGTCGCCGACAAGATCGCCGCGGAGGCCGGTGTACTATGTTCAGAGCCCCTCTCGAGATTCCCACGACGGCGAGAAGACGACGGCTTCTTTCCACTCAACTCCGGTTCTGAGCCCAACTGCTTCTCCTCCGCACTCACATTCCTCGGTCGGCCACCATTCCCGCGAATCCTCCTCCACCCGCTTCTCCGGCTCCCTCAAACCAGGCGCTTCCCGCAAAGTCACTCCCGATGGCGCTGCCGCAGCCGGCCGCCGTGCTGGCCGTCACAAATCCGAAAAACCCTGGAAGGATTGCGATGTCATTGAAGAAGAAGGCCTTCTCGATGACGGGGAAGATCGCCCGCATGGCCTCATCCCTCGTCGCTGCTATTTCCCTGTCTTCATCCTCGCCTTTGCCCTTCTCTTCTCCTTCTTCGCCCTAATCCTCTGGGGAGCCAGCCATTCCCAACGGCCCAAGGTTTCGATGAAGGTACTGTTCCTCAATTTTCAGTATTAGTTTATCCTCCTCGTTCTCCTAATCACTCACCTCTCCCTATATTCTTATATGAAAATGTCGTACAGAGCATAACATTCGAGAATTTCATGATTTCGGCTGGAACAGACGCGTCGCTGGTACCAACGGATTTGGCGACCCTGAATTCAACTGTAAAGATGAGCTTCCGCAACACCGGAACCTTTTTTGGTGTTCATGTGACCTCAACCCCGCTCGATCTATCTTACTATGAGCTCTCCCTCGCCATTGGCAGCGTAAGTTGTGAATTTCAAATCTTCTCTAATTTCTCGGCTAGTTTAATGATCGATTCATCGGAAATTTTCGATCTCTGGCAACCAGATTAAGGAATTCTATCAATCGAGGAAGAGTCAAAGGAATTTAAACATTGTGGTTTCTGGAAACAAGATTCCTCTCTACGGTGGATCTGCGAGTCTCAGCGCTCCGACGGCCGGAAAGAATGGAGCGGTGACGGATGCGCCGCCGGTTCCCCTGACGCTGAGTTTCAAGGTGAGATCTAGGGCTTACGTCCTTGGGAGATTGGTTAAGCCCAAATTCTACACGAGGATTCAGTGCAACGTGTTGATGGATCAGAGCAAGCTCAACAAGCCACTCTTCCTGTAAATCTCATGATTGGACTCTAAGTTCCTGCAAACGTCTGATCCCTCCAACCCCGATCTTCACCCAAGATCCCATAGCCCCATCTAAGGGAATCTCCAACCGAAAAACTCATTTTTCACTCCAAAATGCAATAATACACCAAAATGCAGTAACTTGTCTCCAACCGAACTCCATGTTCTAACACCAAAAAAAGAATATTCCTAAATTATTTCCCATATTTCATTTTATATAATTTTCAAATTTAAAAAAAAACAAATGGCGGGTGAACAGTGCGACGCCAAATATGGCGTCGCACTGTTCATTGGCGAGTGGATGCACATTTCGCGCTCGGTTGGAACGAATTCTCCACGGCAAACGATCGTTTGCGTATCCGTTGGAGATGCCCTTACTATGTTATTGCCCGTAATTGCAAACAATAAATAAATTTTAAAAAATAATAATAAAAGAGAAGTAGCGATGTCCCGTAAAATATATAGTCAAAAACTCAAAATTTACCTGCTTATTACTAAAAAATATATTATTTATATATTTACTATCTATATTTAATATTTAAAAACGTAATGTTCGATAAATATTTATGAAATTCTTGCTGAAATCCTTAGTGGACAGTGCTTGATGCGTAAGATAAAATAACCTTATAATAAAATTTTATCTGATAAATTTATGTCATTTATGTATTTACTTTTTAATATAATTTTGATATATAACTTTGCCTCTTTTTCCTGTATAAAGTTTGGGCCAGACACAACTACTGTCCAGAGACGAATCAAGTGCAGCCACGTCATCCGGTATCGAGTAGTATCAAACTTGGTACTGAGCAGTACCGAGCCGCGGTACCATGTAGGAGGTGACATGATGCATTTTCATTGAGCTCTGGACGACGTTCGGCATCCGCACATAATAATTTCACTAGAGCATAAACCTAAGAAGTTATAATAATTTAATTGTCTCGAACTTAATAAATGGGGGCCAGAGGGCTATAAAATCACATAGCTTCTCTCTTCTTCTCTCTCTTCTGTTCTCTACTTTTGTTGGACAATTTTCTAAGTATGGTTAAGATATCATCCATGAATCATTGTCCAAATAAAATAGAGAAGCCAAAATAATTTCTCAAAATTGTTGAGAAAACAAACAAAGGATTAAGAGGAAGACTCAAAATTTTTCGTGTGAATAATAAATTCTGATATTTCATTAAATGGAGATTCTTTTGATATTTTAGATTTATGAATTTATTCTGGCCGTGATCATAAGATATAATTTGAATGGGAGCAGACAACTTGAAGGACGAGTTGTGGTCCAACAATAAGGGGCTATTTGGTAATAAATATTAGTATATTTAGAGTAAATTAAATACAAAAATTTTAAATTTTAAAATGTTTTATTGAAAAAAAAAAAGTATTTTTTGAGAAATCGAAATTCTATATCTAGTTTATTTTTGAGGTATTTAAAATTCAGTCGAGTAGACTAATTTCAGCATATGTGAAGTTTAGCTGGTCGCTGACCACCATCCGCCACCATTGTCTCGCTCGCTGACCGCCACAATTGCTTGCCACCATTGTTGTCCACTTTTCGCCGTTAATATTGTCCTCACCCAAAAATAGTTTCTTTATTTTGCAAGCAACCAAACATAAAAAAATTAAACACCTGAATTTCTTTAACAATCAACTAAATACTACATCAAAGTAATTAAACTCTTGCAAAATCAAGTATTTCCTATCAATACGCAGTAGCTCACTTTGATCTGTAGGTTGCGAATTTTGGCTATCAACCAAGAGGTCTTAGATTTGAAACTTGAGTATATGATGTGTGCATGAATTTGTCTTAATTAACAAAAAAATTCAAAAAAAAAGTACATATATGTTTATTAATTCACATCTAAATATAGAACATAAATTCATACCCACATAGCCATACATTTTAATTTGGTCTTAAGCTGATTTAATCATAATCAAACTTAGGCTTCATTTGAGACAATTTTCTTTCTGCTTCTTAAAGCAGTTTTCTAATATAAAAATTTTAATTTTTATACAAAAAAACTGCTTTATGAAATAATAAGAAAACCGTCCCACATGAAGCCTTAGTTTATTGGCTTCTATTCAGTTAAACTGTACAAAAACTCAATCTAATTTCCGACCAATTTATGATCTAAGACCTAAATTTACAGCCCTACTCTCAACCCACTGGACTCATTAATCAACTCAACTGTCAAATAAATAAATAATTAGTACTGCAGCACCTACTACTTTGTCTCGTCATTCTATCCATCAAACCAGGTGGTAAATAGCCTTTAAGATATGAAGCAATTCTCACCAATCTCAGCACAGCCATTCCCACAACATTCAAGCTGTGCTACAAGAAGCAGAGCAGCCTTTAAAACATCACTAAAGCTTTAATATTTACTCCACATGATAATTCCTCTTCAAACTTGTAACTGATATGTTAACACTAATGCATTACATATAGATTTAGTATGTATTTCTTCACAATTTTGTTTATCATGCAGCTTTTATGCTTCTGTTGAAGTAGAATGTTTTTGTAATTTAATTTTTTTTTGTTGAGAATAAACTATTTACAATCAAATTTATTGAAGTATGATAATTATAAGAAAATTATTATCTGATTGTTTCAAGAAGGAGAAAAACCTAAGATAGATACCAAAAAATGTTAAGAACAATAGATCTATAGCTTATTTTGGAGACAACTACAGCATCCATAAAGATACCCAAAATGTTGCAGCTATAAAAAGAGCTAATGTTCTACCATTTCTAAAGAGGGATTTGCACGCATATCATTTTGTATCATGTTATTTACATATTTAACATCTAAAATTTTAATATTTCATATCTATCATCCATAGATAACTTTAAAATCAAATATGTCATTCCTATATTTCAGTCCTACCACCTATAGTCCCATACCATCCTATAAACTTTAATATTTCATTCATTGCGTTGGTAGACATGAAATATTAAAATTTTAGATGTTATATATATAAATAATATGATATAAAGTGATATGTATGTGATCGCTTTGAAAAAATCCTTTAACAAGTGTGAACCTTACTCTCAGGAATTTACGATTCCCTTTAATTTTTTCAGAGGTAGATTGGGTGTAATATTTAACCAAATTTCTCATGAGAGTAGTGTTAAAATTTATTTAGATATGAGTTCTGCTTCTTATGAGCGCAAGCCCTCATATTTAATTACGTCTCCTAACGCATTGGAAGAACACTAATGATTATGGCTAGCACTTTTTAAAAGTACTAATGATTATGATGAGCACTTTCTAAAAGTAAACCCAATTAAAAAATCTTTTAGGCCAAAAATTGCCTCAGAAATTTCATAATTAGAATGGGCTCATAGATTAGTATCGAGTCAAATATCTAATAATTAGACTAATCTCACGCAAATCGAAGAAAAAGACCCATTCAAATGCAATGTCTTTCTAACCCTTCATTAACTTTTACTAAAAATATTAATAGAACTGCCACGAAACTTAAACTAGATGCTCAATCATGTCGACTCAGTGGCAAGCAAATCAATTTGAAAAGAAAATGCATCACATTAAGGGACCAGCAGATTGATGGACTGAAATATAAATATTACAACATTTTAATTGTCATTTTATTTATATTTAATCAAACCATATGTAGAAGAAGAATCGAAGAAATTCAACATATTCCAATAACTGAAAAGAACCAAACACAGAGAAACTCACACAAGCAGCAACTAGCAATTCTACCACCCAACGTTCCCAAATCGACAAACAGAGAGTCCAAACAAGCCACATTCCGAACAAAGATGAAAGAACCAACAAATCGGACCGAAAGAGAGATCAAGAGATGTCGGATCACCTGCGGCAACGGGAAATAGCGTTGCATCCGCGAGTGTAAGGGTAAACGGGCCCTCTCGAGCGGTAGCAGTTGTGGGTGTAGTAGGATCGGCCGGAGCGAGGCGGACAGGGAACGCGATTGGCCGATAGGGCGCCGTACGAGATGTAGTAGTGCGCGAGGTGTCGCCGGCGCCGGAAGAGCGAGCGCCGTTGGAATCCGCTTTCGTCGGCATCTCCGGTGATATCCTCGTCGGGATCGGAGCCGAATGAGTAGGGGTAAGCGAAGGCGGCGCCGGGCCAGTCGATGGAGTCGGTGATGAGATGGAGGCTGCCGGGATCCACTTGGGCATTGGCATTGCCGGCGAGGGAGGAGATGGATATGAGGAAGAGCAGAGCGGCGAGGAGGGAGGAGGCTGTGAATGCCATGGATTCACGGGTTAGGAGAGAGAGGAGGGGAGGAGGTGGGGAAGAAGTAGAGAAGAAGTACTGTGAGCTCTCATGTGACGACAACGTGAGGGGCGCAGGCACTTTTACTCGGCTTTCCTGTGGCGGTTTGTATGGCGTGTCAGATGGTTGAGCATTGAACAATTATCGAAGTTTTTAGTCGTGCAGGCCAATGATAAGGAGACATGTGGAAATAATTAGCCGTTTGCTGTTTGTGGGATGCATAAGATGGCGGGGATATTTCGTGAGCCGTGCGGCGCAGTTCAATGTGATGACTGATAGGAATCATACACTGGATCGGGACCATCCGGTGGGGTGGTAATGAGAATAAGAAAAAAGAAGAGTAATTAAAATAAAGTATTTTTTATTTTAGTTATTTTTATAAATATTATTATTGAGTGCTTAAATATTTGAGTATATAGGATATATGTTTTATATCTCAGTGTTACAAAAAAATTAAGATGCATATATAAAATTAGTAAGACCTTAAAAATTTTATGCGAAAAATTCAGAAAAGAAAAATATCACGTGATTTGATCCAATTGAAAAATTAACTATGTAGTAAGTGATACACGAATCATTCTTTTTTCATTGTTAAAGAAACAAGGGTTTAAATAAACGTCTGATTTTTTCTGAGGGAGATTAGAAAAATCAAGTACCCACGGAGTGACAGTTAACATCCAACAATAAGGTATTATTTTTCGATATGGATTATAAAAAATAGATATCCACGAGAGGAAAGATATACCCAACAATAAAATTAATATTGTTGGTATTCTAGAGATTGTGGACATTTCTAATGCTGATCATTGGTGGCCATGGTGGCTGTCGGCGGCAGTAACTGAAGGGGTCATCGACGGCGATGGTTGTAAAATGTAAGAGAGATTTATCTATTTCTCTCTATTCTTTCTCTCATGTGGAGACTGCGCTATATTTATAAGCTTTTTTGGATGAACATTTTGATAATTTAAACCATAATCCAAAACATGTCATTGTATGACCCATTTCCTTTAATTGTATACCTTTTTAGGCTTTTGTCATATGAGGTTTTATGCACACGTGTTCATTATGAGACATTTACCTTTAAAGGTGTTTGAATATTCTTAAACCTTATGAGACTTTTATCTTATGAGGTTTTGAATGAGTGGGGATAGGGGGGTGTAAATGAGTTGACTTGAGAAGGAGTCATGCCTACCTCGAGCTCGACTCGTTAGTCAAATTGTGAGCTCGAACTTGAGTTGAGCCCAAAATGCCAGCTTGTGCTTGACTCATGGTTATATAAACAGGCTGGCAAGTGACGCCATCTGATTCCGTCAGAGATGATGAAGGCGTGTCGTCGCTATATATTTTGTTGTTGCGTGAGAAGGGGAGAGGAATTCGCTACATATTTCATTGTTGTGTGAGAAAGGGAGAATAGGAGGCAAAATAGCTTTTTCTTGGAAAGATAACCAATGAACATATACTTTATTTTTATATTTTGAAAATTGCTTTAATATCATTAATGAAGAGCATCTTTTTTGGTGAACCAATACTATTTTTTTGGGAGTATAAGTCTATTTTGATTTATTTATAGAAAAAATTTATTTGTTGATTAATTTAAGTAAAATAATTCAATTAATCAAATAAATATGAGCCAGCTCGCGAGCCGAGCCTCATTGAGCTCAAGATTAAGCTCGAGCTCATGGCTTGATAAGCTCGACTCGCAAGCTCGTTATCGAGTCTAGCTCGAGCCTACTCGCAAACTGGCTAGGCTCACTTATACGCCTAAGTGGTGACCATATTAACCGATTGCTCTCATGGAGTCTTTTTGTGAGGATCTTGTCCACTACTAGCTTCCTTTAGAGGCTATCTCATATGCATGTCTTTCTGATGTTATGAGTGGAGAGTGGAGACCCTATTTACCACTTATCCTCATGGGATCTTTTTAGTGAGGATCATGCCCACTGTTAGCTTTCCATGGATGCTACCTCATGATAATGTCTTCTTGGGTTTTTTACTATATACAATATTTCTTTACATAAAGTTTCATTAATAATACAAATAAAACTTACTTGAAAGATAAAACAATAAAAAAATCTAAAGAGTTAGAATCCTTTGAATAATTTCAAATAAGAAGGTTCTCTTAATCCATGACTCTTCTAATCTTCTCTATTCTAAGGCTGATGATCTGTAAGTTGCTATTGTAAATAATGACTTGAATACTCTTATCAAAAAGATGTTCAATTTCCTCCTTTAATTAAAAGCATTTTTCAGTTGAGTGCACTTTTGAATGGTAGAAGTTAAAGTATTAAGATTGATCTCCGAAGTTTAGATTCTTGAAGGGCATCGATCACTTGAGATGTTCAGAATTTTTAATATTCATCAAAATATTAGTTATTGATGTATTTAAAGCGGTATAGTTAGGTGACTTTGAACTAATTTGGTGATAATCATTTTTTGACTTTTCCTTCCTTCGTTTGAATTCTTGTGAATTTTTACGTTTTGAAGAGGATTGCTCAAACTGCTTTCAATGAGCAATGAGGGCTTCATCTCCAGTTATTTGAGCTTCTACTAAATGAATCGGATCAGTGTATGAGCGAATAGTCTCTAACATTAATGGGAGTAGAACAGTTCAGGTCGAAGAATTCTTAGAAAAGCATCTCTTAATAATTCATGATTTATTTTTGGAATTTAACGCACTTCAAAGAAAATCTTCTAAAGTATTCTTTTAGTGTTTCTCTCTCATTTTGACGAATCACAGAAAGATAGGAGTCATTGATAATTCTTCGATTTGCAATGAATTGTTCAATAAAAAGTCTGACAAACTTGGTGAAGTTATGGATAGTATTTCTGGAGAGTTAGTATAAACAAGTGTGAGCTTGACCCTTAAGAGTAATAAACAACAGAGTTAAATCTTGTTAGTATTGTGGAGATTGTGATTATTTCTGATGCTGATCGTCAATGGAAATAGTGATTGTTGGCAATAATACCTATTGGTTGTGTCGTTGGCGGTGATGACTGAAAAATGCAAGAGAGCTCTCTCTAGTTCTCTCTATTATTCGTCTCTCTCATGTGGAGAATGAGCTCTATTTATAGGCTTATTTGGATTGACATTTTGGTAATTTGAATTGGAATAAAAAATACTTCATTATATGGCCATATTTTTTCCTTGATTGTGAAACATTTATTTAGCATTCAAGCACCTTAATGATATCATAGTTGAGTGATCTTGGACTTGTTGGATTCGTCTCGTCGAGCTGCTCGATTCAATTATAAGCATGTCTAATTTGTAAATCATTTGGTAATCCAATTCATGATCTGAAACTTTCAAATATGCTTTAAGCCATTGATTTGAGCCCATTTAGGCTCAAATTAGATTGATTTTAGTGTCATTGGGTTCATCTTATCAAGACATTAAGTTTGACTAGAAATTTGATAATATTGAAATTCGGATGCTCCAAAATTTAATTTTGAAAATTTCCAATTCAATATGCCCAAGATTGTGCCTGATTATGATGACATTAATTATAATTACTTATTTAATAGCATAAATAACATCTAATATAGTTTTTTCCTATATATATAGAGGCCTTTTGGATGAAAAAAAAATGTATTAAAGCTTTAAAAGAAGTTTGTTAAAGGAACCTTTTTTGGTTTTTCTCCTGAGAGCTTTTTTTTTTTTTTAATGAAAATTCTTTTGGCATGCTTAAGGTACTTTAATTGAATGAATAAATAAATCATTTGACATCTATTAAATTAAATGATCTTAAGTTTTTTTTTTTTTTTTTACCATTTGACATCTGCTTAAGGTACTATTAATTGAATGAATAGTTTTTTCCACTATTGTATAATTACAGACAATAAAGTAGTATGAAATTTCAGCTTTTTAAACAAGCAATGGGTGATTAAAACTGTAGAACATACAATAAATCAAACCCAAAATGTACCTTGATGCAGATAACATATCCTACAGAGTTTAACAGTTCAAAACTTTACACCATTCAGGTTCCAGTTTGATGTTTTTCAGCTCTTATGATGACCAAAAGTGAAAATTTTGCTTCAATCCCCTTCCTCAACCTACAACTTCGGAGAGGCAAAGCTTTCATATCTTAAGACTCCATATAATAAATAGGATTTTTCTCAAATCTAGAAGGAGGAGAGACACCCAAACCTCTTCCTAAACACCATTGATTACGCATATTATGAATCATAAGAAAGACACATGCAGAATCATTGAATAAGACACAACAAAAGATCTTCCAGCTCAATTATGCCATGGAATTTTCTCAGAGTCGGACAATTAGTTTTACTGGAATCAAACGCATTAATCCATGAAGAGCTTCATATATCCAAAAAAAAAAAAAAAATCTCGCTTCTGAACATAAGATCCTCGTAAGAAATTCATATATCAGTACTGTATCATCCACAATAATTGCATTAATAGATAACAACAATACAATAGAAATGCGTCACATGCCTTTCAACAATATCATGTAAATCAAATATTCCTACGATGCATTGTTCCCACTCTTAACAAGCTGACAAATGCAACGTACAATCTCTGAGATTTAAAACCTCAAAAGATTTTCTTCTTATAACCAACCTGGTAATGCACCAATATTTACATTATAGAACAATACCAATTGAAGATCACAAACTGGAATTATTTCCAGATCAGTAAGATATGATTCATGTTTGGACACAACATCATACAAGCTGAAGAATCTAAGGTCAAAAATAGAAAAAAAAAATTGGGTTAGGATGGTTCCACAAAGTTTTCTTTTGAGACCTTTAGATCAATTAAGGCAAACTCATACACAAATCACATATGTAAAACTCGAATCCGAGACCTCTTAGTTGGTAGTCAAAGCACCAACCAACAGACGAAGGAGAGTTGCGTATGGCTCCGCAAAATTGTTGAAATTTATTTTAAGATGATTGTAATACATAAATAATTAATCTAAATTTACATTACATTCATCTCAAAATAAATTCAAAGGTATCCTAACTACAAATTAGATAAGGATATCATCATCGAAATCATACCAATCCTAGAACAATCTAAAAAGATGCTAAACTGTAATGAACAAAAGGTCCAAACCATAAAATATCACTAAGACAATGAAACATTCAGACATGTACAGCATTACATAGCACATATCTTCATTAATCCCACACGTTATGGTTATCAACTCAAAAATTGTGTATAACAAAATAAGAAAAACCATTACTTACTGTAACAAGTTACTAGAAGATGATCCGACTGCTATAAAAGAAAAAGTAAGAGTGTAGAGTTAGAAGAAAACAAACGGACATAAGTTAATTATCATCATTGTTAGGACAATCTCTCGCAAGATGCTCAGGCTCCCCACAGTTATAGCATCCCCTTACGCCACCAGAGTATCCGCCGATACTAAAATTTACAAAGTTTGCTCTTTCTTGTTTACAATCCCTCTTCAAATGCCCACTTTGTCCACAATTATAGCATGAGCCTCCAAATCCTCGGCCATTGGAGCCACTAGTTTGCTTGCAATCCCTTGCCAGATGCCCTGATTGCCCACAGGTATAGCAAGCGCCACCTCCTCCTGCCTCTCCTTGATAGCTTCGAGGGCAATCCCTTGCCAAGTGTCCATTTTTCCCACAATTATAACATGAGCCAACAAAAGCACGTCCGTTTCTACCCCAAATCCTTCTTCCACCTCTCCCAAATTCTTCGCGGCCAATTCCACCCCCTTTACTCCATCCTGAGAAGCCCCCTCCCCCACTACTTTCCCCCGCAAGAATATCTATTCCTGAGGGACCAGTGACATTAACAGCCTTCATTCGTCCGTTCTCCCCTTTTTCAACGGAGAACTCCACGACATCGCCTTGTGTAATCATCCGAGACCCTTCCGAGCGGATGGAGCTGTAATGGACGAAGATATCCTCTCTGCCTATATCAGAAGCCACGAAACCGTATCGCCTCTACCCACTGAACCACTTCACTATCCCCGTCAGTCGTTTCCTCTGCGACATGTCACCGTAACCCTAACACCAAATCCCCGTCCCCCACAAAAGATTGCAGTGGAAAGAAATAGAGAAGGTAGCGGGCAAAAAATCTAGGTCAGGATTGGAGAAGAAAGGCTTAGAGATGTTCTATATTACCTCTGGCGATCAAGAAAAAAATGCGTCTCGTCGATTCCCCGCCTTTCCCTCCTTTTCACCAACTTTTGTTTTTGGCAAGAAAAAAGCGGGCTCGTGAAAAATTAGAGAACCAGCTGGCGGTGCGGACCATTGTGTTACTTGTAGACGGCTGAGATTGGTGGATGTTAGAAAGAAGAAACTGTGTACGGATTTCAATAATTTTAACAGACGGTGTCTTGGTTCTTGACTAAAAAAAAAAAGAAAAAACCTTTTCCTTATTAATGAAATCATATAAGCTATCAAGATGTCCATAGATTTGAAATATAGTTTGGTGGACTTAGGCATCTTAGTTAGTCAAATTCAAAATAAAAATCCTTGAAAATCAATCCAGCTTCAATTCATAAATCACTTTATATCGAATGCTACTCTTCTCTCCTTGTTGATCAGATAAGAGAAAGCCTTCTAGTTGGTCTAAGAAAGTCACCTAGGTCTCTCCATTTAGCTTATAGTGGTTAGATCAAATAATATATTTCAATAAGATATGAGACCTTAGGTTGGCCGCCTCATTTATTCAATCATTATGTCTGAATTTATTTACAAGATTCTAAGAAACCCTTCATTTTAAACTTATGTTGCAATAATCATCATTCCATGCTCTAGCCACTCATATATATATGCTATATGGACATCTCTTATCCAGAGTAACATTCATATCCTAAGGATTCCTTAGAGCATCGTAATGCTCATTTGCCCTATATTATCATTATTCTTAAGAATCATTACCACCTACCATTCATTGATCTTTCGATGCTCTCCCTAGCTTGCCATATGGACCGCTTTGTTTGGTATTGCCAAAACTAGAAGTTCATGGATCCCACATTGTTATCCATCTCAGAATCGCCTCAAACTACTCAAATAACTATAAAGATTATATCTTTAAGACTTCATATGGGATGATACATAATTAAAACCTAGCGCATAAACTCCATCAAATTAAAACTTGAGAGAATAGTAGCTTGAAAATTGAGATAATATCTAATATAATCTCCTTCATGTAGTAGTGGAACCTTCCCCCCTCCCCTTATAATTGACATAAATTATTTAATGAACCACATAAATCATGCATACTTCCTTTTCTCTCTTTCAACTACTCTTAATACTCTAGATGGTTAACTTTCACTCCATTCGGAAGTAATCCAACCTAAACGTTCAACCTTGTTATCATTTATTATAGGTTAAGGCTATTCATTCTCCTTCTTTTGTTAATCATCCGGCCTAAAAAAAATCTCCTTCACTAGTTTTGGTCATTCATATTTTTATTAAATTGATAGATTTCATGAGCTTGATTACTCCCCCAAATGGCTTTCAAGTTAATGGTGTATTATAAAATATATTTTTTTCCAAAAAAACACGATCATTAATCCCTTAATTGATTTAAAATTCTTCAAACTCGATCTCATCACTCAATCAGGTTAAGGGACAATACACTTAAGTGAAAACAATTTGTAGAACTTCAAGGTTATTTATTAATATTGGCATAATGTTTATATCCTTATAGATGTTTATGTAATAAATTGATTATATCATTATAGATTTTTATGCATCAAAGTAGATCATTATTCAAGAAAGTAACTAACAAAGAAAACAAATAAGAGAAGATTTAATTCCATATTTGGTTAGTCTATTAAGACTCTTTACTTATGTTGCTTTGTCCATAGTTATTATAACTTAAAAATTTACAAAATATATATATTTTTTATCTATCATAGTTAAAAAGTATTTCTTGAATTATTATAAATCCAAATCACAAACTAATTTCATCAGAATTTTTTAAATAAAATGAGATATTTTATGAAAAATTTTCTATAATTTTTTGAATCCCCAAAAGAATTTCTTGAATTTTACATTGAAAATAGTTATAATAATATTATTATTTTATTAAAAAAATAAATATCTAAAACTAGAATAGATTTTATTAAATGGCTTTAATCCTATTTCCCTTTCATTTTTGTGCAACATAGAATAAAAGAGAGGAGACAAAAAAGGAAGCTAGGGTTTGGCGGTCATGGAGCCATTTTCGTCCATCGGCCCAATCAAAAAATGTATTCGTCTTGAAGTAGGTTACATTTTTTCTATTTCAGTTTTCAATAATTTGATATTTTTTAAATTTTCTAATCAAAATTGTATTTCTATGACCGAAAAATGAGGATAACTTTATTTTGGTAAGACTTTCTTCAGGTAATTTTTTATATGTTATGGAGATTAAGATTACAATTTTGTCTATTCAAAAAATTGTTTTGATATTTTAAAATAGTATTTCAGTTCAATTAAAGCTTCATAATGATATTTTATACAATCTCTGGTTATTTGGTTATATTTTGAAACAATGAATTTTTGTTCATAAGTATTTATATTGCCTACCATTGAGGCATTTTAATAATTTCTGAATTTAATCTAATTATGCATTAATTAATAAAATTCATCAAAAAATATGAAAAAAAAGATGTTATGTCTGCACCATTGGGCGATAGAGGTAGGATTTTGTTATGTCAGTGCCAGTGGGCGATCAAGATAGGAATTTGTTATACCGATGCCAGTAAGAGGCCATGGTGGGATTCCGTTATGCTAGTGCAAGTGAACCACTAAGGTGAGTTTATTTTATGCAAAGGCATGTGGGCTATCGAGTTGGGATTCCGTTAACGAAACTATAAAGATAAACAAAAAATTGGGCTAATAACCATTTTGATAAAATGAATATCTACTTATATATAATTTCTTTGGTTTCAGCTTCAGCTTATGCTTTAGTTACAGTCTCAAATTTTTGTGTTGTCTTTTACAACAAAATATTTTCAGTTCTTTTGGTTTTAGTTATTGATTCCAGTTTTAGGCTGTGATAGCCTACTAAGTTTTATTAGCTCATTCTTGTTTGTGTTTCTGTTTTCAGGTTAAGGGAAATATAGTGAGCGAGCTAAGTAGTTTCATATAACAGACTCTAATATATATTGCAGGTATATTTTTGTTAGTTTTGACTTTTGCAGGTTTGACTTTTATTTTATTTTTCTCTCTATTGATAATCGCTATTGTAGATATATTTTAGATTGTATATGTTTTTAGATAATGTATAGAAAATTATTTTGAGATTTAGTAGTCTGTGCTTTATATTGAATTCAAAAGTGATTTTATGTAGTATATAAATTGAAAGTTTCATTTTAGTACTTCTTCAACCAGATCTTGAGATTGATCATGCCATAATCGGACACGGTATGACCTATGAAATTTTGGGTCATATCAGACCGGATTGTGACAATAACTCCCCAAGTTTTAGCATGAGTTATGCCAAATTTTTTGAACACTTGTCATGGAGCAAGTTTTCCTTTGCAAGTTTCTTATAAGGGCGATGATTAACAAAATATTCATTCAAACGATCTTCCTTTATTAACTTATCGAGTTGAGATTCGAAAAACCTATATTCTTTAATGATTGGTAGTGGCCTTTATAACAGAGCTTGTGCTTAATCGTGTAAAAAAAATTAATTTGAAGGACATATGAAACATTCTCAAGATCATTCAAAATCTATCTAATCCTCAAACATCCAAAGGATACACACCTCCAGTAAAGGATACTAATGATGAAGATATAATTATACTCAATAATATGTCATTTGAGATCTTGAGATGGAATAATATATCAGGTAAGAAAATAACACATTCAAAAGACTAGGATAAGGCATGCCATCTTAAATATCCCTTATATAAGATTTACCCTTCTATTTCCATGACACTTACATTAATAGAAATGATAGTGGCTCTAAAAAATCACCTAAGAAAAGAGTCTCCCCCTATAAAGGAGACCATCTTGCGAAGAGTCATTAATGCCATTATAAGCCATAAGATTACAAATAGTATATATACACATAAACTCATAAATAGATATACATAAAAATATACATATAAATACATAGACATGATAAAGCATATAAAAATTTGAGCCCTCACCAAAAAAAAAAAAATCAAAGATTGTATTACTCCTTATAATGAAAAAGTCTTTTATGCATAACATTTCCCTTATTCTCTTCTCTCTCCACACACACACACACTCACTCACACACACACACACACTCTCTCTCTCTCTCTCTCTCTCTCTCTCTCTCTCTCTCTCTCTCTCTCTCTCTCTGACACACACACACACACACACAATTATCTCATCCTCTTATGCATACCCTTCATCTTCTTCTTCTCAACTTAGTTAAACATATCATTTTCACTCTCTCAAACTCCTAGACACTCTCTTATATATAATTAAGCATTTACACTTTATTCTTCTACAACCTATCATCTAAAAGAGAATAATTTTTAGATAATTGCTCGAGAAATGGAGTGTAAATGGGTTAAAAACTTAAAGAAATCTAAATCTTTTAGAATGAAGTGCACAATAATGAGCACACACTTATGAGATCACAGGCTTTTGAAATTCTCCTTGGTATATGTCTAACTCTATTGTATCTAAAAAAAAAAAACTCTATTGTATCTTAATATGTGATGATAGGACTTACATGGGCATACATGAGAGGGGCAATAACATGTTCGAGTTAAATTAATTTAGTTCACCTTGACGTAGATAATTTTGGTTATTTGGGATTTGATTTGAGTAGCCCTTACATTTATATTATCAACTTGATGTGTCATACCTTATTTATGAGCTATTATGACAACCCACTCAACTTTTATAGAAAGAAATTCAAAAACTAAAATGATAAAGCGATCATGACAGGTGTAATCTACATTCGATCATATGTAAATATACATCATCACATGTAATTTATATTGCAATATCAATTCATCCACCCAATATAAATTTAGACAATATGCCCAAAACTTTCACATTAATCTACTCCTCTTCTTAAGACGAGCATTTAACAAAATTGGAATTTAAGAAGAAAATTAACTTTAAGAAGTTTTGTTAATGAATTATAAATCAACGAGTTTATGCTAGTGCTAGTGAACCATCAAGGTGAGTTTATGTTATGCAGAGGCATGCGGGCTATCGAGTTAGAATTATGTTAACAAAACTATAAAGATAAACAAAAAAATTGGGCTAATAACCATTCTGATAAAATGAATATCTACTTATAATTTATTTGGTTTCAGCTTCAGCTTATGCTTTAGTTACAGTCTCAAATTTTTGTGTTGTCTTTTACAACACAATATTTTCAGTTCTTTTGATTTTAGTTATTGATTCATGTTTTAGGTTGTGATAGCCTACAAAGTCTTATTAGCTCATTCTTGTTTGTGTTGCTGTTTTCAGGTTAAGGGAAATGTAGTGAGTGAGCTAAGTAGTTTCATATAACAAACTCTGATATATATTGTAGGTATATTTTTGTTAGTTTTGATTTTTGCATGTTTGGCTTTTATTTTATTTTTCTCTCTATTGACAATCGCTGTTGTAGATATATTTCAGATTGTATATGTTTTTAGATAATGTGTAGAAAATTATTTTGAGATTTAGTAGTCTTCTGCCTTATATTGAATTCAATAGTGATTTTATATAGTATATAAATTGAAAGTTTCATTTTAGTACTTCTTCAACCAGATCTTGGGATTGCTCATGCCATAATCGGACAAGGTATGACCAATGAAATTTTGGGTCATATAAGATCGGATTGTGACAATAACTCCCCAAGTTTTAGCATGAGTTATGCCAAATATTTTGAACACTTTTCATGGAGCAAGTTTTCCTTTGCAAGTTTCTTATAAGGGTGATGATTAACAAAATATTCATTCAAACGATCCTCTCTTATTAACTTATCGAGTTGAGATTTGAAAAACCTATATTCTTTAATGATTGGTAGTGGCCTTTATAACATAGTTGTTGCTTAATCGTGTAAAAAAAAATTAATTTGAAGAACATATGAAACATTATCAAGATCATTCAAAATCTATCTAATCCTCAAACATCCAAAGGATACACACCTCGAGACATAAGAGGATACTAATGATGAAGATATAATTATCCTCAATAATATGTCATTTGAGATCTTGAGATGGAATAATATATCACGTAAGAAAATAACACATTCAAAAGACTAGGATAAGGCATGTCATCTTAAATATCCCTTATATAAGATTAGCCTCCTATTTCCATGACACTTACATTAATAGAAATTATAATGGCTCTAAAAAATCACCTAAGAAAAGAGTCTCCCCCTATAAAGGAGACTGTCTTGCGAAGAGTGATTAATGCCATTGTAAGCTATAAGATTACAAATATATATACACATAAACTCATAAATAGATATACATAAAAATATACATATAAATACATAGACATGATAAAGCATATAAAAATTTGAGCCCTCACAAAAAAAAATAAAAATCAAAGATTTTATTACTCCTTATAATGAAAAAGTCTCTTATGCATAACATTTCCCTTATCCTCTTCTCTCTCCTTTCTCTCTCTCTCTCTCTCTCTCTCTCTCTCTCTCTCTCTCTCTCTCTCTCACACACACACACACACACACACACACACACACACAATTATCTCATCCTCTTATGTATACCCTTCATCTTCTTCTTGTCAACTTAGTTAAACATATCATTTTCACTCTCTCAAACTCCTAGACACTCTCTTATATATAATTAAGCATTTACACTTTATTCTTATACAACCTATCATCTAAAAGAGAATAATTTTTAGATAATTGCTCGAGAAATGGAGTGTAAATGGGTTAAAAACTTAAAGAAATCTAAATCTTTTATAATGAAGTGCACAATAATGAGCACACACTTATGAGATCACAGGCTTTTGAAATTCTCCTTGGTATATGTCTAACTCTATTTAAAAAAAAAAAAAAAAACTCTATTGTATATTTATATGTAATGATAGAACCACACCTTTCTTCAACCAGCAAAATTAGCCCTCTTACATGGGCATACATGAGAGAGGCAATAACATGTTCGAGTTAAATTCATTTAGTTCACCTTGATGTAGATAATTTTGGTTATTTGGGATTTGATTTGAGTAGCCCTTACATTTATATTATCAACTTGATGTGGAGCTATTATGACAACCGACTCAACTTTTATAGAAAGAAATTCAATAACTAAAATGATAAAACGACCTTGACATGTGTAATCTACATTCGATCATATGTAAATATACATCATCACATGTAATTTATATTACAATATCAATTCATCCACCCAATATAAATTTAGACAATATGCCCAAAACTTTCATATTAATCTACTCCTCTTCTTAAGATGAGCATTTAAAAAAAATGATTAACAAAATAGGAATTTAAGAAGAAAATTAACTTTAAGAAGTTTTGTTAATGAATTATATATCAACGAGTTTAAGCTAATAAAACACAGCCTATTTGCATGATGTTTGCATATATTCGATTAAGCTGTCCCTAACCCACCTTAGGTTGTGAGAGGGGAAACAATAATGTCAACCACCACCTCTACTTGAAACCTCTTGCCTCAACAATATTAACACTAGGAAGGAGTCTCAGCGAAACCTTGTCAGCTTAATATACTTGGCTTTACCAATTTAGGTCGATTTGAGTCGTATTTCATATAATTCAAACAAGTACAAATTCAATAAGACAATCTAGAATTTGAACACGAGTTAATCACATTATTTTGAGCTTAGAAGGACAACACACTAGCACAACCCTAAACCCTAAATCAAATAAATATTTTGTATCATATTTAAAACTAAAAATAATTAGACCTTTAACCTACACTATTATAATAAAAACCAAAATATAAAACATAAATTTTAAGCCCAAATAAGCATATGTGAGCTAATTTAGCCTATAAATAACTAGAAATTTAAGTCAAAATTGTGCTCAATCAACAAAGCTATACCTAGGAAAGAGCCAAAGAGGGATTGCCAATTGTCATGCAAATTCTTTATAATCCCGGCCCGGATCTTGCAGAAGGCACATAGGTTTTTCCGTCGCCGGGGAGCTCTATTGTTCCCTTGAGCTGAGACTGAGAGCGACGCCTTTTGAACACCGAGCCGACATCGAGGGGGGTGAGGGTCGTGATGGAAGCTTCGGCCATGGCTGGATTCCTTCGCTCTCCCGTGCCGACTCAACGGTCGAAAATCCAGGAATTGTTTCCTCTCTCCTCACTTTCTCACCGGTCAAAAAACATGCCTTTAAGCTTATTCATGCCAAACGCCACATCTCCCTCTGTTATCGGTTTGCGTAGGAGGACGAGTTTCGGTATTCGCTGTTCTGCAGATGGAGCCCTGAAGGTGGAAGAACAAATCCCCATCGAGAAGAGTAAACTCTAATTTGATCTGTTTGTAACTTCGTGGTCTCATTTCTGTCTATTTTGAATCTATGCTTCATTCTTGTAACTGATTGCGATGTAATCTCCAAATTGGCAACCTGAAGGAATCCCCGCTTTCCCGACCGTCATGGACATCGATAAGATCCGAGAAATTTTGCCGCATCGGTGAGTCCATTTTGATTTTTTTTTTATTTAAATTTTTGTATTGTTTCATGACGAACTAATTGTAGATATCTTTTTCGCTTTTTGTTCCTTTTGAGGCAATAGTTTCCCTTTCCTCCTGGTGGATAGAGTGATCGAGTATGAAGCAGGAGTTACAGCTGTTGCCATTAAGAATGTGACTATAAATGATAACTTTTTTCCTGGCCACTTTCCGGAGCGTCCAATAATGCCCGGTGTGCTCATGGTTGAGGTGAGACTTTGATCCCCTCTCTTACTGGCTATTTGGTTTACTATTGTAGAGAAGATTTAGCTCAAATCCCAGCAATGAGGATATTAAATCCTATTGTTTTGATGACTCTCATCTCGGCTGCTATGGGCTAAATCTAAAATTTGTTAAATCTATCATTTACAAGATCTAATGAATTTAAGTATTTTTCCGTCTCACAAAACTTAAATCCTGAAATAAAAAAACCAAGTGATGTATCAAAATTTAACTAGATTTAATAATTATCATGCCAAATAATTTTCAATTAATACGAATAACTATATTTAATTAGATTTAACAAATAACTAGGATTGAAGTGCGAAGGATTTTATGTAGATAATGAACCATTCCAATTAAGTAGGTCAAAATATACAAGTGCTTAATTGAAAGAATCACGTGTTTATTCAAGAGGGATTCAAAGGGAAGACCATTTAGAAAAATATGGTTGATGAAAGTAGCAAAGTTAGAAAGTAGTCCTAGACTATGAAGAAATCTTATTATGTTTTGATGGCTCCTTGACCTTATTCTTCTTATTTTTCTTCTTGTTGCCTTAATTACTTTATTCTCCTATTCTTTTCACCTTTCTTCCAGTTCTTTTTTACTTATTGTTTCCTCGCTTTGCAACGAGCTTCAATTCTCTTCCTTAGGATTATGTCAAGTAGGAGACAGAAGAGAGTTGGCTGGATTAATGAGAGAAGAGAGGGATGACCTTAAGAAGGAGAGAGATTTTGGTGAGCCTAATTATTCATGCAACCTTTTTTGTTGTTAAAATAGTTATCTAATACATGAATATAATTATAAATAAAAGCATGACAAAATAATTTAAACTTAAAAGCAAAATTAACTCCTAAATTTAGGATAAATTGGATGATAATCATCCTTAATACAAGGATTAATCCTAATTGGGCTCCTTAAGAAAAGGATGAGAATTCATTTTTGGATAAAACTCTTAATCTTCATATTTAAAACTCTTATTTACCCTTTCCACTTTTTGAAATTCATGTTTCCCAAATTTATCTTGGCCACCCCCTTAGTGATGTATCAAGGAGATTGAAAACGTTGAGTTGTTTTATTGATTTCATGCATCCTAGTTTGAATGCAAAGGTGTTAGGTTTATGTCTAGAGGTTGTTAGACATTGGCTCCTCTAATTGGCTTCAAATTGCTTCTATAATTGAATCTCCTTTGGAGGCGACTCTCATACCATCTTCTTAGACTTGCGTGAATATTTTCATCTTCTAATGTTATTGTTAACTTCTCTTGGCTGCCTTAATTTTCTACTTACTGAAAGAAACTAGGTTGACTTCTAATTTTTTTACCAAAGCTTCATATATAATTTTTTTTTTAGTTCTTGAGCCTTTAATTGCACCGAAAATGTCAGATTTTACCTTAGTGATTAGCTTGGACTCTTGGAGTGCTCATCTCTTTTTTTTACTTGTTTCATCTGGCATTGATATTTCTATTTTCTTTGAATCAATTAACTTTGATAGCACATCTAATTGTGTTGAGTGTCTTCTTTGTTATGACAACCTGTTTGTTTGGTCTTTTTTAACAATTAAGTCTCTAGCAATCTCTGCTTGCAACACATCTAATTTTATAGTGCATTCATTAAAGCTTTTGGCTTCTTCAATTCTACATGGAAACTTTGAGGGAGCTTCCATCTTTGTTGTCGTTGTTGTTGTTGGTCCAATAACTCTCAATTGATAATGGCTAGATTTTCTATTTCATATGCTCCCCATAGGAAATAACTTCATTCTCGATTATGTCTTTTATGTAACTTTGTTAATAATTTGAAGAAAATTGATCATTCTTGCAGGAAAATTGCTCGGCTGTTGAACTTTGTGGTGCATACTTACAAATATTATTTTTTCATTTCTAGATGTATTTTGTTAGATCTACATCATCTTCATGTTCAATTAGATATAATTAACATTTAAAAGTCCTTTGAACCTACAATATGCCATTCTTGATAGATCATACTTCTGAACCTCTACATTCTACCACACTTGTGCATGGTTATACTCTATGATGCACCGACACTTCTCCTCAAAGAGGTGTGCAGTGTCCGACACCGTATCCGATACGACACTCGTCTGACACTCTGACACGTGTCGGACACACCGAAAACGTGTCCGATTAAAAAATATTAAATATAAATTGGACACGCGTGCTTAAATATTTTATGAATTTTTTTAAATATAATTTCTTGTATTTGGCGGTATTTAAACTAAATTTCTTATTTCCTATCAACAACACCAAATCAACGTCCACACTTAATACACAATCATCGAATATTCTCATTTTCATTTCTTTTTGGCAATGAAGGTATTTTCATCTCCTCTCTCGGTGACTGATAAATGACATCGACATCTGACTCTTGACATTCTAATACTAATCATTTTAAGTACAAATTCTACTTAAATGACTTATTATTTTTAAATTATTTTTAAAATTATACTTATTTAATTTTTATACGCTATTTTTAAAATACAAAAACTATAATGCCGTGTCCAACCCGTGTCCGTATCCTATATTTTCAATAATTGACGTGTCCGTGTCGTGTCGTATCCGTGTCGCCGTGTCCGTGTCTATGCATCATAGGTTATACTTAATATTGAAAATATATCTCCACTTAGTTCACCATTTTATCCACCTCTGCATTAGTTGTACTGCCATATGAGGGAATTTCGAACCTTATTATCTAGTTTGAATGCAAGTTTATGCTAGTTATAATTTTTCTCTTCTTTCTCATCTTCCAATCATGACCTCTCTCAAAAATCATTGCCCCTCTCTTTAAGAAGTATTGCAATTTTATGGTCCATGAGCAGTGTGCGACATTCAAATCTATGTTTTTTCTGGAAAGTTATTTGTTCTATAAGGTTGGTCACCATGTTTTTGTATGCATTTTAACTTATTTTCAAGTTTCAATCCTTCATTGATTTCCTACGGAAAAATTTCATTGTGCACTTATGGACTTAATGCCTTCAATTGACTCTTATATTATTGCTATTGTTTTGGCCATAATTTTTTTCCTTAAGCTAAGCAAGATCTACACTTTAGTACCAAAAATGATCCAAAATTAAAGGGATTATTTGTTGAGTAACCTCCAAATCATAGATGAATGGTGCAATTTTCATGTTATGATAGCCTTGATTTTTAGAATGCCTAGATGAAATTATTGAACTGCAAATGATTTTATGAAGATATTGGATCCTTGCAAAGTAGGAGAAAATAGTTCCTTATATAATGTGATTTCAATTAGGTAGGCCGCCAAAATAGTTCCTCAATGAGGGTCAGCCAAGGCCTAACTATAGTATTCAAGAGGGGCAATGAATCAATAGTACTTAAAAAAAAGTAATTGATAAACTTAGCGGTCACAGATACTATTTGTTGACAACCAACCTTACCTCCTTTGTTCAAGTTTTTCCTCTCTCTATTTTTTTTTTTCTTTTTGGTTGCCTTATCATACTTAAGGGCCTTCGAGTGCCATAGTACATTGTACATCGCCCAATTCACAATTTTAAAAATAATAAAAATTGTGAACATGTTATGCCGGTCCAGCATGGACCGGCCCAGCGTTGCCGGAGATTGTTGGAGAGTTGTTCTTCCTCTCGAATTGAAGAACATTGTATCTTGCTTTGGTTTTGTTTGTCTACTAGTGGAATACAATCGTTTCTATTGTTTTCCAAGAATTTCTCCCTATTTTTCTACTGTTTTTGGCTGTTTTACTGCTGTGGACAGCAGTTTTCATCTTGGATCTTTTTTATTTTGGTGAGAGACACTTGGAAATCCAAGGGGTTCCTATCAGAACACTTCATTAATAATTTAATAATATAAGAAATAAAATATCCTTGATGCAAAAAAAAAAAACTTGTCATCTTCAACGAACTCATTATCCAATTTTTATTTTGGCCACTCATTAGCATCGTTTGTGTATTAAAAATAATAATGAAAAAAATTGAATAAAAAAATAGCAAACTATGCACAATATTGAGCACAATACACAAATAGTGTGCATAGCATGGATTATTTTATCTTTATGCACCTTTCTATAAAAATTGCATAAGAGCTACGCCTTGCTATGCTATGAATTACAAAATGCACTATTTCATTCCATTGGCAAATATGTCCCGTAGTTTCTTCCTCTTCTCATTCATATTAACTGTTATCTTCTTCTTGTTTTCTGGCTTTGAAATAAACTCAAATTCCTTGTCATAGGATGCACTCAGACATGAGAGAAAAAGGAATATAGTCTGTTACATAGAGAGAGGGGTGGCCTGCCTGTTGTGATAAGAGACAACCATGAGAGGAGCAGGCTAATTGATCATGGAACTTTGATTTCCTTGATTACCAGGTGAAATCATACAAAATAATTTAAATTAAAAAATAAAATTAAATCTTAAATCTAGGATGTTTCGAAGGTTAACCCTCCTTATATAAGTATTGAATTCTAGTTAATCCTTTCATGAGGTGGTTGGCTAAGAAAAGTAGGAGAACTAATCTGTGGATAGAACTTTTATTCATCTTCATATTTTCCACTTTAAAGCTCATCCTTACCCCTTTTCTTTTTGGAATTCAAGTTTTGAATTTAAACCTTTGGCCACTCCTATTATGATGTATTAAGGAGATTAAAAAGTTGGTGAAATTGCATTAGTGTCCCATGCATATTAGCTTTCATATTTAATGATTTTTTTTTGTGTTTAGAGCTTTCTTGATCATTTTACCCCTCTTTGGCTCCAAATTGCTTCTACAAACGAGTCTCCTTTTGCAGCGGCATCTTTGCTATATTCTTATATTTGCATGAATATGCTTTCCTCATCTAGCTATTGTTGGTTAATCATGATTGCCTTTCTTCTCTATTTCTCACCAGTCGTTCGAATTACTTTTGTTGTGGTAAACAGACTGTGTACCTGCGACATGATCTATTTTAATTGGAGTCCAAACGTAAGCTGCGTCCGGACTCCGCACGTAATAATTTCCGATTGTAACAAAGGGATTATAAAAATAATGGGAAATTGATAGCAAAGAGAAACATGTTTGTTAGTTTATTTATTTATACGATAATGTATTTTAATATCAGAAATCATATTATTTATATATTCTTTAAAAACAAGCTAGCTCACAAACTAACTAATGGAGGTAACATCTACCCAAACTCAAAAACATTTATCTTTATAAGCTCGACTTTGAGCTATTATTCTCTGCGAACACCGGACGGTTCTCCCGTCCGGTTACCGAGCGCGGTACATTTTTGAGGCGACGTGAAGCATTTTTATTGGTCTCCGGACGCCGCGCGTAATAATTTTTCCAGGTCACTAGCGAATTTGGCACAATCACAACCCATTATGTTTATTTCACAAGCCATTCAGTTACAAAGTAAATATTTATTTAAAGTGGTATATATTGGATGCAGGCCTTGGCTCAGGTTGGAGGTATTGTGATGCTGCAGCCTGAAGTTGGAGGTTCCCAACACAATTTCTTCTTTGCTGGGATCGACAAAGTGAGATTTAGAAAGCCAGTAATAGCAGGTGACACTCTGGTCATGAGAATGACCCTTATCAAATTAAACAAAGCCTTTGGTTTAGCTAAGATGGAAGGGAAGGCTTATGTTGGTGGAGAGGTGGTATGCGAAGGCGAGTTCTTGCTGGCAATTGGATCTGGTAAGAAGTGAAGAAGATAATTGAATTTTAGCTTCAACTTTTGCTTCATTAAGAGCATTTCTTTTCATTGTAATCTTTATCTTTGGTGTTGATTGAACAATGAGAATGGTTTGGTTTGTTAAACTATCTATATAATTTTGTAATTTGTGAGTGAGGATCCATTTGAGGATGCTATAATTGTCCGGCAAATGAATTGTGGATTGTGATATTTGATAACTATTACTAAATTTAAGGCTTCGTTTGAGACGATTTTCTCACTACTTATCAATAACTTTCACAAAAGTATCCTCTCCTTACCTTAGTTCTTAAAAAATGTTAGTAAAAAGAGATAAAAACTGTTCAAGCCAATGGAATTGATTTAATAGAATTTAAGAACATATAACATAAAATGTTGCTACAAAAGTACAATGGATTAAAATCTCTCTCCATTCCCTTCAAAATTTAAATAACAAAAATAAATATGACATTGAATGAGGAAAGGATAATTTAAGGGACTATCAGATGATGGAAAATGAGAACCCTGATATAAATCATTTATCAGCAATTACCATTTCATCTAGATCTTTATCGGCAGCAGCAATAATCTTAAGTTCTTCCAAATATGTGTTTAGTCTCCTCAAATCCTCATCTTGGACACTTTGAGGAGCCTTCTTGTAACCTGCAGAACTCATCACCTGCTCCAGGTTTGTCTGCAGCCTGCAAGCAATTGAAGTGGAATAAGTCGAACATGCGACTAAAAGTACCTTCAAAGAATCATTGTTTCTTTTTCATTATTTAAATGATTCTTTATGGCACAGAATCTTGGTCATTAAAAGAGAAGCATAATATTAAGTTAAGTGTTGCGGAGATAGGATGCTCAGGTGGGGGTGGATGAGTAGTTTTACTCTTAGAGACGGGATATAAAACGAGCACATATGTGAAAAGTCGGAGTAGCTCCAGTGGAAGATAAGATTAGCGAGAGTTGTCTTAGATGGTTTGGTCACATAAAATGGCAGCCTTCCAATGACCCGGCTAGGAGAGAAGATGTATTATATTTGGCTTATGTTAAGAACGGTAGAGGTAAATCTAAAAAGACTTAGAAAATATTAGAAATGATATATTTTTTATTAGATTTAAATGAGAATTTGATTCTTAATAGGACACAATGAAGAAAAAAAGATTCATAAAGCCCTCCCCGTGTAATGGAATAAATGATTGATGCTGTTGTATTGTAGTTGAGTTATCTTTTTTTTTTTTCTATGATTTTTCCTTCATGTCTTCCACATTGATAATATCTCTCTATCTTATTGGTGCATCTTTTACCCATTAAACAACCTCAAAACGTTCAGTCTATGTTTCACAGTTTATCTTCAATAGGATCTACTGTCAAAGTCTCTCTTCAATAATTATTGTATAGTCTGCACTCCTCGGTTTTACCACATTAGTCTTACCATATGCATTTATGACATATTTAATTTGGATATCATGTTTTAATTGCGATTCAGTACTTGGATTCTATAGCATAATCAATTTTCTTGTCGTTCTTTAAAGTTCAAGCTTCCGTGGGGCTGTTATAGCCACTTAAATTTAATCGCCAAGCATCAAAAGAATGAGGCCAAAAATATCAAAATATGCAGAGTTTAAGTTGGCGAATCTCACTTTTGTATTTCCTCTCTTTTTTTCCTAAGCTTTTGCCGTTCAGCTTCAGGATCAAGTATCCCTTGGAGCTGCAAATACACAGAGAGTTTTTCATTTACCACATCAACTGCACAGCCGGGTGGTGGCACATCATTCTCCCATAGAACCTACAAGATAACAACAAAATCAGATTCTTTTCCCAGCTCTTTTACAAATTATTTTGATGTGAGGGAAACGACATGGGAAGTAGGAGCTTGCAAGTTTGTTTGCTAAATAACTTAAAAGTTATCGCCAAGATTGAGGGACGGAATCCCGCTCATATTAAGGTTTTGTTTGGGACAGTTTTTTTGTTGCTTTTTAAAACGGCTTTCTAGTACAAAATTTTCTAATTCACAATTTTTTTGCACTAAGAAGTTTTAGAAAACAGCAAAAAAGTTGTTCCAAACGAAGCCTAAATTTGTACTTCCACACTCAAAATTTAAAATAATTTAAAAAAAGAGATGAAATTTTTGTTTTTCAGATATTACTTTGATCGAAATAAGAAAATCATAAGCTAATCTCATCTAAAGTTCATACTCTAAAACAACTGCTATATAAACATCAAACCACTTCGTTTAAAAAAGGCTAGATTTTGGGGCCACGCAAGAACTACGAAACTTAGCAAATATTTCATAAGAATATACTACTAAAGTTGGTAATAGAAATATCAATATAAAGTTTTTACCCTTAATATTACTACCAAATAGCACAACATAAGCATTCAATGGATGGACAAAGCAATAACATTTAATGACCTCTATTGTTAAAATACCTTTAACGATGATAGGGAAGCAAGTGTTAGTATCTCAAACTCATAAGCTTTAATAATTGAAGCGACATCATCTCCTCTGCAAAGTGCAAATGCTGCACGTCTGGAATAAGGAAATAAGAAATTAATCATGTATTAAAATAAATAAATAAATAAAAACTGTAGGCTGCTTAGATTTTAGATCATGGGAGTGAGGTTTCATTTGGGATGGTTTTTTTACCGCTTCTTAAAACAGCTTTCTAGTATAAAAATTTTAACTTTTTAATCAAAAAGCTACTTTAAAAAACAGTAAAAAAATCGTCTCAAACAAAGCCTGAGATTGTCATAAATAGGTACCTCTCATTTTTGTCAGTTGGTAATCGGAGTGACCGTATCTTTCTCACTATACTAAGAACAATATCCATATGGCTCTCTATTTGTTCACTAGTCCATGACTGTAAAAGAAATGAATAATAGTGGAAGATGACATAAAAAATAACTTCATAATGGTATATATTAAAAAAAATATCAAACCATGATATACCTCCACCACTGATGGATAATCTGATATCATAATTGATTCCTTTCCATGGACTTCTCGTGCTTGGGGAAGTCTCTGCCACAATTCCTCAGTAACAAAGGGCATAAAGGGATGGAGCAGTCGCAAGCCATAGTCTAAACATATCCATAAGGTATCTCTAGAGGCTTCCCTTTCAGATACATAAGTGGAATCAGAGAAAAAGTAAGGCTTGATAGCTTCAATAAATACATCACAAAGCTGGAATTGCCACCACGAGTATACAGCAGTAGATGCCTCCGAAAATTTATAAGTTTCAAGAGATGATACAGTCTTATTTATAGCTTTATTCAGAACAGAAAGAATCCACTTGCAGATGGATGGCATTTTATCCACCACAAGATTTGGAGAAGGAGAATAGTTATCCCCTAATTTGCTCATAGCAAACCTTATAGCATTCCATAGCTTATTGCACCACTGTCGGTATCCCACAACCCTAAGAACATCCAGGTTTATCTTGTCTGACTGAGAGCCATTATTTATTAAACTTCCACATGATAAGAAATTGAACAGAAGGAAAAGACATTAAAGGGTCAGAACAAACCTGTGCTGTGTAAGATATGAGAGCAAACCGAAGGGCATCTGCACCACATTCAGCAATACCATTTGGAAAGTCCTTCACCTGCCCTTGTTTTGCAATGATTAGTTCATTTGGGTCTAAGTTACCTTCTTCCAAACGTTTGTGAAGCCCTTCAAGTGATATTCCATTTATCACTTCAAGTGGATCAATAACATTGCCCAAGGACTTGGACATTTTGCGCCCATGTGCATCACGTATCATTGGATGCAAATAAACCTGCAAGATAATTAAATCAAATTGATTTCTTACATTTTCTGCTATAGAAGCATAAACCTCTAGAAGACTAATGCAAAATGTTATTTTGCAAAAATGGCAAATTCCAAAACCTTTACCATGGATAAATACTTCTTAAGACATTGGCAAAGGATTCCAATTTATTATTAAAGAAGAATGAAAGATGAGCAACATAGTCCTTAGACTTTTGCATGTATCTTTGTAATCTCATTTTTTTATGTGAAGAACATCTCCTCAACAATGAGGAGAATATTGGAATAAAAACATGAACCCTGATGTGAAAACCAAGTAACATGTACTAAACAGCTAATGATTTGCTATAGTATTAAGCACTGAATCATTTGTTGCAGAACAAGATGCAAACAAAATTCAGCATTTAATCAATGAAGCTTACAAGCACCAAAGCAAATTATGTAACGTTCCTGCTCGGAATCTTTGCTTATACTGCCTATCATGTAAGGATGCATCAACTTATTAACAGATCAAATTGATTGTCTTCTAAGAAATTTTGTTTTTCTGTTCACTTCTTTCTGTTTCTACATGATGAACGAAGGACTTTTTTGCTGTTACCTTTCTAAAAGGAACATCACCACCAAGTTTCATACCCAGCATCACCATCCGAGCCACCCAAAAGAAGAGGATGTCATGTCCAGTTTCAAGAACAGAAGTTGGGTAAAAAGCTCTGAAATCCTCAGTATCATCTGGCCAACCAAGCACAGTTAAGGGAAAAATACCAGAAGAAAACCATGTGTCCAGCACATCAGGATCTTGAGCAATCTTAAATTTCTTCCCTGAGAATATCCTCTTTGCCTCAAGATTGGCTTCCTCTTCATTTCTTCCAACCACCCAATGGTCATTGTAAGTGCCAAAATCTTTGAGTTGGTCATCTTCTAGGGTCACATACCAGGCAGGGATGCGGTGACCCCACCATAGTTGTCTTGAAATGCACCAGTCCCGTATATTTTCTAGCCATCTAGAAGAAAAAAAAAGTCAGTTAGAAATAGTAAAGCAGACAAAGTTGATTACCAGTATCTTAGAATGGGCCATATAAAAAAGAACCTCTTCCAATCTTGTTCATATTGTTCTGGAATGATCTCAATTTTCTTGTTCTCTTTGTCAATAACAGCATCAAGGGCAACCTTTGCCATAGTATTGCAATTAACAAACCATTGAGGCTTTATCATAGGTTCAACAACATCATTACTTCTAGAACAAAAACCAAGGTTCATCTCATTCTTCTGTGCTCCTTTGTAAAGGCCCTAATTCAATGAAGGATACTCGTTTAAAAAAAAAAAACTCAAAAAATACACTGCAAAAATTATGGCCACGAATTCATGCCGAATGATGTGTTAGCAAAAACTAAGCTATTCTTCTCCAATATATTTTGCTAACAATTTTGATAAAATTAATATGCAGTTACACGATATAATGTTCACATTGCTTAATTTGATGAATTTTCTTTGGATCAGGTCATGTAAGAAAACCAATTATCAGCAAATCATTACTTTTACCGAGGCACATTTCATACATCTATTGTTTTTGTTTAAGTCATTGATTCAAGGAAAAAATTAAAAAAAAAATAATCCTAAAAATTCAAAATGACCAGCAACGCAGATTGCATTGCACAACCACAATTATGGCAAGAATTCAAACATAATGATGCTTGATAGAATAAGCTATTCTTCTCCAATATATTGAGCAACATTATAAACAAGTTCAATAAAACTATTATTCAGCAACACAATGTAATGCTCATACTTGCTTAAATTTCAATGCTTGCATCAGCGCATTAAACAACCTAGAAGAAATTCCACATTGAATTTTCAGTTTTCCCCGAAGAGAAACCCAAAGCGCTAAAACTTGGATGCCAAAGATTGCACCAAATCACAAGAAATTGAAAAGAAAGGCATTGCAATGTATGTAAAATCACCTCCTTATACTAAAAGAATAAAAATATATTCTCCAAGATCATGCCAAATTTTTCTCTACAAATCAAGAAACTGGACCAAAAGGTATTATTTAAACTTAAGACTACATTCTACAGATCTGATGATATAACTTAATTCTTGCGAGTGAGCATGACCTTGCACAAGATTTCAAACCAAATTTGTTTGGCATGATTATTTGTCTAAAAACAAGCTTCTTGTATGTCTGTTCGGTTAAAAATATAAAAAATTAACACCTTTTCCTTCAAAGCATCAATCAAGGCAACCCGGGCTTTAAATCTTGTCATCCCTTCAAATTCAGCTCCACCATTGATGTTAATCTTCCCATCATCAGTGAATATATTGATAAACTCAAGATTATGGCGCTTTCCAACTTCAAAATCATTAGGATCATGAGCTGGTGTAATCTGGAATGCATGTAATACAGGGAGATTTTATTTCCTTCCTAGAAACAATGGTGAATCACTGAAATTAAACAAATTTTAATGCTGAAGCTTTTTTGCTCTAAATGAAATAATGAATCCATACCTTCACAGCCCCAGTCCCAAAATTAGGATCAACTAGGATATCATCACAAACTATGGGAATCTTTCTCCCATTGAATGGATGGACGGCAAATTTTCCATGTAAATGCTTATATCTCTCATCTTTAGAATGAACAGCAATAGCAGTATCACCAAGCATAGTTTCTATCCTGGTCGTGGCGACAATTATCTCCCCCAAGCCTCCCTCGAGTGGATAAGCAAAGGATGTCAACACCCCGAATTGAACTGGAAAGTCATACCCAGGAACCTTTAGGAAAGTCTCCTCCTTAATTTCCTTGTGGTCAACCTGAAGGCAATAATTTCATCGTACTAACATCTCTCGGGAAATATTAAACAATTACTCAAATAGATTAAGCAGAGAGAGAGAGAAATTGAAGAGGGGAGGGGAGAGTAATTGGAACTATGAAGAACCTCAATATCAGATATAGCAGTTCGCAATGTACAATCCCAATTCACAAGGCGATAATCTCTATCAAAACAAACAAAAAAATTGTAGTTATTGTGACAGACCTTTAAAGAAAAGCTTTAGCAGTATTAGTAAACACTTTAGTCTGGTTAAGACATTATAGGAGGAAAAATAACATGGCCACAAAACTGGCAATGATGAGAAGGTTGACACTGGTGTGAAATTAATTATAAACAATTTATATACTTGTAAACGACAAGGCATGTTCACGGTAGAGCAATGCTGCAAACGAAACAAAATAGTGCCCACTGTATGAAAAACGAGGTGTTTGAATCAGGCAAACCTATAAATTAGACCTTCTCTGTATAGCTTTACAAAAGCTTCAGTGACTGCCATTGATCTCCTCTCATCCATTGTAAAACACTAAAAATCACATAGACTACATAAGAAGATTATATACGAAAACTGGAAAATAAAAGACAAGAAATACAAATATTAGAACATGAGGGAATTTAACCTCACGGGACCAGTCAAGAGAAGCACCAAGGCGACGCTCTTGATTCAGTATGGTACCTCCATACTCACTTTTCCATTTCCAAACCTGTAAGAAAAAACATTATGCAAGGCTTATAAAAGTAGCAACAATAAAAATCACAGGCAAAGTGGAATGTCAGTCAACCAATATCAACCGAAGTAATAAAATACTATATAGATTGTAGACGGAAGCAGCGCTCATAAAAGGAGCAAAAATATTTGATAGACTTACTAAAAAGACTGTAACAGTAACTTACTTCGGACACAAACTTCTCACGTCCCAAGTCATGCCTAGTCACTTTACTTTCCCTCATGAGCTTCTTTTCGACAATTACCTGAGAAGAGCAATAGTTAGTTATAGTAATGTTTCTGAAGGAAGGAAATATTTCACAGCAACATGCATGCCCATGAAACCACATGACAAACTATGATGGATCAACATGATAACGAAGCAAAAAAGAAAAGTTCATAAAAAAAATTTAAAGTGGCCATAAGAATGATTGGTCTTTTGGTAAATATTAAGGGAAGAAGGATTACATAGTGGGAAGAATTACTCTACCAATTCATCCCTCCACTCACAGCTCCCATCATTCCTTTAACTGCACGTAGTTGATCCTACCACTATCTAGACTCTTTACCAGCACTGTCAGCTCTCGCTTTCTCTGATTTTAATGGAATCTTATAGATTTGTTGCCTATCCAAACTCAAGAATTCACTCCATCATAATCTACATATGTTTCGATTTAGGGTTTAAAGGATCTTTGTGTGTTGGAAGCAACAACTTGATCGGTGACCTCTAGAGATGGTGATAGAGACGATATGTAGGAAGGGGAAAGCGGTACTTGCCTTTCAGAGGGTATTTTTTCCTTGGGAGATTAGGATGAGAAACTCCAAATTAGATGTTTAGGATGTTAAGGAACAAATAGACGTGTTTTCATGGCCTTTGAATAAGTGGTTTGGGATTTATAATTTCTTTAAATTTGTTGTTTAAAGGAGGAAATTGTTTCCTAAAAGGTAACGAAGCTCCACAAGAGAACAATGGATGATGCAATAATAACTGCAAACAACTGGGTCAAGCATATAAAATTCAAGGACGATGGAAGAAAACAATAAATAATTTTAGGAAAATAAGTGTTTTCCATATTTCTGTTGATTTTTAAAACCAGGCAGAAAGCATGAAACTAAATTTATGGAGTTAGGGAATACAAAAACCTGGGTAGCTATTCCAGCATGATCCATTCCAGGAACCCACAAAGCATTATAACCTGACATTCTTCTCCACCTGATAATCAAGTCCTGCAACAGAGGAAAAGGTAATTCTAGAAAGTTCAAAAAAAGATAACAGAAAATAATGACAGCAATAAGTGATGGGGGTAAGTTTAACAAAAAACCTGTATAGAAGCAGTAAGTCCATGACCTATGTGAAGGGCCCCAGTCACATTTGGAGGTGGCAGAACCTAGACATACAATGCATAAAAAATGGACATTTAGAATGATAATTAATGTTAAGGTTCACATCGAGAGCAAAGTAATTGCAGTCCGCTAAATATCATGGAGCATGTTCATCAGACTAACGGATATAGCAACACTATCAAATTGATCAGTAAGGTCCCCCCCCTCTCTTCAAAAAATAAAGAAAAAAAAAATTGTATCAAAATCCCATCTATTTATTGTTATGAGTGTTCAAATGAGGTGGAATTTTACTTCTTAGCCAAGATAAAAAATTCATAGAGGATGTCAACTGAACGAGATGGATATTTTTACTCTCCGGGGTAATATATCGTATTCTTATGCCGTGCCCGATTATAAAATATGCAATCCGTTCGAGGATACAAAAAATTCTCCAACAATTAGGATAGCAGAACTCAAATGAACCATATAACATCTCAATTTTAAACCTGACATTACATCCCCAGATCCATGGTAAGTATTGCTTCACTTCATCTTATACGATATTTCAAGACCATAAATGCTATAAATAGAACAAATACATAATGCATGATATACAATTTTACTGAAGAAGAAATTGATAAATATCCATCAGTATTACTATGATCAAGTTAAACCTTGATAATACCTTGTATCCATTACACAAAGAATAAGGATAAAACTTAGAACATGATTTCCTAAATTAAAAAAAAGCAACAAGAGAACTGTGCAACTGGCAGTGGCAATGTTATATCCTACTTGAGTTAAATCCTACTTGACTTTTTGTTTTGAACAACAAAAACAACATCAAACCTTTAAATCCTACTTGGGCTACATGAATCATTTTTTTCCATTATGTCCTGTTAAGAATCAAATTCTCATTTAAATTAACTTTTTGTTTTGAAATCAAATAAAAATTAGTATCTTAAACAGACTGCCAAATTGTTGATTCAATATGAAAACTTTCTAAAAGATCATACCACCCATCTAATGTATGAATATAATTGTAAACTTAAAGATAGTTATGGTGTCTTGGCCCATCAATGAATTAATCATTTTATTAACCCAATTAATATGTCTTATATTTAATTAACATGATAATGCAATATTAAGTTTTGATATCAATTCGATGAAGAAAGTTTAGGGTTTAGAGACCTAGGGCAATTAGGATGATACAGTGACTGTAGGTGACTGTAGGTAAAATAAAAAAATAGAAGTTACAAATTTAAGGCAACTAAATACACAAAAAAAAACTAATTTTCTTTAAGTGCAAACTAAAAAATATGAGAGTTAGAATTAAAATGATAATACAATGCCCGAATAAATAGGAAGAAATCATCGAGGAATTTGAACCACAAAATTAGCAAGAAATTTTAAATTTTCCATTAAATTAAAATTTAAGATATATTAAATTTAAACAAAATCAAACTCTAGCAAGTCAATAACAAAATATTTAGAAAAATTTTGATAAAGAAAAAAATTCACCAAACTAGGGAAAATCTAAGCCTCATGCCAATACAAAAAGATAACTTCCCATAAACATTAGGTGGTTTTACTTGTACTGTGCTCAAGGAACACATCCAACATCACATACAATTAATTTTGAAATTTGAAATGTTATTGAATTAAAGCTATTTCCTATACAAGCCTTGACTACTTATCTATAGATCTAACAAACATAGATAAGTAGATAGGACTGGCATACCATTAGGTCATGTTCAGTTTAGCAAACTCAAATTCAATTTTCGGATGTCCAAAAAAGTGTCAAAAATAGTTCTTTGTGCCTTGATCTATAACTAGCAACATGAAATGCGCCAAAAAGAAAGTGACAAACTGACAAAAAAGTAGTCGTTGAACAACATATAAACACCACTACAATAATAGTACTAAATTTATCCGTTTAATAAACTTGCAGAAGTCATTACCATAATTACGGAAGGAAAGTCCGCATCAATGGCTACTGACACAGCTATTTGAAATTCTCAAAAGTGGATGGGCATTACAAGTCCAAGAAGGGCTTCTTTGCAACAAGAATCTCCAAGGCAAGGGAAATATATTGCATTCATAAAAAATTAGATCTAAATAGTGCATAGAAGGGCTATTAATAGGAATAAAATCATGTGAACTATCAATTAATAACCCTTATACTTATTGGCTACTAGTAAATGAGTCACAGCAAAAGAACAGAAATGAATGCCCTAAATAAATAAAGAAAATATCAAGCATTATTAAAACAATATATGCCTAAATTAATCTAAAATATAGGAGGGTATTGATGATGAAGATGAGTGGCTCAATGGGATCCATAAACAATAGCAATGAAAGAAGGGCATTAATAAAACAAGGACCATATAGTAGGAAAATTCTACATATATTAATGATGATGCTAAATTTGATCCTATATGAGTTGGTGATTGATTTGTTTAGAGGCTGACGTAATAAATTGGATGAAAGAATATTAGTTCAGAATGACCACGACTGTTAAAATATCTTCTTAAAGAACAACACATCATGTTCATCATGTTAACTTTCACCATTTCTGGCAATACATTTATTTTGTTAAAAACCACATGAGTCTTGATTAAATGAGAATTCCTAATAAAAAAGCACGACAGACAGGACTAGTTCAACAAAGTATGTTGCGAGCCTACATAAATCAGTTTTTGGTCATTTTAAAGGTTGAACTACTTGTAGAACGACATAATACTTGTTCAAAAAATGAATTGCTTGACTCTAAAACATCTGTTTATGGCACAAAACAGTGTCATTGTCTGAACCTTCACATTCACAAAAAAAAAAAAACCTTAGACTGTGTAAGTATGCACATGCCCTAATTAAAATGAAATAGAGAATAAATAAATAATAAACAATATAAAAAAATAATAATAATAATAAACAATATTTAAAAAAAAAATAAATAATAAACAATGACACTCACTATCACAAAGGGGGGTTTTGAACTTTTTGCATCTGCAATAAAGAAACCTGATGTTTCCCACCACGCATACCACCTACAAGTAAAAATAATCTTAATATTAGAAATCAATGTTTGCACACCACAAACTTAAAATTTGAATGAGGCAGAGAACATTACAATTTCTCAACAGCACTAGGATTATACTGCTTTGCCATCTGACGAGATAGAAGTTTCTTGGCTCCAGCAGGAGTTGCAGGTTCAACAAAATCCTCAGGATTCTCTTCTTCAGCATCTTTTTTTCGATTTTTTCTTTCAACTTTCTTTGGCCCATCATTTGCCTTCTGTGCTTTGAAGACCAGGTGCACATATCTTAAGACTTTACAGTTATCATATTTGATTTATTTTGTTTCCTCAAATTTTCAACAAAAATAATAAATTAGAATAACAAGAAGTGTAACCCTATTTACCTGGAGTTTGGTAGCCTCAGCCTTCTGTGCAGCCTTGAGCTTCTTTTCTTCTTTTAGTTTTGCCTAGAATGTAAAAGAGCAATAGGTGGAACAATTAATCTATACTGAAACTACAAAACCACTTGGGATTTCACAGAAACAATATATTAAATTTTCACCAAATGGAAATGATGAATTAACTTCTAATGAAATCCTAACCTTTAAAGTGTTATTTCCATGACTTTAATATAGAATTTGTCTGATTCGGTTTTACTCCACACAGAGAAAATGCATATATAATCCTATAAATAGGTTTCTATTTTTAAGTTTATTTTATCCCCCAATAACTTTATGAATTGTTGTCGGATGTAATTGTGAATTGATCTTTATCTTCACCGAATTGTTCTACTCATAGAATTCTATTTTGGATTTTGTTTCTATTTTGAATTGGAATATTGGTACACTTGGAGCTTTCATCCCATAATTTTTAAAGTGCAATAAACTTATCTAATCCTCCTATAAAAAGGTTACTGCTTAAGATTTTACCACATCAAAGTTTATTTGGAGGATTCAACTGTTCACTAAGCCTTATTCATAGTTTAGTCGTATTTGGACATTCATGTAAAAACTATTCAATTGCAAACCTTCAATTTGCACAAGTATTTTAAAATATTTTGATGTAAATTATTATCATGTATCATCATCTGCATTTGATTATAGCCGAAACGGTTTTTTTTTTTTCACAATTATATAAATTGAAATTCAAGCTCCTACAGTGAATTAACTTTTAATAATATACTAGCTTTCAAATTTTATTTCCCTGATTTTAATGTACACTAAGTTTGTCTGATTTTAATTTTATTCAATATAGTTCGTAATTTATTTCTACTTCAAATTTGAGTTTTACTGCACAACGTTCTTTCTTCTGCACTAAGCTTCAGAATCCTATAAATAAGTTTCTATTATTTTAGCAAGGAGATATTTATTAAAAAAATAATGTATGCTGGTTAAGAATAATAATTTCAAACATTCTAATTAAATTTATGTGTTATAAAGTGATATTGATTATACTAAAGTTTTTTTAAAAAAGTATAGTCCAATAAACCGAGTATAAAAGTCCAAACAAGGATCCAAAAACTTCTGTTTAAAATAAAATTGAGTTAAAAATAACAATATTTACAAAATTGATATAATTATCTCACTAATGTAAAAAATTAAGGTTTTTTATAAATGATATGCAATTGATGCCCTTGTATTTTAACTAGCATATCTCAATGGCATCAGCACAAACCACAAACAATCATTATAGTTATAGATCCCAAGCTAAGCTGAAAAAAAGTTGAATGTTGACATTAAGTAAACAATTAGCATAAAATATATGCCAAATGTTAGGAAAATGAGTCCCAATTTGAATTTACAAGTAACAGGGCATACTTAAGTAGTGAAGTGTTAGGACATAACCAGATTATGATAAGTAAGCAACAAATGCAACGCCACAGTTTATCGTGATGAAAAGCATGCAAGTGTTTAGCAGGCCTGAATTTCTATATCAATTTTAGTGACTTCAAATTCAAAGAAAAGAGAATGTCAAGACAAACACTATACGAAGAACATAAAGGATATGTATGCAAGAAACTCAATGGAAAGAGGAAAAACTCAAATGAAATAAGAAATGTTACAAGCTATTGTGTTGTGGAAATATTAATAATAATAATGAGTTAAGGATAACAGAGGATAGAGAGTTAAGAGTGAAAGTTTTAGGGTGAATAGGATTAATGATAGAGTGATTGCTATAATCGATGAAGACATTATGTTCCTACAGTTTGACTAGAATTAGGTCTAAAAAATTCATTCTGGGAAATGATAGATGAAAACTTGCAACACATGCCAAAGAAGATACATAATAATTGTGATTTAAACGGTCCTTAGGTTTTATTATGTTGGGAAATCAGAGTATTCACAATGGGTTTATATAAGATAGAAGTACAATAGAAGAAATAATACTTAATTTCATAGTTAGTATATGATCTATTGGTCATCTAATATAAAACAAAGAATATGAAAATGGTAAGAGAACTTAATTGCTTTCAAAGTTGGGTTACCAAATAAGCAAACACTCTTTTATTTTCTTAGAACAAAGATCTTTGCTGTAAACATTACAGCGTAATTTTTAGAGAATGTGTAAAAATGCATGATACAACAGAATAAATTATGCTTGCCCTAAGAATAAGATGGTGAATCTTGAAAATTGAAAATGAGAATCTGTTAATCTTCTTTCAAGATAAATTGTTGATAAAGGAAATATGAAATTCTATAACTGAACCAAACTTTATGAGAGAGGAGATGTTTAGTTGTAGAAGATTGACATAAAACTTTTAGGTGAGTTATAAATAAATGACATATTAAAAAGGAAACTTGGTGGTAAAATGAAGAACTACAAAAGATTATCAAGCAAAATAATCCTATTAAAGAGTGGAAAAAAATAAACATAAATAAGGCCAAGAAGGGTACACAAAAACTAAAATTTTGCAAAGAAAAAAAGAATTAATAAAGCCTATAGTTGCAACTTTTGATGTTTTGCATGATAGATTTGACACTAAGAAAAGAGTAAAGAAAATATATAAAATAAATTAATAACTAGAGAAACAAATATAAAATCTAAAGGCTTTGATGAAGTTAGAAGTATTAAAAGATGAGATAACATGAGTTAAAGATAAGGATATCCATAAAAGAAGATAATATTATTTTGAAATTTTAAAAAAACACAATGAATTGAACTATGAATATTATTAATAGGTTGATCCAAACAAAGTATAATAGGCTTAGCTTGAAGAAAATTAATAAAAGTATAATTTTAGGTACAATGAGATAACACTTTAGATTCAAAGACTTATGAAATATGCTATAATAGTTAACAAAACCTTTTAATGGAATTTAAAATGCCAATATGATGCAAAATGATAAGAAAAGAACCTTAATCATGAATAAATCATATATTTAAGATTGTGATAATTGCATAGAACTAAAATTCATAAGTCTTATAATATACTTATGAGAGTTTAATAAAACTTGGGTTTAGAAAATAATGCAGGTTTGACAAAATCAGTATGGGCTTATGTCATAAAGGTCCAATAAGAAGGCAGTTTTAATTCTAAGGAAATTAATTTGGTGTGCATTAAGAAAAAGAGCGAGTGTCAAGGGCACATTGAAATTATGAAATATACAGAATGGAGCGTTGACTAGCAAGAAAAATAGTTGATAAGTGACTAAAGAGAGCTCCTAACCATAGTTGTTTTAAGTTAAAGATTAACATTAAATTCATATCTTTTTATATATAATAAGGAGATGCTCAAAAAACATATTCAAGGTGAATTATTGTAGCATGTGCTACTTGTAGATGACAAAGCTTTAATATGTGAAATCTCAGATAAAATATGTAACAAGACATAATAATAAATGAGATGCTAAAGAGATAAGAGGCTTACAATTAGTAAAATAGATACTGAACATATGATATATACAATATTAGTGGGTGTAAAATTGGAAATCATTAGTTAATATTACCTAAAGATCAAGTGATATTTAGGGGCTTAAGTAACGTGGATCCATTATACAAAAGAACACGAATATAGATGATGATATAACTTCTAGAGTTAAAATTGGTGGCGGTAGTGAGGTCCATAGCACTATTCTAGGATAGTGAGGTCCGTGTAAATTGCCCTTTGAAGTAGAAGCATACAGAATCTGCTCAAGAATTCCGAAAAGGGGTAATTAAATATTATCCTTTAGGTAATTGCAACAAGAATCCGAGTCTCAAAATACGCAATTATGGAGCAATTTCTATTTGTAAGCTAATAATTTCAATGAAATCATAATTTGGATTCTAGCACCATCATTGGAATAAATAGAACATAAAAAAAACCTTTTGCTCCTTCTTCATCTTTCTTTCCGGATCCTCGTCTCCAACCTACAGTGAAATGAAAAGCATAAAGTAATAAGCTCCATATCACATTTCCCAACATTCAAGGAAGATAACAGTAAGATGTTTGATGCAACAGCTGGGTGACACAGAGAATAAAATCAGTAAAAAACTATGCAGACAAAACAAAATAAAATAATAAATTTTAGTTCTTGAATCTTCTCCTCCATATTCTCTTCTATAGGCTGCTAAGAGAAACCACATACGATAAGATATCAGATTGAAACTCGTTTCATTCACCCAGCAAACGAAAAACGCAAAAGAAGTATTTAAATTGCACAATCAAAACTTCTGTCAATAAAGATGGAAGATAAAACATCAAAGAATAGGTTCGTCAGACGAAACCTAAATGCCAATCCAAATCATCAAAAAAGGAGTGTGTAAAATGAAAAAAAATCAATCACACGAAGGAAAAAACTTCTTACCGGCGCCATTCTCGAGCTTTTCGGGGCTGTTTGGCTGCAGGATTTAGGCCGGATTTGAGCTAAATCGCGCCAAACAGCTAAAACCGCAAAATCTCACGGTAAATGGAAGCCGCAGTTGACGGAAAAACACCCCCTTTCCGTGGTAAGTCCCGGATTTACTAAATCCTTCGGTTCGGCGGATTTACGGGATTTGGCCGACGAAGCGCGCGAAAGGGAGAAAGTTACCTTCACAGCGAGCGAGCTCCCGTCGTTGCTTCCGATCAAAATTTCGACACTTCCAATCCAACAGGAAGCGAACGTCGTCGAAGGAGCGAAGTCAAACAGCGACGAAGAGCCGAAGAACGGACACTCATGCGAAGGAATGAAGCCGAGCAGCAAAGACGTAATAGAGAAGGGAAAACTAAACCCTACACTATAATTTAAAATATTAATAATTAACTAAAACTAATTAAGTTATACTTAATTAATTAAATAAATTATTAGTATTGCGGGCTAGAATATACATGGCGATAGAGTTTTAATAGTTCGTCTTAGCGTTACACGGATATCCAGCTCACATACATAGAACACAAGATTTTTTACGTTGAAACTCTTGAAAGGGGAAAAACTTATTAGCGTCCGGATGTAAAACTACGTCAGTTGTTCGGACCTAATAAAAATTCCTTTCAATGGAAACCACTTCACTTAATTTATTGAATTGCTGCTCTTCTTGTCAAAATTTCTTTTAGCTCGAAGCCTTCAGCAGTCCCCTTATGTGATCCCTTCCGAAGGCCAAAGGGATGCTGAGTGTAATTATTGTTTGGATTATTACATACTCAGTGTTCAACAAATATCATCAATCTCATGTTGCGGCCTCTTATCACAAAATGAAGAGATGGATTCAAACAAAAATAGGTTAATATTGTTTGAAAACAATATTTGAACAATTTCTCACATAATAAGGTTTGAAAGATAAGTTTGATTTTGTTGTGGATTGAAACATTCGAGGTTGTAGGAAGATATAAAGTATAGCGTTTAAGTTTTGTGTGAAGTTCCTTCACACAAACATATAAAAAGGGAGGGGTGCGAGAGTCATAAGTGACACAAATATTTTTACGGGAAAATCCTAAAAAAGGAAAAAAGCCACGAGACCTGGCCCAGTTAAAAGAATTATGCTCATTTTTATTGTTGGTTATAAATGAAGTCATTCTTTGAGGGGAAGGCCTTAGCTCGATATAGTAAATATTATATAGAATACACTACATGGTGGTACTTGAACAAACCATAGTAGGCAGACAGTGGTGGTCGGAGGGACCGTAGTCAGAGGGTGATGGCGGTTGGAGGGGCCGTAGTCAGTGAGGGATGATAATCTGACAAGATTATAGTTTGCAGATGATGATGCTTAGAGGGACCGTAGTCAGTGGACAACTGTGGTTTGAAGGACGTAGTCTGCAAGCAATGATGATTGAACTGGACTGCGGTCGATGGATGGTGGTAGATGGACGGTGGTCTGCGATCAACGATCGATGGACGACGGTTGGCAAACGCACTCGGGGGGACGTCTAGCACCTATTAACAAATGGGCGGTGGTCCGACAATGGACATCACCAACGGTGATTCTTAGGTAATACTCTAGGATCCTTAACAGCCTTAAATCTCTCTCAAATTTCAGCCAAAGGCCCCCCTCTTGTAGAGAGTGGGGGTCTATATATATAAATTTTTTGTGAGTGGCATACACTAAAAATATGGAGAAGATCCAAAGCAAATTTAGAGTGCTCAATCAAACGACCCGTATTGGTATCTTCTATTATAGAGTGTTTGTCAAGCATTTACATGCCAAATAATGTAAAATTAAGTGATATTGGACTCGTTGGATTCGTCTAGTCAGGCTTCTTTATTTGTATATAAACATTTCATATTTAGACATCATTTGGTCATATAATTAATGTTTTGAAACTTTCAAATATGCTTTGGTCCCTTGATTTGGACCCATTTGGGCTCAGATTGGTGTCTTTGGGCTCGTCTCTTCGAGACATTCAATTGAATATAAGTTTGCTAAAATTAGAGTTTGGATGTCCCACATTTAATTTCGGAAGTATCCAACTTGAATATACCTCGAGATTAATGCTCGATCAGTATTATTTTTGATGACGTATCATACCTAGGTTCGAACTCGTAATGTTTGAACCCATAAATCCATTCAACCAATATAAAAACAATGTTGCTTTCACAAAAGGTGATAGAAATGGTTAACAAAGAAGTTATTTGCATTGCTTGTGTAGAAGGAAATCCACTCAACCAATATAAAAACAACGTTGTTTTCACAAAGTTGATACCAATATTTAACAAATAAGTTATTTACATTGCTAGTGGAGAAGGCTATCATGGGATTAGGCGAGACAAATGGCTCAACAAGGATATAATATATAGGCTTCGTTTGGGACAGTTTTTTTCCTGCTTCTTAAAGCCGCTTTCTAGTACATAGGTTTTAATTTTTGTACTAGAAAGCCACTTTCAGAAGCAGGAAGAAAGCTGTCCCAAAACGAAGCCATAGTAAGGACAATGTCCTAAATGTGAAAGAGAAGACTTAAAAAGAAGGCCCATCCTAATATATTATTACTTGGTATGCATGTTGGTCTAATAACTGGACTAATTATGAAGTTATTTCAAAATTGGTGAAGACATGTACTGAATTTTTCATATTAAGTTATTGACAAATAATTGAATAAACTTAATATTTAGCTACTTAACTCTAATAAAATAAGATACTATATAAGTTGTAAGATAATATATAAGATAAAATGGTTAAGTACTAACAAAATCAGCTCACTGAAATAGGGAACTAATTAAACATACTCTATTTAATCAAATTTAATTTAAATAATATACGAGCTCGATCTCATCGTGATTAATATTAAGCATTTAGCAAGTTACTTATTGAACAACAAATGAGTTTGTTCATGATTATAAATAAATGAGATTGATCATGTTCATATTTGATTCATTCAACTTATTAGTTTTTAAAAGTATTCAAACTTGTTTAGTTACTAATCTAAATAAATTTAAGCAATTATTAATAAATCCTACTTCTAATAGTTCAACATCACATAATTTTTTTAGTTACAATATATTAAGCAATAAATCAATAAAATGAGAAGTTCATTGATATCCGTGTGGTTCGGACATTCTTTGTATTGATAATCAAGGAGAATTATTTGTACGGAGGCTGAACACAGAACGTCATCTAGAAGACCATCAGAATGTGCCACGTAGCGCACGAGCAATACGAGCAGTACGAGCTGCGTTATCAAGCAAAGGGTGACGTGGCGATTCAGATTGATCTCCGAACGATGTTTTGCATACACACAGAATAATTAATATAATCAAAGGGGGTTGAGTCAATGACATGTGAATTTTCTTTTGGCCAAGTGATTAAAGTGAAATTGATGTTCTACCAATAAGAGGTCCCCTCATTTTCCCTCTTTTTTTTTCTTTAATTTTAGTTGTTTTGTTTCTATATATAATATGTTTTTTTTTACACATCAATGTTTTAATTTTTTAATATGAATAAAATTAATCATGCATAGATGAAAGGTATCAAATTATAAGAATAATTGGTGAGATATAAAAAGGGAGAAAGTTTGAGTAAGAACATCTATTTTTAAAATTAATGAAATATGAATTTGATTCGAGCTAATTTGAATTCAAATCTAAGCTAAACCGTTGTTTGAATTTGCTTACAACTTTTGTTCTAATCTCATTCCAACTTTGTTTACATCACATTTGAACTTAGATCTGACAAAGGTTCAAACATGGCAAGTTTGAATCTTCGTTCACAGGCATTAATCCTATGATGCCTTCCCCAATAAGCCCATAGAAAGCCTCTTTATATAAGTGATTGAGGCTTCGTTTGGGACAATTTTTTTATTGCTTCTTAAAATAATTTTTTAGTTTAAAAATTAAAATTTTTATACTGTAAAACTGCTTTAAGAAGCAGTAAGAAAGCCGTGCCAAACGAACCCTGAGTGTTTGTTGTGCTATGCTGAGCATATATATTTGATTACCAATTTAACTAGACTGAATTAAATTGAGCATTGATGTAATCCTATTGAATTTATTGAGATGCATACAAATTGTCAAAAGTTGTGTTATATCATTTAAGTATTTGGGAAAAATATGAAGATGAAAATAATATTCATCTTTTAAGGGTCTTACATTAAATTATATAGAAAAATTATCAAAATTAAGCTTAAAGTTAAATACATGCATTGAATCACAGTGTATTTTTACTTGAATACATTTATTTTATTTTAACACATAATAAAAATAAAATAAAATATTTTATCTCTACACAATAATTTTCAGAAAAAATTAATGAATTATCTCATATGCAAAATAATAATTATCCTTTAAATAGCACTTGATGTATGACTAATTTTATATAAGCTTGATTGGGCACAAATTCAATGAAAATTTGAATTAGAAAATTTCATAATTAAATTCAAGATCGTACAAAAAACAATTTCAACAAACATATAGTCGATTCAAATATCTCAATGAGACAAATATACCAACATCAAAAGTGATTCAATCCAAATTCAAATGAGCCCAAATCAAGCACTTGAAGTTCAGTTGAAAATTTAAGGATATTAATTGGAAGGTCAAATTATCTCCAAATATTGTACCCACATGACAAAATTAGGCATTTCAACGAGACAAATCCAACAAGCTAAAGCCCACCCAATTTCGACATAATTAAGGTAGTTAATGTGGAAAGAACAGTTTATAATCATGGGAATCTATACATATTATATATGAAATGTTCATAATTATCTTTAGCTTAAGATTCAAGAGAGCTTAATGGCTTAAAGAATCTCAAATCTCTACCCAAGCACTATTATTGGGCCATCACGTGTCAGTCTTATTAAATCGGTTGAGCATTGCCATTGGAGCATTGCCTAGCTACCACTGTTGAATTGCCATCATCTTTAGATCTCCACTGTCTAATCACAATCATAAGACTATCATCATTGTCAAATTGTCGCCACCCAACCACCATCGTCAAGCCACAATTATCACCGAATCACCGCCATCGATTTGCCACTGCCCGACCACCATTGTGGGACTATCCCCACTTAATCACCATTTTCGAAGCATCACCAATGGGCCATCATTGCCTAACAACCACTGTCAGACCACTGCCTCTGGACCTCTGCTAAATACACCATCATCATCAGACCGTCGTCACCTGATCACCATTATTAGATTAACGCAGCATGACCAACACCGTTAGAACAACATCACTTAGCCACGATCATTCAAACACCTGATCTCATCCCATATCAACTTTTCAAAAATTTATGTTAGCCACCCATATAACATATGATTTTATCTTTTCTAAATTAGGGGACAAGCAAACCTTTGTTATCAAAACTAACATAATGGAATTAATTTAGCAGGGCTAGACTCACCGATCTTTCGACTTTTATAGGTTTTTCACATAAAAATCTCAGCGGCACTTATTCTCTTTTGATTTATCTGTATGTGCGTAGAATCTTCAAATAAAACTTGTATGTAAAGTTCTCCAATGCTACTGTCGTAAATTTTCTAACACGTAACACCGCTCGCATTATAGAAGAACAAGAATTTTTATGGCACCATCCAAATAGAAGAAAAGTTAATTCTCACTCAATACAATACTTCTTTTACTATAACACACGCAAAATGAAATATAAAATACTCAAAGAACAAGTATATAGCGTCCTTATACAATACCTCTTCGTTTTCACCCATCGGCACCCACTCCTACGTGGCACTTTCTACCCTTTTTACTGGGCCACGACCACTGGGCCAGCTTGAAAACATAACGAATAAGCTTTCGCCACCTCAGCATTTTCAGCTCTTTTCCATGCTCGACCATACCCTTCCTACCATCAAGCTTTAGAGAGAGAAACGAATCTACGAAAATCAAAATTAGAAAACTAATTATACATATTCAAATTTGAGAATATTTAAAAAAAAATGACCTAATCGGACCTCGAATTTTTTTCGATGGATCAAAATAGTCATTGACTATATCAAAGTATTAATTTGGTCCCTTGACTCTCTAAATAAGAACCAAAATAGTTATTTTGTTGAATCATTTAGGTTCCTAATTACAAGAGACTTTTAAATAGTTATGGACCATATTGATTGCTTGTAAAGAGTCAAAAGGATCATTTTATTTCTTAACTCTTAAATAAAATAAAATCATATAAATTCTAAAAAAATCATCATTAAATATATATATATTTTATTTATGTTAATTAAATAATTTTATATAATGCAATAATAACTAATAATACTAATATTTATATGAATTCATTCTCCCAATAATTTTATTTTTTTTTCAAATAATTAAAGATTTTATTTCATAATTCACATACGAACATATTTTATAATTATATGAGTTAATACTAAATTTAGGTTTCATTTGGGATAACTTTTTTATTGCTTCTTAAAGCAGGTTTTTAGTACAAAATTTTTAATTTATGTACTAAAAAACTGTTTTAAAAAGCATGAAGAAAACCGTCCCAAATGAAGCCTTCATGTCATGGAATCGAAGTGGCTCTCATATATGAGCACCTATAACATGAGATTTTAAATGAAGCAAAAAATATTTGCTATTTATAATATATTATACATTAATTAAGATTAAATATTATTATGTCAGAATATTTAAAAAAATCTTGATTTTATTTTGAAATTAGTACAATACAAATCTTTATATAAGCATTATTTTTAAAAATAGATCTAATAAATTTGTATTAAATTACTCTCCTGACAAGTTTTTTCAATAATTAATACATTAAAAATAGATCGATATATGATAAATACCTTGAAGGCTAAGAATGGAGGAGTTCTGAGAAGAAGAAGAAGAAGAAGAATTATCATCTTGCTTTGGACGGTGGAGATCGAAGAAGCTGGGGAAGGAGCTTAGTTTAAGGAACTTTGGAATTTTTCTGGCAACGGTGGAGATCTTCTTCTTCTGCAATCTGAAAGAGCTATACTGATTATACTCCTGCTTTGAAGCCACTATGAGGAGTTTCTCCTTCAAACAAAGAGAACAAACTCCAACTACCAGTTTGTTTGGGTGTAAGCAACATGAGAGGTTCTTGTCTCCTCCATTATGGAGCTTCATTTTGCAGAAATGGAGAAGAGATAAGGTGAGAGAAGAGAAGCTTCTAATGGTGAAGGGGGAAAGAGGGGGATAGAGAAGGAGAAGATAAGAACAGAAGAAAGAGAAGGTTCAAATGGTGAAGACAGAGAGAGAAGAAGAAGTGGGCGCAATTACTTTATAGAAAATTTTAGAAGATATGATATATATTCTTACAACTTTATTATTACAAACTATAAAAAAAGAAATTATTTTTCTTAAAAATGTTCTCATTAATAAAGAAATCATTGCATAGTTTTTGTCCTGGGATTGTAATAAATTGATTTATATACAACAGCAACAACATTAATATCAAGTCTTTATCGTTATGTTAAGAGTCTAATTCTCATTTACTTTTAATAAAAAAAGATAAATTTCTAATATTTTTCTAGCCATGTCTTTTTAGATCTACCTCTACATTTCTTAACATAGGCCAATTTTGATACATCAAAAGGCCACCGTTGTACATGTGCAAACCATCTAAAGCAACTCTCTTTAGACTTCATTTGGGACCGCTTTCTTTCTGCTGTTTAAAGTAATTTTTTAGTACAAAAATAAAATTTTTCTACTAAAAAATAACTTTAAAAAACAATAAAAAAACCGTCCCAAATGAATCCTTAATCTTATATGTCAATGGAGCTACTCCAACCTTCTAATGAATATGCTTATTTCATATTATATCTTTAAGAGTAAATCTACTCGTTCACCTCATCATCCTCATCTAACTTAATAATAAGTTGGTTTATATATAAAATAAGAAAAAACTGTTAGGATATTAAATAATATTTTTTTATTATGGTTAAATTTTATCTTAATAGAAACATATTTAAGAATATTCTGATGATTTTGTTTTGCTTCAGAATGAGCGAGGGAAGGGCAGGGGACCATGCACGAGCGCACGACCGCTGAGGACAGAGACATCGTCCTTTTCTTAGCAATAATGCTTCAATGGTACCAAATGGTAGCGACAGTCAGCATGTTGGGCGAGTAGTTTGATATAACTTATTTAATTGCATATGAATAAAAGAAAAAGAAAAGGCTCGAAGCAAATAAAAAAAACCATTTCAAAATCGAAAATTTCAACACCAAAATGAAATCCTTTACTTGCACCACTCGTGCACTCAATATTTCCATTAATATTTCATTTGGAATGATTTTTTTTATTATAAAATTGCTATAAAAAGTGATTTTTTTTAAAGCTATTGAAGATGGCAGCTTCCAAGTAGGGGACCGGAGGAGTCAAAAATTGACATGTTTGCTCAAAAACTGACCCGAAAAAGTTTAGGTTCGGATCAACCCGTTTGTGAAATAGGTCGGGTCCGGGTTGACCCGAATTGGCCCAGTAAGTTGACCACATGCCCGGCCGCGGCGTTCGCATCTAGTGGCGAGTCGTGACTGTTGCGTCATGCCAGCCGTTTCACACAGGCTACGCCCATCCGCGTCTTAGGCGCCTAGCCGTCTCGTCCGCCTTAGCCATCTCGTCAAGTCATCCCTTCCCGAGTCCCAACCAGGCGACCACCACAGGCGATGGGCTACGCCGCTACAGGCTACCGCAGTGCAAAGTCTCCACCAAACCACCGCCAGGCCGCCTTCTTGACCAGTCGCCGTCGGCCTCACCTCCTGCTCCGCCTCACGAGTGGATCACTCTAGATCTCGACCCATTTAGCTAGATGGGTCGGGTTCGAGTCAACCACTTTACGTCCGAGTCAACTCGGGCTGGACCCGAACCTAACCCATTGACCCGAATTGACACCCCTACTTCCTAGTATAATTTTTTTTAAAATAATAAAAATTAATGACCAAATAAAAATTATGATTATGACCCGAAAAATAAAACAAAAAGAAAATTGGGCAGCTTAAAAACTGCATTCACACACAATCATTGCCCTCCCATTTGCCTGATGACAACACATAGAACTACATTTTTGTGGATAGGGATGCAAACTGGCAAATGGCCTTATAAATTACATGAATATTTTGTTTACTATCAATGTGAAATAATTCATAACAGCAGATTAGTCATGGGTTCAGCTATCTTAACAAGTTGGAACTACTAAAATTTGTAAAGTAGGAGGAAATAAAACCACAGGGAGTATTTTATAAGAACCACAGTACTATTATTGAAATTATTCTTTTCGGAACTTGACTATGGCTTCTTCAAGCATACAACTTGGAGAGTTCTTCGGTGAATACCTTTCTGAGGGCTTCTCTCTTGAGTTTTAGAGCTGCTGTTACCAGACCGGATTCAGGAGTCCATGGTTCTGGTAGCAATTTGATCCTCGAAGGTATCTCAAATTTCTCCAAACGTGATTCTCTTGCTGCCTGCAATAGTTTCAACACATGCATGGAATTAGAAGTACATTTGATTGTTAAACTTTAAAGAAGGATATTAATCATTTCTTTATGCAATCTACTTTTATCTGGGGTCTATTTGGTTGGCTGTAAAGTGAATGCAGTGTAAAATAAATATTTGAGACTGTTTGATTGTCTGTAAAGTAAATGCATGGAAACTGTTTTTTTTTTTCTATTTAATTGGGTGTATGTGGAGTGAAGTAAAGTAAACACTTTCTTATAACTCCAACCAAACTAATAAAAATCTTGATCTTCTTTTATGGCGCAGAATCATTCCACATCGACAACCTTAGCACCTGATTCACCTCATCCTCTCATATCAATGAAATAAAATCAAAACTAAATATTTTCTTTTTTACTTTCTAAAGCTTCCAAATTTTCCATATGATATTCGAGACCACTGAAGCCCTCGCGTTGTTGTATGTTTGATCCGATTAGGAAGATTGAAAGGCAAGTGCCTCCCCAACTTACACTTAATTAGATTTAAGTAATAATAATAATTGATATATCATCAAAAAATTATCTTGAACGGGCATGAATCTAGAGACAAAATTAAGTTGGAAACTTCCAAAATTAAATCTGGGACCATCCAAACTCCGATTTCACCAAACATACAGTCGAATTAAGCGTCTCGAAAATACAAACCCAACGACACCAAATTCGGCTCAACCGGTTGAGCCCAAATGGGTCCAAATCAAAGACTCGAAGCACATTTGAAAAAGTTCAAACCAAAAATTGGATAACCAAACAAAATCCAAAAGTGGCATGCTTATAATCAAATTGAGTGGCTTGACAAGATGAATCCAACAAGCCTAAGATCGCTGAATTCTAGCATTAATAAGATACTCAAATGCTCGATAAAAGGTCCACGATCAAGGGGATCAATATCGGCCATCCATTCAAAATGCTCCCAACATGCCCATGATTTTCTCACTATTTACTAGTCATGCCACTCCCCAAAAACTATAAATAGACCCCCCATTCTTAAAAAAAAAAAAGTAACAAAAGGGGAGGAAGAAAGAAGAGAGATATAAGATCTCTCTTACCACAAAGCTCCCCTCCTCGACCACCGTCCGGACTTCCGCCGGACCACCTACCATTGTCGGACTTCCACTGGACCACCGACTGACGCCGGGCTTCCGTCATACCTCAACTAACGCCCGGACTTCTGCCCAACCACCGACTGTCATCGGACTTACCCCACATCTCCACCAAGGAAGATAGAAGAGAGATCTGAGATCTCTCTTGCCACCAAACTCCTCCACCACCGCCCGAACTTCCGCCAGACCATCGACCATCGTCAAACTTCTGTCAAACCATTGACTAACGCTCGAACTTCTGCCCGACCACCAACTCTAGTCGGACTTTCGTCGGACCTCCACCCGGCCACCGATAAACGCTAGAATTCTTCCCGGTCAACGAAAAACCCCAGACTTTCACTCGGCCACCAACTGACATTGGATTTACATCCGACATTCATCGGCCACCGACTATGGTCTTTCCTACCTCCGTCGCCCGCCCATTACGTGTCACGACCCGACCCGATCCGGGACGGATCCCGCTCGCACCGGGTCGCGACCGGAACGAACAAACTGACTGACCAGGATCTGGCTTTGGAATTTGCTTCTGAACTGAATCTTCCAAATATTTCAACTCAAACACAGACAAATACAAATCAGAACAGATTAAATCAACAGAATCAGAATCGTACAGAAATTAGAAATTCAGATCAGATCAATTCATATCGTACGGAAATCAGAATCAGATTTGCTTACAGAACAGATACGGAAATTAGAATCATATCAAATCAGATATCAGATATTATTTAATTCATAGCTAAATGCCCTGACACTGACGGAATCTCTACGGATTTCGGCCCCTTATGCCTCCCTTCCCAGACACTGACAGAATCTCTCGGATTCTGGCCCCTTATGCCTCCCTTTGTGCTCACGGCACCAGAACAGATGTGCTTATAGCACCAGAACAGAATTCATCGGATCCGGAACAGAACTGATTTCAGAATTTTAGATTGAGCTCATTTCAGATTTCCCAGACACTAACTGAATCTCTTAGGATCCAGGCCCCTTATATCTCCCTTTTTATAGCATATACAGATAGCATATCAATTCAGAAGAAATCCGGACAAATCAGAAATCACACAAAAATCGGGCAGCACAACGGCTGTATACGGAATTTACACAATTTTTCCTGAAAAAATCACAGAATACCAAATTTGCACAGAATGTAGATAACAACATTACAAGACTTTAATTCTACTGCTCAGCAATTTTTAAACTACACAGAAAAATCCAGTCGACGAAAAACACCGTCGAATCAAAATTACTCGGACAAAAATCTCCAGAAAATAATCAAAATGTGCACACTCGGCACGTCAACAACCTACAGAAAGTTACGCGGTAAAAACTGAACTTATCGGAAAATACGGACGAAAATCACGAATAAAAATCAATTCCGGACAGAAAATACCGCCAAACACGACGGTTCTGAAAATTGAGAAAGGCGGAATGTGTCTTACCTTGCGTACAGCAATTTCCTAAACAGTCTCTTCGGACGAAAACGGAGCCGCGTCGCTCGAAAATCAACTTTTCCCAAAAAGCCCTCGACTTTCTCTCTCCTCGACTGATATTTTCGTTAATTTTGATTTTTCTCTCACTTCAAAATGACTGATTTCAGCTTTATAATACACAGATCGGCCCGGCCGATCGCAATATCGTCCTGGGACAATCTGAACACAATTCATCGTCCTGGACGGTTCACAGGGCGATTCTCAGGACGAAATCATGCACTAAACCGATCGGCCTGGACGATATCCCTATCGGCCCGGCCGATACCTACAGGAAAATCACCTGGAGCAATCTGGACACATTCTGGAGCAAATCCTCAACTGATCGTCCCAGGATGATCCCAGATCGTCCTGGACGATCCTGGAGCAAAATCAGCACTTTCCATTACGGTCCTTCCGACTCTTGTCACCATATAATGATCTTTCTAACCTCTGTCACCACCCGATGATGGTCCTTTCCACCTCTGTTGCCCGCCGACTACGGTCCTTCCGACCCCCTATCGCCATATAAAGATCTTTCCAACCTCTGTCGCCCACTGACTACAATCTCTCTGACCTCCTTTGCCCGTCGATTACGGTCCTTCCAACCCTTGTTGCCAGATAATGCCCTTTCCAACCTCTATCACCCGCCTACTACGGTCCTTTCGACCTCCGTCGTCATACAAGGGTCTTTCAGACCACTATCACCCACCAACTACGGTCCTTCCGACCCCTGTCACTAGATAACGGTCTTTCCGACCTCCATTGCCGCCAACTACGGTCCTTTCGACCTCCGTCACCAGACAATGGTCTTTCCGACCACTGTCGCCCACCAACTACAATCCTTCCGACCTCCTTCGCCAGACTACAATGCTTCTGACCTCCATTGTCAGACAACACTGTCTCCCGCCTACTAAAGAACTTTCTCACCTTCGTCACCCGCCGATTACAGTCATTCCGACCTCTGTTTCCAGATTACAGTCCTTCTGACCAGCATCTCCAGACAGCGGTCCTTCCAACCCTTATCGCCAGATAACAAACTTTCCGACCTTCGTCATTAGACAACGGTCTTTCCAACCACTGTCGTTTGCCTACTACAATCCTTCTGACCTCCGTCGTTAGATTACGGTATTTTTGACCACTGTCTTCAGATAAGAGTCTTCAAGACCTTCGTCTACTACTGTCCTTTCGACCTCCGTCATCAGACAACGGTCTTTTCGACCACTATCGCCTGCCGACTACGGTCCTTCTGACCTTTGCCGCCAGATAACGTTCTTTAAGACCTTCGCCCGCCGACTATGGTCCTTCTAACCCCCGTCGCTCGCTGAGTATGGTCCTTCTAACTTCCATCTCCATACAATGATTTTCTTACCACTGTCACCCGCCAACTACGATTTTTCTGACCTCCGTCGCTCAGCGATTACGGTCTTTCCAACCATTGTCGCCCGCCGACTAGTCTTTCTGACCTCTGTCGCCATATTATGATCCTTCTAAACATCTCCAGATAGTGGTCGTTTCGACCCCTGTCGCCAGATAACGAACTTTTCGACCTCCGTCATTAGGCAACGGTCTTTCCGACCACTATCGCCGATTATAATCCTTCCGACCTCCGTCGCTAGATTACGGTCCTTGTGACCAGTCTCCAGATAACGATCTTTAAAACCTTCGTCGCCGACCAACTACGATCCTTTCAACCTCCGCCACCAGACACTGTTCTTTCCGACCACTATCGCCTACTGACTATGATCCTTCTGACCTCTGTCGCTAGATAACCATCTTCCCGACCTCCGTCGCCCGCCGACTATGGTCTTTTCAACCTTCGTAGCCAGACAATGGTCTTTCTGACCACTGTCGTCTGCCAACTACAATCTTTTCGACCTCCATCGTGTGACTACGATCCTTCTGATCTACGTCGCCAGACAACGACCTTTCTGACCACTGTCACCCACCGACTACGGTCCTTCTGACCTCTGTCACCCGCCAACTACAGTACTTCTGACCTATGTCACCCACCGTTTACGATCCTTTCGACCTCTGTCACCAGACAACGGTCTTTCTAACCATTGTCGCCCGCCGACTACGGTCCTTTCGACCTTCGTCGCCTATCAACATTGGTCATGCCGACTAAACGAACATGTCAATATTAATTCTTCTAACTCCCACTATTTAATTCACTTTATATGATGTATATTTGCTACATCAAATTAGGGCCTTCCAGCAAAGGATAGGCATCATTTGTAATCAACTGCAAACAATAGTGGATTCATTTAAACTGGGTCAGGCCCCATGTTTTTTCCCCCTTTTCAGGGGTTTTCATGTAAAAACTCTGGTGTCTCTTATGAACGCTACACCTCTTTTATCTGATTGTGTGCTGGATCTTCGTATAAAGTTGAGACATTAAAACTTTATATTTCTCTATTGCCGCAAATATTCCAGGATGCAACAACAATAATAATAATATCACTTACTAAATGTAAACTGGATAAACATGTAAAACACTTGCACTCATATCTCTATTGGAAGCTATAACTATCTCTACAAGCATGCATTACTAAGCAACAATACATGAAGCATTTAAGCAGAAAAACTCAACCTATTTTATTAATTCTATCAATTTAAAACATCACCAAATTATTCTATAAGAATTTCAATGCCCATTATTTTGAAAGCATAAGGAGTCATGACTTAGTATTTACTACTTAGCTCCAACAGTTAGTCAAGCTACAAATGTTTGCTGCTTGACGCTTAAAGACTCCTAGAGGTTTAAGTTCCAATGTTGTCACCAACTTTTGATTATCTTTGCATGCTTGGTTCATCTCGCCTCTTAGATCATCATTTTTTGTGACCACTTCTTACACTTGTTGGCTATAAAGAATATACTCTACCAAATCGACATGAGCCTTCTCATTACTAATATGTGTAGATCATTCAATGATAGCTTGTTCAGGTGGCTGTATAGATACTTCGAAAATATGATTGAGCTGAGATCAAAAGCCATTGAAGTAAGATTAGTCTTTGTGAGAAGAGAAGCCAAGGCAAAGAGTGAGAATAAGAAAGGTAGAAAGAAGTGTAGTCACGTAAGTAGCATCCATTATCTTAGCAAGAAAGAATATCAAGGATGCATTGATGTTCAAATAAGATGAGTCTATATAGTTGCATAACAACATCCATGTCAAGAAAATAGTGTATGGTCTAAGATCATTGATAGAGAATCATTGAATAAGAAGATTGACAAATCATTTAACAACAGTATCAAAGTTCCTAGTGATGATGTTGTCAACATAAACAAGAAGATATATAAGTTTCAATTGTGTTAAAGACAAAGTGATAGATATTAGCAAAAGAATTGGTAAAGCCAAAAGCAATTAGAAATCATCATAGCTTATTGGACCAGGGATGGAGAGCAAAAGTAAGACCAGAGCAAGGGTGATAAGAGCACGAGCAATTATTAGAGAGTGAGCTCAAGTGTTAAACAAGTGTAAACATTCTAGAAAGATGAGATGCAACCGAATACATGTGGGAGGAATTTACAAATATGTATGGAGGGCAAGCAAGTTGGATACAGAGGCTGAGGAGTTGACTATAATGAAAGTTCGTTAAAGATGTTAAACCTTTATGAACTAGCCCAAGATTAACCAAGAGTGGGGTGAATTGGTATTTTAAAAAATATTTCAATCAAAACATAAAACTCAATCCAAACAAAAATTCACCACAAAAAAATTTAAAATGCGGAAATTAAATGCGGAAAAAGCAGTAGCAAAGAACATAGAGATTTATAGTGGTTTGGTCAACTCGACCTACAACTACTCCCCAGAGGCGCCCTCCGGGTATTGCACTAAACTCAGTGACTCTCCTTTTGCTCCCACAGCAAGGCGGAGAAGCCTTTACAAAACATCCTTTCCACAGACACCGGTGAGGCATAGAACCCGACTCATTTTGCTTCCTCCTGAAAAAGGCAGAGAATCTTGATCGATTACTGAAGTAGACCTCTCTCTAACCTCCAAGGACAAGGGAAGACGATCGGAGAAGACGACTTGGATCCTTGCTTGGAGCAACCTTTATGAAACCCCTCACAAACTCCCCCTCACAAGATCCTTTCTCTCTCTCTCCCCCTCTCCTCTAGGCTCTCTTAGGTCAAAACACCAACAAAAGATACCCTCTTGGGCGAAACAAGAGAATTTATAAAGAAGAGCTTCGGAATAGCTCTTAATTGCAACAAACCAACATTATCGTCTAGGACGATCGGCTGATCGTCCTGTACAATCAGTACAATTTCAGCTCAATTAGCCAGGACGATCCGGAACGATCAGAAGGAAATTTGTTCATATCGTCCAGGACGATGGTATATCGTCCAAGACGATAGTATATCGTCATGTACAATTAGTTCAATTTGTAGAATATCGTCCAGACCATCGCCCTGGATGAGAGTCTGGACGATGCAAAATTGATTAGATCGTCCGGGACGATCTCGCGATTTTCTAAGACGATTAGTTCAAAACATCACAGATCGTCCAGAGCATCGCCCTGAATAGACGCAGGCTGATGTTTGATCGTCCAGGGAAAATTAAGGTTTGTTATCTAATCGTCCCGGACGATCCTGCGATCGAGAAGGACGATGTGATCGTGCAATCAAACATTAATTGCTTTCCTTAATAACCAGATTTACTTTAGGCATAATTGTGCTGCATCGTCTAAGATGTCCAAAAATAAAACATGCTTTAACTGATCTTGCGACTAATTCTTTCTGATTTGAGCCTATCATCCAGGACGATGATCACATCGAGATGATGTGCTTAATGTCGGTTGTCTTAACCAGGATGCCCTAATTAGGGTTTCTATTTTTAAAGGATCGTCCAGGACGATTTTGGGATCGTCCAGGACGATGATTTTGGGATCGTCCAGGACGATGTGAGTAAAAACAGAAAATTCTAAAAACAGTAAGAAATTTTCACAAGTGTGTATGTGCAAGGTTACTTAGCATCATAAACCACATCATTTACAATTGACTCAAGAAAAGGTAAGAGATTTACAAACTGACTCAGACCTAGTTTACCCAATCTTGAGCTGGTTCAAATTGCAGTTTTGATCTTGTGGACCTGAAATGTTAGTAGGCAAGACAGTCGTAGAGAAACAGAAGTATTTACTATCATCAAAATTCTATTCCCTGAAATCAGATACGCAACATATAAATTTTTTTGCTCTAATACCATATTGAGAGATATTAAGCGGAAACAAATTATTATACGTTTTATTGATTTGTAAGAGAGCTTATAAACATTCATACATAAGTAAATAAAGCATCAAAATTATATCCTCATTTATGAAAAGAACTTCTACCATAATCTATTCCATTATTAAGAGTTTATTTAACACCTAAATATGTCAACAATCTTACAAAATCAAATTGACATCTTTAAGAGTTTATCCAATCCCAATCATGCCTATCATTTGAGAGTGTCCAAAGCCAACTTTAACAAGCTAAGCCTAACTAAGAAAAGGCTAGGGTTGATTACAAATAAAAAAACTGATTAATTAAAAATTATAAGATAACAGTTAATATTAGCACAATTCATATAGCACAAATTATATGAATTAACTATACACGTACTAAAGTGTTAATATAGGATTAAATCAATATAAAATACTAATATTAAACATCAATACTTTGTATTTCAGTAATCTTTTATTCAAGGTTTGGCCAAGGGTGAGCCGACATGCACAAAGCAAATTTTTGTATTTCTTTGTTTAGCTGGGGCTACTCATTTTATTGATTTTTCATCCAAGAGCATAACGATTTAGGTTCAACTATCCAGTTGCTTGAATTAATTGACTGCATGAATCCCTTGAATCAGTTGAAAGAAACAAAGTTTACGGTTCTCCCCAATGGACTTGTGAGAAGGCCCATCCATTCACCAGGCCAACAACCCTAAAAAAGAAGGCAATCTTCATAATATTTGCTAAGACATGACTTGCAATGTTACAGGTTTCCCTGTGTTCTCAGTTAAGCCTATACATTTAAGGCCTCCGCTTATCCTCGATATGCCTCAGATCCAGGCCAAGTCAAAAGTTCACAAATCAGGGGGGGGGCTAGCTAAAAAAAATGTTTTACAACGATGTTAACATAACTTCCTTCCTTTGTCTTGTTGATATTATTATTATTATTTTATTATAAGGAAGCGAACCCCAATCACCTCTTTGGAGGCAAGGGAGAACACCATTAGGTTACACACCCAACAGATATCGCATTACTTTCTCCAGGCAAACTAAGGCTTCGTTTGGGACGGCTTTTTTATTGCTTCTTAAAGCAGCTTCCTAATACAAAAATTAAAAATTTTGTGCTAGGAAGCTGCTTTAAGAAGTAGAAAGAAAGCCATCCCAAAAGAAGCCTATATGAGGTTAACAATACATACTTAAATAGACCATAAATGCAATGAAACATCAAAGAATAATCTAGCAAGAAAAGTACTCTGCAAGGTGGGCGTAGCACGGTAAAACATATAAGACAATTAAAAATAAGATATTGTTCGATCTTTTCCCATCTCTTGTGATCTATCATCTGTCGTTGATTGGACCTCTTCCACCAGTACTCCACTGCCTTAAAATTAGCTCTTGGCAAGGTGATTGATATAAATAAAGCGTATCATGGCAAAATCTATCAGAAATGAAGAAAATTTCTCTCTTCTCCACAATCTTATGGTCTTGCTATTGTTATTGTAGACCGGTTACCATCTTAGATTTATTTGTAGCCTAGTTGATTTGTCAACTCACTAACAACATTCATGATCATGGGTAACAAAGAGTCTATAAATATGCCCATCACAAAATTTTCAGCCATTTAGGCTTCATTTGGGACAACTTTCTTTCTGCTTTTTAAAGTAACTTTTTAGTATAAAAATTTTAATTTTTGTACTAAAAAGTTGCTTTATGAATCAGTAAAATAGAAGTCCCAAACGAAGGCTTAATCTTTGAAAATCTTGAAATAAGTTTATTTTGTTATGATTCATTCAAAAAAATGTGGAAGAATAAAATTTTATGTTGCCAACCTTTACAAGTGATGCATGCACTTCTTTCACAGCCTCTTCCTTTTGACATAGATCAGATAAGTTGCTGAAAGTGATTCCCTGCTTCTGAGCCCAACTTTCTAGAGCGTGTGATGCCACTGTGACAAGGGCCACACAATAGCTGTGAAAAGGATCAGCATGCAACATGATATTTTCGACATATGGGCTCACAATAAGAGCAGTCTCTACCTGCAAAAAAGGTAAGATAGCTTAACCTAAAGATGAATATTAATTCAGAACAGCACATGGGACAAAAATTCGTACCTTTCCCAGAGAAACATATTCACCGTGTTGAAGTTTCACAATATCTTTTTTCCGATCAATGATTTCAAGGCAACCATCTGGATGAAAGCGTCCAATGTCCCCAGTGTAAAACCATCTCATGCCCCTTTCATCAAGCTTTTATGTAACATGCAGTGCATAATATAGTTAGTCTAAGGGCATCTATAGCTGAAGAGTTGAATGGGAAATATATTTTCTTAAAAAATGAACATTTCATACGATGTGGCAAAACAAATGTTTTCTAGCTTTTTAGTACAAAAGTTTTTATTTTTAGAAAGTTAACTCCTTTTTGGATCTCAAGTATGGAAAGTCTCGTTTCCATTCTCTTCATTTCTAGGAATGAACAAATATGCTCTAATATTATCAAATCCGATATTTTCCGATATTAGATCCTTGAGAGGGCTCACCTTGTATACTTCCTTAGTTTTCTCTTCATTCTTGAAATACCCCGGAGTCACATTTGGTCCCCCAATAACAATTTCACCACGTGGCATTGGTGAATCTGTCGTTAAATATCCACCTTCTGGCCAATCAATTAGCTGCTAGAGCAATTAAATTCTCATTGGCAAGTTCATAAAATTAAATGAAATTAAAAAACGGACAGAAACACTACAAAAAAATATCAAAAATGGAAAAGAAAAATAAAATTGTTGGTATGTTGCATGGAAAAAAAAAAAAAAAAGCTGCACTTAATTGAGCCTCTTGGCAAGCGCAGCTAACGATTCTCTATGTTAGGTTAAATCAGAAGAAACAAGAAGCTATTCAAACAAACTTAGAGATAGGGTGACCGAGGATCTAAGTTTAAAAATTGCACAAAATTTGGATCAGCCCTTGGCTCAAATCGTGCTCAAATTCAAGTCAGTGAGCTAACTAACGAGCACAGCCCAGCTCAGATCAAACTTGAATTGAGTTGAAATTAATCAAATCAAGATAGATCTTAATGTGCAAATATGTATGGATGTTTATACACACATACTTATGTACATATTTAAATTTGAAATAATGTATATATATATATATATATGCAAGCATGAATATGAATTAATATATTTATGAGTGTATGTATGTATGTTAGACAAGAAACTTTTCTGATGAGATCGAAAAATAATTGAGATCAGATCAACTTTGGAATTTAATCAAATTGCTCATACATGAATATGCATAGATTGTAACTGCTCATATTGATGTGAAACAAAAAGGAATTGCAGGAATTTAATAAAATTTGTTAAGCTTGTCCATTTTAAAATTAATGTTTCACAAGGTTAGATTCTAGCATTTCGTAATTGTTATTTTGCTTTTGGCATGCAATTACGAAATAGATTAGAAGGGCAATTAAAATAACATCAAGATTATAGTAAAGCTAGATACGCAAGTAACAAAAATCTACCGGTTAACAATTAGAGCAATCACCTCGAGGGCTTTAGCGGAAGAATAATTTGCACAACAATAATGATGCTACCAAAGTATAGAAGGCGCTTACAGTTTTGTCCAAGAAAAAGTTAACCGGAAAAGAGGAGGTCGGTGGGTGATGGAGGATTTGCCATTGGACGGGACACCGATGTTAGTCGAGAGCGGTAGTGATGCAGAACTATGCTTTAAATGATGTATATAAAATTTTGCACGTTTTCAAGTAAGAGCAATAACAATTAAAAGTTAGCCACTTAACGAAAATGAAAAACAAGAAAGTGATGTCTTAGTTTAGGCCAAGTCACACAATAATAGTTAGGATCACAAAACAATTATAAAATTCAACATAAGCAAATATAGAGGATTTCCAATAACATCCCTAGATTAACAACGAGATTAGATGCATGTAAGTCCATCACTCATTCCCTACGTTTACAAAGCTTTGGCGGAGACCTTTGCATGATTCTTTATGCTTGATACACAACAACAATCAAAGGAGAATATGACGGAAATTGCAGAGGGGGAAAGAGTTCACCCTCGTCTTGGTGTGGCGGTGATTTGCCACTAAACAGTGGAAAGCTGTTCTTCGATGGCTTCTGAAAGAGTGAACATGATACGCTCCAGGTATTCCTCGATGGAATTATCTACCTCTGAATTGATGTTGAAGAAAGGTGATCAAAGGATGTCGACGAAACCTTGTGTTGTAGACGAAGTCGGAGTCGAGCTCAGGATTGGCCATGCATAAGATACGTGGTGTTGAAGTACTGTGGAAGACGCTCTTTGCTGTCCTTGAGGATTCTCTTTGAGAGAAAGAAGTTTCTCCAAGGAAGCCAAGTAGAAGAAGGGATGGGAGGGTGGTCGGCCAAGGTAGGAGGCTTGGGAGAGTTTAGGTTCGGATTTTGGTGGAGTTAGGGTTAGGGTAGGGCCGGCTAGGTTAGAGCAAGTGGTGGTGAAATATGGTTCAGATTTTAAAGGAAGAGGATGGAGGGAAATAGGGTTTGAAGTTTGAATTCAAGTAAAGAAAAAGGGAGGGAAAATCAATCCCTAATGAGAGGCTTGATTGAAGTAATTAGAGCGAAAGGAATTATTGTGGAGGGAGAGAGATAGGGAGAGGGGGGCCGACAGCATGGTGATGGGGATGGGGGTTTAGGGAAGGGGATTTACTACTTGCTTAGTTGGGAACCCCAAATTAAGGAGGATTTGAATCTAAATCCAATTCAAAATTGATTTGGATTTGATTTGAAGAACTTTCAAATTGATTGAATAATTGAAATTAAAACTTTCCCAAAAGAGGTTATGTAGAGAAGGAAAGTAATGATGAGGGGTTTTGAATTTTGGAGGCAAAGGGGGAGGGAATAGGCCGGCGGCTAGGCTAGGGTTTTGGTGGCTTGGAGATGGGGAGGATGGAGTGTTAGCTGAGTAAGGGGGGGAGTTTGACCGAGAGGTGGGATGTGGGATTAGTGTTAGCCGGCGGGGAAAAAGGATTGGAGGTGGACGGCGGCTTTGGGAGAAAGGGCTTGGTCGTACGGTGGAAGGGAGGGGAAGGGAAGAAGAAGAAAAGATCAAGGTAGAAAAGAGAAACGAACCTGGACGCTTCCAAGGTTGATGGGTGATCCGTTTTTCCTCTCCTAGGGATTTCTCTCCAGAGCTCTCAAGCTGCCATAAAACACAAAGTTGCAGAAATTTTCATTATAATTCTTCATCCCTTGAAAAGAACCATAAGGGACTTATAAATAGCCTTATACAATGAAAGAGAACTAAAAGACAACGTTGCCCCTAGGGCTTACATATGACCAGACCCTTAAGTAAGGGTAAAACAGAAAATGCAATAAAACAAATACATAATCCAAACAAATAAAATAAATACATATAATGAATCAAAAATAAATCGGTGTGATCGTGGCCGAAGATCGTCGGCCACGTCTCTGATATACTTTCCATGATCTGCTGTCCCCATCAGGTAGTCAATGAGAAGAAGATCCGGTTGAAGTAGTCTTCGGCAGATTGGTCAATCTCCCAATTGATGTCAAAGAAGGGGGAACGAAGAACATCCACTAGTCCTTGATTATTGTAAACGAATCCATGATCTTGCTCGGGATCGGTCATGCATGGGTAAGGAGGCCGGGGAAGGTCGTGTGTTCTCTCTCTTAGATGATGATTCAAGTAGGAGAGAAGAAAAGTAAGGGCGGAGGGAGAGCTAGGGTGGTCGGCCAAGGCTGTGAGAGGGGCCAATTTTTTATTTCATATTTTAGGGTTAAGTTGGTAGAGGGAAAACAAATTAAAATCTGAAATTTAATTTCAGATTTTAATGTTAGGAAGAAGGGAATAATTTGAATTTTTAATCTCCTCTAATTGGGGCTAGGTTGGGGCGACGCACCTTGATGAGAGGGGCTTTGATTGAGAGCACTAATGGGAAGGAATTAATTAAGAGAGAGGGAGAGAGGGGGCCGGCCAAGAGAAATGGGAGGGGGAAGGCGGCATCCACACTCAATGAATGTATCTACATGCAATGAATGAGGGATTTGAAATTAAATATACTTTAATTTCATATTGTAGTGATTAGGGGAACTTCCAAAATAGGTTTATTTTAATTTGGAAAGTTATTTAAATTCAAATTCATTTGAATTTGAATTAAGGGACCTTCCAAATTAGAATCCTCTCAATTAGGAAATTATTAAAGGGGGTGATATAAATTGGAATCAAGGGGATTGGGGGTTTGGCTTGGCCAACAGCTAGGGTTGGGCTAGGGAGGGGGACCGATGGCTATGGAGGGGGTCGGTTTGGGGTTTTGGGGGGAGTAGGGCTGGCGGGTGGGGGATTTGGTGAAGCTTGGCCGGCGGTTTGGGTGTTAGGGAGAGGGTTTGGCCGGAATTTGGGAGTGGAAAGTGGGTAGCCGGCGGTATGGGGAAGAGGAAAGGGGAAGGAATAAGAACGGATACAAACCGCGAGCCCGAACTCTACCTGCGGCTGACGGGAATCGCTAGGCCCTCTCTTAGGGTTCTCTCCTATCTCAAGAGCTCACAACAAAGAAAAAGGAACAAGTGCCGAAATTTTTATCCAAAATCATCATCAATCCAATACAAAAGTTAGGGCCTTCATATATAGGCCTCAAGGAACAAAAGACACAAAGACTAAATTGCCCTCTAGGCTACAACACTAATTAATCCCTCTTAGGGATACAATAGTAAAAACTAAAAAATAAACAGAAGAAATTCATAAAATGCATCACAAATAAAAACTCCTAATCGTAATCGTCGATCTATGATGCCTCCTCTGATAGACATGCCAGAAACCCAGAATCTCCTGCTGATGTCCTCATCACATATAGTTTAATAACATTTTTAATTGATTGTTTTCATGAAAGTTTATTTTTACTATCTATTTCACCCAATACTTTCAAATCAATGAAAGATGCCTTATATTATATTTTCATTGTATAGTATTTTTGTTATGCTTTTCTTAGGTTAAATAGCCCTATCATTGTGCTGCTAAAAATATTAAAGTACAAAAAACTCCTAAGCTAATGACATTCTAAAAATCTAAATGTATTCAAAGTCATGATTAAATGAGAAAATTAATAAAATAAGTCATTAGAGATATAATCATTAAAGGAGCCGGACAAATCTACACAAGATTCTTGCCATAAATGATTGTTATGTTATAACTAAGGCTGACAGTGTAAAGAAAAAATTACAGGCTAATAGTACTCTTTGACAAGATTAGGTGACCTCAAATCTCCTACTAAACTAGTTGCCTCTTCACAAAAATAAAAGCTAAACCTAAACAAGAAATGAACACCACAAGAACCTTGTAATCCCACAAGACTCCTGCACAACGACAATTCTATGCCGCCTGATCTTTCTTTTAGGTTCGCTGCCCTGCGACTTTTCTGTAGCACAGATAAAGTAACAATTGTGGTGAGAGCCTTCAGCCACTTACCAGCTATCCAATACCTTGATCTAAATGCAGTCATGCAGGAATTCTCCAGCAATCCATAATTTTGTCAAAGAGGGAAAAAGCAGTAAATTAAATGTCCATATAATAATAATAATAAAAAAGAGTACAACAGAAAATCTGAGGGGCCAGACTTTCAACATAAAAAGATGGCGGAACGGTTTTGAAATCCAAGAATCGCTGAAATTTCGCTTGCCCCCCAGTGCTACAATAACAGTGACCCTCTCCTTGCCCTTTTCCAGCAAAACTCTACTGCTCTTAGTAGCTGCGGCTGACCTTGGCTGAATCTGACTGACAAGAAATCCAAGGGAAAAGATTGTAGGGCACTTGCTGCTATGATAGAAGTCCAGCCGCAAGACTTAACTACTGCCATAAAGACTTCCCTCGCCTAACTACTTCCACCTACCCTCACAACAATAGAACGTTATGTTGACCGCTAGACCCCACCTCACGCAGTTCGCTCTCAAAAGTCGTAACTTTTCGCTCACGTAACTCCCCTCATGACAATAAAACTCAAACGACAAACCACTCGCCTTCTCATTCGACTCTCACGCATGCCGGAACTCCCTTGCACTCTCATTCTCTTTTTACACGCTAGAGACACACATCCTACAATGACCAAACCCTGCTCGTCCTCTCACACGAATAATTTGCGATTGGTGCATACCACATTTGTTAGAGGACATTTGTTGACCACTAACCACTTCACGGCTTCACCTCACGTCGATTCACTCCACAACTGAACTGACACCTCTGCTCATTTTCACAAAATCGCGAGCAAAAACCCCCATTCAGTTCATTCACTGGAAGAGGTAAGTCGTTGAACTTCCTTCCTTGCTTCCGATTTCTTGCAGTTCTGAGAGCATAAGAGTGTGAATGGGGAGGGTTTCGTTGTTTTGTGCTGTGAGGAGCAAACGTGGGATCGTGGCGAGCAGTTGTCATGCAATCGTGGCTCATGTCGCTTCTTCGTATGGGAAGGTCGGCAGTTATAGGTCAACAACTATATGCAGGCTAGGTCGGATTGAATTGAGGATTGCGTGCGGGATTTGAAGCCGGAAATACAGAGGTAGGACGACGTTCGGTTAGGACGCTAGGACCGGTCAAAATCACGTCAACAAAGCCACGCGAGAAGCAACAGCAGATTGGGGCATGGGGCTCACGTGGGGTATCGGGCTTAGGCAGACGGTCGAATTTCTCACACAAAGCAGGCATAGTCGGATTGAGGGCTCAGGCATCGGGTTTGTGTCGGTCGGAAGGAACCAAAATATATATTAAAGAACTATTTTGATTCCTCAACTCCTTAATGGGACTATTTTGGTTCATTTTTAAAGACTTGAGGGGCCAAAATGGTCCTTTAATATAGTTTAAATCCATTTTGATATTTCATAAATACTTAAGGGACCGTTTTGATCATTTTCTCGAATAAAATAAAATATTCATAACACATGCACCAATAGATTTATAATCTTCACCGCAGAAAAAAGGATATATTATGTCCTAAACAAGAGTAAAAAAAATGCACCATAAAATTTTATGCTTGATTAATAATACATATTATATATAGATGAATGAGAGAAAAAATAAGCATACTAATGAACACAGCAATATTCACGCACAAGCCAACATAGCATTATCATTCACATCGCATGATGACTACGTATCTTAGAGAAAATAATATGCACCCATTATCATACTACAAGTAGCAAGATTTAGGTATCTTCCAGTAGTTTCCTTATACCTAGTAAGACATTATAACCGACCAAATATCAAAGTAATAGGAATCGACAAAGTTTCCTCTATTCAGTACAGCTATATCTGAGCCTCATTATTCGATAAACTTCATATAATTCATGGACAAATGATGGTACTTGTTGACCTCTAACTGTCAGAGAACCCAACACCTTCGTTCGGCCAAGCCGATCCCAATCTACACACTCGACTGACACCTCATATGGCTTGCACGACACAACCGCTCAGCCCACGATCAAAACCGTCGACCCACGATCACTCACGATCGTTCAAACTGCTCTCTCACAACACAAAAAGGATCCCTCCTCTCATTCGGTTGACTCACGCATACAGACAGAGAGGAAAGAAAGTTTCAGAAAACTTACTTTGGGATTTCAATTCGTCGCTCTGCCATAGCCGATCGAACTCCGCCGGACAACACCAGTCTTCTTCTTTGCCTCCGACGCCTGCCTCCCCCCATTCGAACTTCAACAAGCAGTCACCCTCCGCCTTCTCCAAGCCGAGGTGGCTACAGCTTGCTCGATCTGCCTTGAGGTGGTCATGACCGGCGGAGGGAGGTCCACGGTCAAGTTGCAGTGCGCTCACGAGTTTCATCTCGGTCGGTGAAAGCAATTGCATCCTGTCATTTTATTTTGTTCTGTATTTACTTCCTTAGTTTATGCATTTATGCCGCTTTTCCTGATTTGTGAAGTTTACTTTTGCTTCGAGGCTGTAGCTGGAGTTTGATGATCCATTGGGTGGGGTAGCACATGGGAAGTTCGTTGGATGATGGTATAAGAGCTTGTTCTGTCTGCTTTTTTTTTTTTTTTCTTTTGGGTTGATTATTAGTCATTAAGGCAGATATTTATGTCTTCTAAGCTCTAAAAGTCATATTATTTGTATTCTTAATTTTGATCTTACAGCTCCTCTTGGCTCCAACAATGAGACGGCAAACGAAACTATCTTAATGCATTCTAAGTTTCTAACATTTCAGATGAGACGGCAAACGGAACTATTTTAATTTAGGCCCTTTCCTGAATAAAATTTCTTGCTCCGCCGCTGCTAACAAACCATGCACATTTAAAAAAAAAAGGTCATATAAGTATTAGTAGAATAATGCTAAAAACAGGGTTTGTAATAACATAATGAAATGTGAAATATCCAGAAATCAAAAACTAATTCAATAAAATAAACAGTTTAACTGGCGTTCTGGAATTAGGTCGGCTGCAATTAGTATAAGAAAATAATTTTTATAGCACTCCAATGCTGATGTAAAAACATCTTTATAAGTAATGCATTTACTTCAAATATTATTTCCAAAGCTTAAGAGGAATATTATATATTTCCATTGACAAAAAAGGACAGCATATATGATTATTAGTAAAAGTGAGAGTAATTACTTTGCTATTTAAAAATTAAAATTTACAAGAACATTTCATAAGAATGAACCTTGATTGACTTTCCGAAGTTATAGACTAAATTCAACCCTCATTGCTTTTAGAAATTATAGACTGAATTTGATAGGAAACACTTGGATTTCCAAGTGTTTCACACCAAAACAGTGGGGACCGGTCCGCTCGTAACAGAATTCAACCTTGATTGATATTCAGAAGTCATCCACTGATTCCACAAAGCATGATCATTTTCCTCCATTTTATAGAATCAAGAAAAACAAGGGATACTGAGCTGACTCAACCGTACAAGTAAATTCCCTTTTAATGATGTGAAGGCTAAGAATGGAACAAACCAAAGAAGCAGGTAGCCAAATTAATTAATAAACATCCAAACAATGATCATAACCCATCTAAGCAAATCATATATGTGTTGTAACTAATAATTGTTTCACCCCTCTCTCTTCCGTCCCAATATGTTCTTCAAATTTTTAACATGGTTTAGCAGAACCACTGAAGAACCATGTTTTGCCCTCTCATGTCTTAAAAGGGAGTTTGGAATTGTTTGATTGCAAGTTTTTAAAACTAAACTTTTCATAATGCAATGTAAAGTAAATACAATGATTTTTTTTATTTCTCAAGTTGTTTGTTTGTTTTTTTTTTTTTTTTTTTTTTGTGTTTAAGTTGTTTGTTTGATTGTTAAATAAATGCAGGTAAATAACTCTTTTATGTTTGATTTTCGGTGAAACAAATCTACTTGTTTTTTAATTTAATCAGCAATTTAAAATTCAACTAATTTAGTAGAATATGGAATAGCACCACGGTTTCATCAACTATGATCTATGCATTTCTTTTCAACAAATTCAAATTTCCCAGCTTCTTTAACTAATAAATTGAAAGCAGGGCGTCATCTCAGCAGCATTCAAGAAAAAAAAGGGTAAAAGGAAAAAGATTGAAAACAGAGGCTCTTATTTGCCAACTAATAATCTGGCGAGATTAACTTCCCCTCTTTAGCTCCTCTGATTCTCTACAATAAGTTAAAAACACCTCCACCAGTTCAAAATCAAAACACTTGTAAAGCCGACTAATAACGTTTCAAAACAAGTTAGTCAATAACATTTCAACCTTGAATCAAACTCATGATCTCAAGATCTAGGAGTCTCCCAATTTGCTTTCCAATTAGACCATGCAGAACACGAGCACCTAACAATGAAAGCAAAAAAGGGTTGCAGCTCTATGTCAAGATACAAAACTCTTGGATTCTCCTCGACATGGATAAATGCTTTCATCTTTGTTCTTTCAGATTCAACATGCCTTGTCTAAAGCTTGATTAAATCAAAGAAGCATCGAAGAACTTCTTTGCTTTTGAAAGCCTTCACCTCCCTTCCCCTCTCCCTCAACATCAACAGCATATACGATGACAAAAAAGTAAAGATAAATAGGTGGTGAGCGTAAGGAACTAAGAAGACAGCTTTGACCTCCAGGCGGAAAAAGAGAAATGCTAAGTGGTTAAAAGGGCTGATGACCCTGCAAAAGCTTGCAACCATGAGACAAAGATGACCCAGGAAAGCAAGAGTGTGGTTGGTGATGGGAATGAAGGCATCAAGCGAGAACAAGAGCATGTTTGGATAAATGGTTTATATCTTTAGTGGTTAGTGCATTATATATCAGTAATGTTGACAGACTACCCAAGTTAATAACGGGGTGAACAGCTGGAGAAGCATCTTTAACTAGAAACTAAAGGCAATCTGCAGAAAAAAAGTAAATCTATCAAAAATCAAGGAGTTGACCATGTTTCTCCCAAACCATAAGAGTTTCATAAGGTGAATAACAATGTTTATTTGCCTATTTCAATCTTTCAAGGAAGAAAAAGAAAAAGCTATAAGATTGTCTCGTACAACATGACAGCAGAATTAAAAAAAATAAACAGTCAAAGGGTTAATGACATGGTCTTCATTTACGTAAAATGCAATCCTATAGCCTGAAGGGTTCAGGAAAACTAATTTTCACTTTGTTTCTAAAATGAAGATATACCAACAGCCACTTAAAACATTCAGATGGCCAATGAAACATGAATATATGGTTATTTTTTTATTTTTCTATTTAAAATCATAGTTCAAGATCATATTCTCACCCCAGGCAAATGTTGATGAATCTTTGAGTGTCACCAGAAAGAGGAGCCCCTCCAGAAAGTAGAAAACGAACGTCTCCACCCAGAACTGCCCGAACTTTGCTAAATACCAGAAAATCCCAAAGCAGTTTCTCCAGGCCCCATGCACCAAACCAGCTTCCGTTAATTGCTGCAAACCTACGACTATATCCAACGTCAAATAGCTTCTTCGCTAGTCCACCCTTCGCATTTACCTAAATATAAAGAGATAAAGCAACTGGTTTTTGTGGTTTGCTCAATGATTGAAAAGTACTTCTGAAAAATCAAGTTGATGCACACATTTTTCCTCACACCATCTCGAATGCGATCAAGAATAGCAGGTACAGCAGTCATTAAAGTAGGTCCTAAAACTGAGGCATCACCCTTTGTTCCCTTCTTTATTTTGTTTGATGTGTCAGTAAGAGTCAAAGGTGAACCATATCCAATAGAAGCTCCAGCAGCAATCATAACAGACTACAAAGAGAAATTGTCATATGCTTTATGCAAAAAAAAAAAAAAAAAGAGAATATCAATTATACCCTGCCAGCAAAGTTAAAGAACTGTATAATCTTACCTCTGCCGCTAATTCAAGAATATGAGCTAGTGGCAAGTAAGCCAAGTAGACATCTTTACTACCTAGCCCAGGTACAATTGTCATAACTGCAGCAACGGTGGCCAAGACATTCCCATGTGACATCATTACGCCCTTGCATATAAGCATAGAAGATAGAGGCCTTAGAATTAATAAAACAAAGAAAATAATATAATATGTAATTTTAGTGGTATTATATTGATAATTAATTAATTATCATTCAACATTATTAGAACATAAGACAATTTTTGTGTGTAATAAATTTAAATATCAGGGATTTATTATACAAAATAATAGAGACAAATGAGGATATAAGTTATAAAGTTAAAGTTAGATGGTTAAAATGGAGTGTGAGTGTGATTAAATGATATCATGAAGACTTAAACATAAATTTAGGTTGTCAAAATTATATGGTTCGGAATATTAGGTTGTAAAGAAGTAATTAATATTGAAGTTTGGTGTGATAGAAGTGTGAAAGTTAAGACGAATATGTGATAAAATTTAGATGGATAAACTAAGCAATGATTATATTAGAGGAAAGGTTGAAGTGAAATCTACCGAAGATAAGGTGATTAAAAATAAATTTAAGTGGTTTAGACATGTATAATGAAGGATAGAAAATCTGTCTATAAATTTAGCGTCAAAAGATTATAAGGAAAATAAGGTAGACTCGCGTTACATGCATAGAAGTTGTTCAAAAGATTACAAAGAATAAGTTTTAACACCTTAACAATAACTCAACGTGAACAAATGGAAAATAAGGATTCATACTATCTACTCTAAATAGTGGGAGAAGAATAATTATGATTTTGACTATATTATAAAATGTTTGAAAGTAATCTACAAGCATATTAGAAATCTTATTTACTTTTGGATGGTAATTCTCAAAAAAGATCATTTTATTGTATAAAAATAAAAAGCAATAGAATAATTTTACTTTCTTCGTAATGAATAACTATCATTCTTAGTACCCAACACTAAAAATGAACCCAATATTTCACAAGATCACCGTAATGAATAATTCGATCTTACCCAACATGAATTATATAAGGATTTAAAGGTAGGCAATACTGCAAATAGCATGAAATTTAAAACATGACAACTTCAAATGATAACAAACTTTATCAGATGCTTTGAACAAAAAATATGCAGCTGAACATCATTGAAGCAACTGCAAAATAGGTTAGAAAAAGAGAAATTTTTTAGGTTCTTGCCTTCAACCAACCTTAGGTAGACCAGTACTCCCACTAGTGTACATTATGACAGCGACGTCAGCTGAAAGAGGCAAATTTGCTTCAACAGGATTTTCCTTGCCCAGTTTCTCTACTTCAACAAATGAGGAGACGGTCCATGAAGCAGCATTCTGAAATTGTGAAGTATCGTTTGAAATGCCCTCCTCATTGATCCAAATTACACGTTTTACAGTATCAAGTTGTCCGCTTATGTCGATGAGTTTTTTCAACTCCTTTTGTCCGCATATGACAGTTGTAACTTCTGTCTGGCAAGGGATTATAGTAGTTAAAAAAAGAAATTGTATTTAGAAGCTTTCATGCTATTGAAACCAATGAATAGTTTGTTTTGTTAAGAAAACAAAAAAGCAAAGTATAAGCCAAGCATGGATTTATGAACATTTTCCAAATCTTATAAGAAGTTTTCATTCAAGAATCATTGTTGTCAACCATATCAACAATAAGAGAGAGAGAGAGATATATTAACCAACACTACTACAAATAAATAGCAACAAAAACTTGAAAATTCATATGATGCCTGTTTTAGATGGTGCATTTTTTTTTAATATGTAGGAAGATATTTGAAATTGGGGAGAATACTAACTTTGGATGATATCAAAGAATTACTATAGAGGATTGGTCATAAATCAATCTACTCTAAGAACTCATGATACTAATGATAAACAAGCCAGATCATTGAATCCCCTGAACATTCCCATATTTTGAATTTAGAGTTTTGGCGTCAAAGTTTCCCCAAAAAAACATTCTTCTTAAGGCTAATAACATCTTTAGTGATGCCCAAGAAAATTCTCGATAAAGAAATCTTAATTGTATTCTAATAGTGTTTATTCTATAATAATTGATTTCTTCCAATAAAGAATGGAAGGACACAAAATAAAGAGATGAGTCAAAGAATATGAGCACGGAGGGATAGTGCAATAAGCAATCCATAATATAGGTGAGGACGTAAATATCCTGAGGTATGCTAAGGCTCATAATGCGTAGTGGATGATGATGTATGTTGTGATGGAGTATATGGGTTAGCTCTTAGGATAGGGAAGACACAATCATAGGATTGTGATCATAATAACCCAATCGTGAGTACGAATGAATCTTCTTCCTATAAGAAGCTTTTTATTTTGATTTGTACAAATGTAATTCTTGCATATAGATATTCGAGAATATGAAAAGCCATAGAAGACATCTTCAAAGATGGACATATAATCTAGAATATTAAAAAAGTTTGGCTCATAAAAAAAAATCAGAATTATAGCTCAAGAAAGTTGTCAGGGAACGGAACCTATACAAACCTATAAGATTGCCAAAGAGTGGGATATTAATAGATGACCTTAGCGGATGACAAACAAAGAGAGGATCTATGCTAAGGAATAACTCTATTTTAGAGAAGAATATTTATATTCTAGAAATAAGAAACTAATCCTAAGGAGGATATGACTAATCCTAGGAATGAGGATGGCTACCCTAAGAGAAGAACTATCTAAAGGAAAGGATCTATCCTAGGAAGGAAGGAAGATTATACTAGAGAAAAAGATCTCTATCTTAGAAAATGAAAACTAACCCTAAGAAAGATGATGACTATCCTACATAGATGAAGAACTATCCTAAGGAAGGGTTGATTAAACCCAAAGAAATGGTAAACTAACCTAAGGGATAGGAGGACGGCCCCAATCCAACTCACATGATTGTCCAACGTTCTGGGTTGTCGTAGTTCCTGGACTACTTAGTAAGAAAAGATGATCAGACTTCTAAAAAAATGAGGATCCTTATCACCAACCAAGGATTACGTCGTCCGATGGGACTGTATAGACCTAGAGGTATGAGGGGACCTAGTCCTAGGCTGATGGATAGGACTTATACTCCACAATCACATGAAGGGAGAAGCCTAGGAGAGGCTTTAGATCCTAAGGATTGGGAGTCTTCTAGATCATAGAAGAATGTAGATCAAACAAATGACCATGAGGCCCAAAATGTTGGACTTACATCCTATATTCCTATCTAGTCAAGAATGTCACTATCTTACCTAGTTGCGTGTGTAAGTGAGAGGTTGGTCAAATTCAAGTGGATGAAAGAAAGACACGCCCTAGAGTTAGCTAGATGGAGAAGAATCATCTATGTATTGTGTATATGTCTAAGTTATCTATCCTAAAATGAATCATTGACTATTTGTAGACTCACAAGATCATGATATGACATGTGCATCAACGATGTTGGAAGTTGACATATCACTTTTCTATGTCCATTAAGATAGACCAAATGCCAGTCACTATTGCTACTGAAAAACATAGACAACGTGCTTTTGTTTTATTCTAAATGAATTAGACCTTTAAGTAAATGATATGCAATACTAGAACTCTAATCTTCAGCAAAGTTAACCCAAGTAATGTAATCACAGAGCAATCAATATAAAATAGATAAAATATAGTGTAAAAAACTAAAATATAAGTAGAAAAAAAAGAATATAAATCAATATTCACTTATCCTCCTAAGGTCTGGCTATCCTAGGATCTATTGTTGTAAGACAGATGTCAATAATAACACAACGAAATCATAGCTCTGATTAAATCACATCACAACCACCTACACGAACCTGTATTTTACAAGCATTTAATCATGACTGATGCAACACAAGCCCAGCCCATGAATACAATGAAACCAAGGCATAAATATAGATTTTGATATTAGACAAAAAAGTTATATTTGAAATAGTGAAACAAATTAAGGGTTTTTTTAAATTATATTTTTACTTGTTAATTCATATGAAAAATGTGACTTATTGTGTTGAAATCAGCTAATGTGAATAGCATAAAGGTTATAGACAATTTCACCATCTTTCCAACAACACCAAAATAGTGCAATTTCAATATAAGACAAAAAGTTATGTCCAAAATAATAAAGTTGTGCCATTGTTTTGGCAAATTATAATTTGATGTAATTATGATAATTGACATAAATATAGGGGTAAATTAAACCTCTCAAATTCCCTGATTATAATGAGCATGGTGCTACTAGTAAAATTTGAAATGAGGGTCAATGGTGATGCACGGTGTACATAGACTAACGCAACCTACAAGTCTCATAACCAACTAGAGAGCAACTATGATTCTGAAATATCTATTGGAATGCAACTTAATCAGGGGAATAGGACATTGAGTCAAACCTAATATATAAATCAGGATGTCTTAAGTTGACTAAGCTGAGAGTGTGGTATCTTGGGCCATCAATAGATGAGGACGACTCACAACAACAGGAACAATATATTGAGAGAGATCTAAGTCAATCAACAAGAGAATTGATAGAAACACTTGAAGATTTCAAGCAAATCCTATCAATTTCAGAAAATCAGCGAAAAACATTTCCCAACTCCAAAAGAATACCAAAATAATAATAATTTTATTACAAGAATCAAATAGATCAGAAGAAAACAACAAGATCAAGTGATCCTCTATTCGAGAGGAGGATCGATCTCTCCCAATCTCTAGACAAATCTAGAGCCCAAAACATAAAACTAAGACATCCCAAAATCAGCCAAATTCAAGATGTCCTAGCCCTAGGAAAACAAACTATTTAATGCATACAAATCAAAAGGAAATCCCTAAATAGTCCCTAAATTCAATTTTCCCTCCCAATTCCCTCAAAAACCCTTCCAAATGGGCTCCCATGAACTTGGCGGCTTGATCGGCATATCAGAAGGCGGAAAAGTTCCACCTCATTTGCGCCTGGGCCGGTCCCGCGTGGACCAGCTGGACCGGTCCAATGGACCGGTTTAACAAGAATGTCCAAAGCTTAGGGTGCACCAATCAAGGTAAATTGGCAAACGGCTCTAGTATACGTGCTAGAGATTGAGTAAACTAGGACCCCCCAAAAAATTCCTCATGGGTGTGTGCTGTAATAAAAGAAACAAATGTGTATGTGTTATGTGTAGTGACATCTCCTAGATAAACCTAGAAAGAACGTATGAAATATAAAGAGCCTAAGTATCAATAATACATCAAAAAATGATGTCAACAATACTGTTTTAGCCAAGTATAAATCACAAAAAATTAGGCATATGAGAAATGATCAAAAACATACTGAGTGAATGTTTTTAAAACTCAAAGCTACCACCCTTATTCAAAGTGAAAAGTTGTCAAGAAAATAAGATTCCATTCAATACAAGTGACTTATGGTCTATAAATAAGGAATGTTTCATCACTATAGTACTCTGGGGCAAATCAAAAAGGATAAACATGCTTGGGTAACATCTTAAAGAGATGAATCCATTATGTTTGTAGCGTTTCTATACTTCCACCAGAGAACAAGAAGATCAATGTCCATGACTTTTTAACTTTTTAGAGCACTAGGACAAGGCACACTGGAGTAAAATACATAAAACAATACGATTTCATTCCACTTGAACCGTCCCAACCAGTTCAAATCTATGCAAGGCATCAGAGTAAAAACCAGACCTATAGCACTTCACTTAGCAACTCAAATTTTACCTTTAATCTGGTTACATAATAATATGCTGTAAATATTCCTGCATTAAATTTGTTTGTTTTATATGAAGCTAACAACTTATTTTTCAGAAGAATTATACCACTAGAAAAACGTGAACTAACCTCATGATAATGCATTCATAACTCATATATAATTAATAAGAAAAATGTTTAGAGGCGTGCAAAATGAACATCATCTGATATACATTTTTTGTGCATAAAACGACAGAGACAGAAGAGATATGGTACCTCATTTAAAGAGTGACAAAGAGCTTCCTCGCCCAAAGAAGCATATATAGTAACTACCGTGAGATTTTGCCGAAAGCAACCCTTCCAGAAAGGAGAATTACATTAGTTTAGCATATCAAAAATAGAAAATTTATTGCAATTCACCAAATTGTGCATATTACATTCAACGTGGAACCTGCAAAACCTCAAATTTGAAGAATAGCATTCCTAAAATGATTCTTTCTTCTTCGTGAATACATTAAATGCTATTTAAGACGTAAAAGTAGACTTAGGAACTTGATGGCGATGGCAAATAATAGGACTCAAGAAAGTTTGAAAATCTACAAATGAAAGAACCATAACCATGTATATGGAGGAATAATAAACATGTTTCACTAGCCATCTGTCTAACTATGTCATCATAGCATCCAATTTTATCAGCTTAAATATATACAACAACAACAATATCAAGCCTTTATCCCACTCGTGAGTCGGTTACATAAATTTTTTTCACCATTGTATCCTATTAAGAGTCAAATTCTCATATAAATCTAATAAAAAAAAGTCATTTCAAATACTTTTGAACCAAGTCTTTTTAGATATGCCAGCTTAAATACACATCAAATATAAATGTGTTGTGCAATATAATGTTCCATAACTGCAAATTTGACTTTTCTTCCAAAATATTTAGCTCTAGAGAATGCTGAGCTTTGTCATAAAGTACCTGTAAAGCTATCTGCCATTGTGCCCTCGTGTCAGCAAAGATCGCAACACGCTCTTCCTTTTTGTGACCAAGCTGGATTAAACCAGAAGCGAAGTTGCAAATAGTATCAAAAGCTTGAACATAATTTAGCCATTCATAGTCCCCAAGATGAAACTTCTCAAAGTATCTTCCATCATGACTCTTTTCACTTTCCTTGGAAATAAACTTTCGAGTTCCAAACAAGGGCTTGTTTGGGAACTTCTTGCAGGATTGCTCAAACAGCTCAGATATGGTTGTGACCCCATCCCAAAGTGACTCCACAGGTGCATCAAAACGGTAATTGCGAAGTGCATATCCAGGCTCTCCACCAACATCTACTGGTAAGCCACGCTTCTTCCTGCTCTTTGTTTTTTGGAATATCAAAGATAACAGAATGGGCAGAAAAGCACCGACAATATATGGATTCATTCTCACGTAAAACACCTATCAATGAGCTCAACAGAAGCTTCTAGATACAGAAACCCACTACAGCACCTATCAATAAATCCGGCCAAAAAAGTAGTATTAGCATCAGCAACTCGAAGCATTTTAGCCACATGAAACTGGGAAGCCATTACTTCTATTAAATAAAAGAGACAGAAGGACTCAATAAAACGAGAGACACAATTCAAATCTCCATTGTCTACAACTACTCTTACTAAAAAAAGAATAAAACCTCACACCCCAAATAAATCCATATAAAAACCTAGCAGATCCCGGCGAAACAGATAAAAAAACTACCTTAACACACAAAATCAGAAAAGATATAACAAAACGTCAAAAAAATTAATATTCAATGGCTCACCCAAAACTACTATAGCGTCGGTTCTGCCTTAAGGGGAGATTCAGCAGAATATAATTCTCTAACACAATTCAATCTTAAGGGGCCGTTTGGCTACCGGGAGGATTTAAATCAGGTAGAGTTCAACAAATCTTATAAATCTAGATTTAGTAAAGCATGAGGACATTAAAACTTGAAAACTGTTAGGTAGACAAATTCACAACTGTGAAAAGCTGATAAATTTTTTGTTTCAGGATTTAAGATTTGTGAAAGAGAAAAATAATTATATCCGTTAAATCATGTGAAAGATGACATTTAGTGACTCATGGACTTAACCAAAAAGGTGCCTGAAACTAGATTTCAAATAACCTGTAGAATTTAAAGCTCATATTTCTGTTTGGTCAAATTGAAGTAAATTCTGGCAAAAATACTATAATGAATTAGGTTAAAATAAACAGAAAACATTGATCGGCCATTTTAATCCACATCCCCACCTTGGATGATGGACTAGGAAACGCCGTTCCATTACCCACAATAAAGCAAAAAGATCAAATACATTAAACCCGTCAACAACTCTACGAATCACTCAAAAAAAATGTTCCACTACATTTTCCATAATACAGTGCGAAAGCTAGCTGCATCCAACTCAAAGAGCCCACCAGATAGAAAAATCTCTCAACTTCCAACGCGCAAATTAAAAAAAAACAAAAAACAAAAAACAAAGATCGAATCCAGCTCACTGAAACAGAAGCTAGAAGGAAAAAGCTCGATTAAGAGACCACTGCATAGAATGATTGATTCCTGGCCAGACCTAGGAAGAAAATTGATTAAAGAGGCGTGTCCTTAATAGAGAGGAGGCGGAGAGCTCGGAGTATCCATAGATTGGGAAATTGGGAACCTCTGAACGAATTTGCAAAATATTAAATTCATGTCCACCGCTTCATCATTTCTCGGAATTTATCTCTTTCTTCTAATACGGGGCGATTTGGATACGACTACGATTACAGGAAAGTATATCTCAAAGAATTTATAGGTGTTATATATATATATATAGAAAGACAGAGAAAAAAATAGATTTAAATTTAACTATTTAGTATTTACACACAATACTTAAAATATCAAAATAAAATAAAAATAATACATTTTGATATAATCATGTCGTCAAATCATCAAGCAATCAATCTATCATTCATCACATCTCGCCAGTTAGGAGTGTAACTGAGTCAAGCTAACTTATCATCGTCTTGGGCTCGACTCAATAAATGGCTCGTAAGTCATGCTCAATGAGCTAATAAGTCAAGCTTGAGTCAGCACTGACTCGATTCTTTAGCTTGTGAGGTGGCTTGTTTAAAAAATACTATTATAAAATGCACTTAAAATAAAAATATATTAGCATTTAGGATTTTTAATTTAAAAATTAGTTGAAGTGTTTAAAATTTATATCTTAATTTTCTTATATTGAGTGATTCTTTCTTATTTTTCTTCTTTTTTTTTTACTATTTTATGATGATATTTACTTGAATCATAATCATTTTCTCTCTTTAAAAATAAATAAGATAGCTTGTGAGCCGGCTCAAACTCGTAAAATAAAGCTCGAGTTTTAAACTTGATAATTAATCAAGTTCAAACTCAACGTAGAGGTAACTCGAGCTTGACTACTATTTATGTAACTTGCCTTTTAAAAATTATATTTGCAAATGATAGATAGTATATTTGATTAAATTCTAATAAGTTGTTAGTGAATTATCTTCAATATTTAAAATTTAAATAAATATGAAATTTAATAATAGGGATTTTACGTACATAATATAAAATTCTTATATATTAATTTTTCTAAAATAACATTTTTTATATTTATTTATATCATATTAGTGTCTAAATCTATATCGAAACATATGCATGAGAAAATATGTTTTATTGTAGATGATTTAATATTAATTATATTTTTATATGATTTAGATATTTGAGGTTTGTAAAAATAAATATAAAAATATTAATTAAATGATGGGTGACGTGAAGCACAAACTCATAGAAAATTACTTTAAAACATCATATGAATAAATAACAATATTAGGTTATTTAATTGGTGAAATTAAGAATTAATAAGTTGTATTAAGATTCATAAAAAATCAACTAAATTAAAATATTAATCATAAATATTTATTAAAATTAAAATGATGAATAAACGGAGTCAATTAGATAAGTGGATGATTCTTCAGATATATTTTTCTCACATATTAAAATTTCATTTGAAATAACATTTTAATATTTTATTTTTTAGATCATAATTATAATTTCTATTTGATTATTCTCTTTTTATTGCTTTAGAAAAATGTATACAGGAAAGTTGTTTTCTATAATATTTTTTTAAAAATATTTTATTTATAACAACTTTACAAAGCAGTAAGAACACTGATCCAAATGAAACCTTTTGAATAGCTTTCCTGTTATTTTATTTTCGGACCGCAATCATAATTTTAAAATTATTATTTTACCTTTTTCTATAATATTTTTATAATTATTTTACGGACATTCTAAACAAACTCTCAATCTAAAAAAAAACTCTCAATACGAAAATCCTGATAGATTATTCCAATGAATTCTTTGGGCAATTTTGTCTTTTTCTCGGGTTAATATTTGATGAAAAAATTAAAAAAAAAATATTTGATGAAAGAAATTCTATAGAGATATTTTAGACACAGTTTTCTTTTGTCAAAAATATTAAAATTGAAGGTATAATCAAACTGATTTAAATTTCATAAATCCGAAAAAAATAAATAAACCTAAAATTTTAGGAGAGCTCAGTTTAGAACAGATGGAGCCCATGTCAATAAATTCCCAATGTAATGTGAAACGAGCGGGAAACGAGTTCGAGGAAGGTTCACGTTTGACCCGGTTCGGTTTGATGTGAGCCGATGTTGACGGTTTGAATGGACGGGCATCAATGGCAGCGTTGGGTTCATCTAGTTCGTCCGATTCGATCTGGCAGGAAGCGTACGGCCGAAATTGATTGAGTAGGGCTTAAACAAACCTGCTGCTGACACGTGCCAGACAAAATCTGACGTCTAAATAATAACGTAGGCGCCATTCTGTAGACTTTTGAGTCTGGACGTCGAAGTTTTGGCCTTTTTATTTAATAGAGTTTTGATTTTTAAAATGGCTGAAAATTGAAGGGTCGTCCAATGCAAAAATCATAGATGTTTGGACGAAACCGTTCCCCTTCCAAATTATTGAGGTGAAATTATTATGTACGGAGTCTGGTGTGGCTCGTGTTCGAACTCCACACATAAGATTTTTTACTTTGAGTGACTACGATCCAAAGTATACCACTCACACATCCAACAATTCAAATTCAATATCATCCGACCACTAAAATCTAACATCTGTCTTCACTAGGGGGGTCAATATTGGACCCGACACGAAAATTTCGGGTTCGGGTTGACCCGAACCCGAAACGGGTCGGGTTCAGATTTTCGACCCGTTTCAAAAAACGGGACAGGTTCAGGTTGACCCGAGAACTCGAAAATGACCCGACTGCCCGGTCTGCCCGCGTCATTCTGCCCGCATGCGTAGACTCGATGGCTCGCTGCCGAGTGCCAGGCGTGACGGCGTCAGTACGTGACTCGTCTGCCAGTGCGGCAGTGCCACTGAGTGCGGTCCCGCTGACCCGTGTCCCGCCCCACGATCGAGTCTGCCCGTGATGGCGCGATCCAGCTGACCAGTTCGGCAACGCAACTGAGTGCGGTCACGCGGACCCGCGTCCCGCCCCACGATCGAGTGACTCAAATCTGTCGCGCCAGTCGCGCATCCCGCGGTCCGGAGGTCCGACTGTCCGAAGTCGTATCTGCCGCAGTGTCGCGGCAGCCGCGCATCCCGCGGTCCCACGATCGAACGCGGAACGCCAAAGCATGGCCCGGTGTGCCGTGTTGAATCCAAAGCAGGTCGGGTTCGGATCCGCAAAACCTACCTGTATACAAAAACGGGTCGGGTTCGAGTTGACCTGAATAGTGCCGGGTCAATTTCAGGTTCGATCCGAACCCGACCCGTGACCCAAAATTGACACCTCTAATCTTCACGGTTTTCTAATCTTCCTCCTATCAAGAGAATCAAGTTTCAGTTGATTTTTATATTCAGATTCAAGTTTCGTTTCAACAGCTTTTCTATTGCTACTTAAAATGAAATTTTAGTACAAAATTTTTTATTTTGGTATCAAAACTCCGTTTAAAAAAGCAATAAAAAAGACGGCTCAAACGAAGCCTCAATTAACTACTTTACTGATAAATCATAGGATCAAGAAATCGCCGTCCCAAACGAAGCCTAAGTCATTCGGTCTAAAGAAACATTACTACTTTCATTGCACCATCAATAGAGTATTTGGAGCATAAAGAGTCAATTTAACAATTTCAAACATCCTATAAAAATTACAAATGGCTGACAACCAACCTTTGCTTTTCTAGTTATCTAATCTCTCATCCTATTAAGAGAACAACCAACAACCAGAATACCAGATCATTTGTTAATGCCTGATTTTTTACATTCTCGATCAACAATGTCATAACACTTTAGCCATAATTGACAACCAATACACTTTAACCACTAATGTGCACCTTCTCAATTGCTTTTGTCTCCCTTCTTATTTGAGAATGAGCAAAACCCATTAACCCTTGTTACACAAATTTCCGACATCTTGCGCCCATATTTCATGTCGCTCGATCTCCTCCTATCAAAAGAATGAATGAACAAACCGCTTATCATCACCCACCTTTCAATATTCCCTCGACCGCTCCTCGACGCTTCTCAAGATCCAATATTCTTTAACAACTACATACAATGCTCATCTTTTCAATCACTCATTTACCCATCCTACAAAAAAAATGATTAAGGTTTTGTTTGATATGGCTTTCTCACTGCTTCTTAGCATCTTTTTAACACAAAAAATTAAAAATTTTATGCTAAAAAATTGATTTAAGAAGCAATAAAAAAGTCATCCCAAACAAAGCCTAAGTTGACTAGTCACAATAATTCAACTTCTAAAGTTCTTATCTCATAAAAAATTCTATCACACCTTTTTTTCTTTTTTTTTTGGTTGCCCCTTCTCTATCTTTGAAGTAAGATCCAACATATTCTAACTAAATAAATTTGAATCAAACACACCACAACATAAAATGCATATTTAGGCTTCGTTTGGGACGACTTTTTTACTGCTTATTAAAACAGTTTTGTAGTACAAAAGTTAAATTTTTTTGTACTCAAAAGTTGTTTTAAGAAGCAATAAAAAAGCCATCTCAAACGAATCCTTAAACTGATAATAAAGAACATATCGATCAATCTGAAGCCGGTCCTGAAATATAGTAGCAAAGATAAGTACAACATTTGACAACTTTCACCGAAAGGATTGATGATGACAATTAATATCTCGCTACAATCATAAGAGAAGCCAGAACTAAATTAAAGACTTTCAGCGAAAATAAAGACCATGAAGAAAGATGAGCCAAAGATAAAAAGTTTCCTAGTCTGCGCGAGATTGACCAGCTCTAGAAGAGAGAATGATGCCAACAATGAGACCATAAAGAGCAAGAGCTTCAGCGAAAATAAGAATAAGAATCATTCCCACAAAGAGCTTTGGTTGCTGGGCATTGGCCCTGTCAATGGACAATAATCAGAATCAAATGAAAATATTCATAAAATTGCATCGACAATCAATATTCGAGTTTTATATAGAGGGAAAGAGGAGATCAAAATATTCAATGAATAAATAATAGAAATTTATGCACATACTGCAAAAAAAAATTCCTTATTTACAAGCTCTAATTCTGAGGACCAGCTGCTCAACTCTAACCTCAATACTTATGCTTAGCATTCCTAGCTCATCCTCTCCAGCTTCACTCAGGTCAAGGTGGCTGCCCACTCGCACTTCTCATTAAGGTGAATTGAACAATTATTTCATGCTCCATGCAGTGTAACTCTTTATGGTTTCGTTTGGTACGGCTTTCTAACTGCTTCTTAAAGCAGCTTTCAAGCATAAAAATAAAAAATTTTGAGCAATTTTGAGCTAGAAATCTGCTTTAACAAGTAGTAAGAAAGCCATCTCAAACGAAGCCTAGTCTAAGACTTCATTTGGGACAACTTTCTTACTGCTTCTTAAAGCATCTTTCTAGTATAACAAATTTAAATTTTTAAAGTAAAGAAACAATAAAAAAGCAGTCTCAAACGAAGCCTAAGTCGATGCAAGTAGATAGGTGACACTCATCCAAATACTTTTGGGGATCACTTTCCACTTCTAATCATCTTAAACACGGCGCTCTCTAATAAATTAGCTTTAGCCTAAAACCTGCATCGCATCAGGGGGGGCAGAATTCTGGGAGACAAATCCTATAACAGTGAGGATCACAACTAAATATTGTTGTCTGTCGAAAGCACTAGAGTCCCTTTCATAGTGATAATCTAGTCGACTCTACCCAATCCACTCAAAGGGATATCAAAGAGACATGAAGAGTTCAAAGTTTTTGGAGTAGTCTACAATCACATATAATACTCAAACTAAAGGTAGAAGAGATCTAAGAAAGAACAAGCAATTCATAAGGAAGATAGCACTATTATCACTGATAATTTGTTCATGTATAATTATCTAGAGGAGAATAGTATTTTCTTTATCAGAAAATATGATCTCCGTTGTTAGGCATTATTAGAAATACTATCATCACTTTTGAGAGGCTTCAAAAAATACATAATAACTTTTAATTACATCTAATCAAATAATGGAATTGAGTCAACTTATTGTTTTCCAAATCAAGCTTTCTAATCCACGCAAGTTAAATAAGCCCAACTAGAATCAGATAAATATTTTCTATTGGCAAACCTAGAGAAGATAATGAAAAATAAGCCAAATCAAATCAATTGGGAGGGACTAGTATGACCTCAAATGTATCAAATCTGGCAATGGTGTGGCAAAATAATGCCAAACTAGGTTTATAGGATAAATATATTGAGCAAAAAAATAAATAAATAAATAAATAAATAAAAATATTGAGCAAAACAATTTATTTTATAGTTCATTTCTTTTCAGGATTTATGATGTAGGGAGATAATCGTTGGATTGTTGGAAGAAGAGGTTGCTTGAAGGATTTCCAAGAACAAGAGAACAAACCAAGCATTAAGCTTCAATTTATATAATATTCATCAATGATCTCAACTCTCCTTACATCATACTATATATAATAATTAGGTAGAAAACTAGAGAAAACTAAAAAGTTCTAGAATCCTATAACAAGCTTATAACAAACTAGATAATATACGTCCAAGGAACGATTTAAGCTAAAATGCTCTGCATCATTATCCTCTTGCGTCAAAAGGGCTCGACTCTGTTAAGGCACGTCATCGGGAGAAAGATATATATAGAAATTATGATCAATCCTCCTAGGTCGAAGACCTTGCGTCTTAGATACATACACACAAGCTTATTCATTGTTGAATCTCTAAACAAGTTCTGAACCAGTCCTTTCCAATCTCTACGGGACATGCAGTGCCTTGACACAAATATGTTGAATGTATAGAAATTGGGCGACATCTCTTCAGAAGTAGCAACATCAATCTGCCCAACCTTCACATATCCATTAAGAAGGACATTATAAGCTCACCTTCTATGATTTGATCAAATGCACAATATTACAACTGTAAGCATCAACCTCAAAGTTGTAGATTGGAAACAACCAAATCAACCCTTCCTTTGTTGCAACTAATTCTTTGAGGCATGATCCAAGAATTAACGCATCCTGCAACCCTTTTGTCTCTTTCAAAAATCTCAACAGTTTCATCAATATACCCAATGTTAGCACACAAAAACAAAAACATGTTATAAAACCAAATTGAGCTCCATTGACCGCCTCCTTATTTCCCTATACATAGTCAGGGCATCCATGACATACCAAGCTTGGGAATAAGCTATGATAAGCGAATAATGAGTAATCATATTTGGTAATATGTTTTTACCAACCATCTCCTTATAAATGTTCTTCACCTGTCATGGCCTTCCACCTCTTCCCACGGCCTCCAACAACAACTTGTAATTGATCGAATTTGGCTTCACACCAAGTGCTTTCATTTCCTCAAGCACATTGAGCGCACCATTGTCTGTGCAGTAATCTTTATATGCAAAATTTAAGCAGCGCAAGCATTTTGAACTTATCTCATGAACTTTAAGAAGGATCAGCTACCTATATTTTTTGTCCTGAAATATTAAGTCAATCTCAACAAACAAATCGTCAACACCCAACTGCCCGAAGCAATCAACAACATTACGTCGAGCAGTTTGTGAGCATGGCATTGGATTAGCTTTGTCAGTGGACTTCACATTAAGGATTTGCACACCTATAATGGAAACGACTCCAATACCACCTGAAGCATAATCTTCACAACCATCACGACCAGACATAACTAATTTCTCTTTTAATTCCAAAAATCTTGATGGCTTGATGCAGATGAGATTTCCCCTTAACTATTGTTGTACCGCGGTCAACAAAATGGTTCAGAATTTGAAATTCCTTCTTCAGCCAATCTTTTGCAAGTCTCAACTTTGTGGATGCAAGGAAATTTTTTTCTCTTCAGTATCATTGCAAATCTTGCATTCATGAGCAGCAGCCATTGACTTTTCTGAATTGCAAGAACTCCTTGAATGAGTATTGAGTTCATCATTATCTAGATGGCAGAATTCTTCACGTCGCCGACGTCACAAAAGGGCTTCTCCATGGCTTCAAGTGCGGAGTCGGGCATGGTATTGTGGGAACTGAGCGGGTCCGGGAGTGGGGCAGGACCGTGGTCATGTGGAGTGGCAGCGGTGGTTGCTTCTTCTGGTTCAACAACAACTTTAAGATCATGCTGGAGTGGTGTCGGTTGCACGGACTTGTTGGGGAAGCAAAAGGAGAATGCTGGGATGACCAAATTCGGAGCGAGCAGCGATGGCGGAGTGGCATCGGCGGTTGTTTCGTCGGTTAGAGAATTGCAGGTCGAGTGTTGCGGATGTGGCAAATTGTGCTGGAGTTGTTGGGGATCGCAGATCTTATTGATATTGAACTCTAGGTTTGTGACATTCCGGCAATGGAAAAATATCAGAGGAATGGGGCTAGCTGATGTCGGAGGAATGGAGCTAGCTGATGTCGGAGGAACAGAATTGTGGGCGTTGGTCTGCTCGCGAGACGAAGCGGGATTGCGGTCCTGGTCACGAGACAATGCGGAGGCAGAATCATGGGTGATGGAATGGGGTCAGAGCAGAGGCGAGTCGCGAACGAAGGCCGTGGGTTGATTGTGGACTAAATGGTCGGGCATGGGATTCCGCCAATTGAGCGAAAGTTCAAGTGGATGATAGTGGGGCGGCGGATCTTGCCATTGGAGTGGAAGTTGGAGCGAAGGACAATCATCTTCTTCGTCGTCGACCGCCCATCACCTTTAGTGTCGATCGTCGTCAACCGTCCATCTCCTTCAGCGACGATCGTCGTCGACCGCCCATCTCCTTCAGCATCAATCTTCGTCGACCGTTCATCTTATTCGGCGTCGATCTTCTTCGACCGCCCAATTTCTTCGGCTTCGATTTTCATCAACAACCCACCTTCTTATGTAGTTCATCGTTCTTCGCAAGCTCCAGGCTCTGATACCAAAGATGTGGGGAGATAATCGTTGGATCGTTGGAAGAAGAGGATGCTTGAAGGATTTCCAAGAACAAGAAAACAAACCAAGCACTAAGCTTCAATTCATATAATGCTCATCAATGATCTCAACTCTCCTCACATCATACTATATATAAGAATTAGGTAGAAAACTAGAGAAAACTAGGAAGTTCTAGAATCCTATAACAAGCTTGTAACAAACTAAATAATATACGTCCAAGGAACGATTTAAGCTAAAATGCTCTGTATCAATTTATAATATTTAAAGACTTCTATCATTATCCCATTCATTATCCTTATCCTAATTATGCAGAGTTAGATCTAAAGAACCCTACTACTTTATTTCTATTGAGTGCAATCTAAGGTGTTAATACTATTTTGCATAAATCATTGTATACAATTTCTTTCGATGTTATATTTGGCCTGCTACTTTTCTGATGTGAAACGTACAAGCATGGATGATTAAATTAAGGAAGTTTGCACGCTTAAATTTTAAAGCACAATAGTTATAAGCTTCAATACCTCACATTACTTCTATCTACCATCTTATTGCTGCATCTTTAAACCTCAATTTTAAATGAGAACTCACCAAAATTATTATCTATTATCATATATTAAATAGATGGTACTCCCACAATCTTTTCAATATGTAATCATTTATAACTCTATCCTTATCAGTATTACTACATGCCCACTCAACTTAGATATCAGCAATTTCTTCAAGACTCAATAGGCAACTTAGGTTTCCAAGTACTTTGAACGGGCCCACAAGCCTATGAACCCAACCCTCTATAATATTTGATGGGTGAGCACTAATAAGTGTATCGGTTTAGTGTCATGTCCTTCCCAAGTACCATGCAACAAGGATGTTAAGAGGTTGACCAAAATCGTGAAGTATACAACTCAGTTCAATTTAGGCTTCGTTTGGGACAGCTTTCTTACTGCTGTTTAAACCAGCTTTATTGTACAAAAAATAAAAATTTTGAACTAGAAAGTTGCTTTATAAAGCAGTAAAAAAGTCATCCCAAACGAAACCTTAGTCTACTCATCAAATGAATTATACTCATAAGGGATCAACCTCCATATTAGATTTACCACATCAAATCCTTTATTCAAGTGGATCCAACTTGTCTAATATGGCATGCTCGTGAGGCCCTGAGTTTCTAGTCATTTGATATTAAAATATTCATCAAGGAAGACTACACAGATGAAGGAAAAACTAACTACTCGACAATCGTTAAAATAAATAAGAAAACTATTTGGATAGTAATACCATGCAATTGAAGGGAACATAGTACTCAACCTTATGGCTTACATAACAAAAGATTCCAAAAAGGGTTGCATGCATTGACCCTCTCAACCCAAGGGTCATTAAGAAATTAAATGATTCCTTAATAGGTCGGTCTCCTCCCAGCTCAGCAACACCATCAATGCTCATTATCAACTACTCACGTGGAGATGTAAATAATGAGAGTGAGTATAACACATACCAAATTATTAACAACAGTGCAATGCAAGGATTAGCCTCAATATGTAACATAAAAAGTTCATCAAACAAAGAAACATGACTTCAAACAAGTATCGAATCAATAGTCTTACGCACAATACATGAAAACTTCAACCATTTCAAACAAGAAAATTTTCTTATTTACCAAATTCTTTCAATATTCCATGCAATGTTATTGGAGGTTATGCCACCTCCAAACATTTCCATTTGATTGTAAGGTCACACCACCCTATCATAGATGTTATCCACTTCCATGTTCAACTAATTTTGTTGAAAACTTCATATCAAGCGTGTATCTCATCACACGCACAAACTTGCATATTATACAAAAGATTTCTAAGGATTTCTAAGAGATTAATTGTACAAAATTTGATAGTAGCCAACAACCAAAGATCATACTCAAACTCGAGGTAGAAGAGATCTAAGAAATAGTAATGAGTCCATTTATCATTGAGGTCTAACAACACCCAAGAACTTTCACGTTCTGCTAAGAGTCAACTAATGAGTCCATTTATCATTTAAAAGTTCCATCATATCCCTTCCCATTTGTCACTGAGCAACTAAAAATTAAAATAAAATTAATATTAGAGGTATGACTTGTAGAAAAGCAGAGAGAAATATCCTATCAGCAAGACAAAGTTACAATAGTAAACTAAGAGCAACTTAGAAGGCAACAAAGGAATTCCATTCATTCTCATTGAAATGCTTGCTACAGTAATTGGAGTATATATAGAGCATATGTATGCACGTGAGTGTGGTACACATTTTGTTATGCCATTTGGAGTTTGTCATGTCAGGGAATATTCTGATGTTAGTGGAAGGTTATGCTAATAAGTAATAACTCATACCAAATTATTAACAACAGTGCAATGCACGTATTAGCCTCAATATATAACATAAAAAGTTCATCAAATAAAGAAACATGGCTTCAAAGAAGTATCGAATCAATAGTCTTTCGCACCATAAATGAAAACTGCAACCATTTCAAATATGAAAATTTTCTTATTTACCAAACTCTTTCAATATTCCATGCAATGTTATTGGAGGTTACACCACTTCCAAACATTTCCATTTGATTGTAAGGTCACACCACCCTATCATAGATGTTATCCACCTCCATGTTCAACTAATTTTGTTGAAAGCTTCATATCAAGCGTGTATCTCATCACAAGCACATACTTGCATATTATACAAAGGATTTCTAAGAGATTAATTGTACAAATTTTGATAGTAGTCAACTACCAAAGATCATAGTCAAACTCGAGGTAGAAGAGTCTAAGAAATAGTAAGCAATACATATGGAAGTAGTCTACCATTAATAAGGTAGGATTCCCCACTTAGAAGAAAGCAAAAAGGGTTGAAAATGGAGTCCCATCTCCTTCTCTCCAGCTTCATCATGGCTTCCAGGTGGTTGTCTTCTCACTAGGGTGAATGGAACAACAACTACTATATCTAGACATCTAATTCCTTCAGTTGAGTCAAGAAAGAGAACACAAAGGCTATAAGATAAATAAGTGGCCCTCATCCAAATACTTCAGGGATCATTATCAACTTTCAACCATCATGGACATGCTACTCACTAATTGATTAGCTTTAGCCCGTTTCCTGTATCGCAATAAGGAGGGTTGAATCCTAGAAAAAATAACACCTTTATTTATACCACAATCAGCAAAGATCTACGATCAATCAGAAACCAAACTACAAAACAATAGTAACCCAAGCTTAATCAAAGAAAACCAGAAAGCAAATTAAAATATATTGGTTTGTAATCACAATTCAGTCTACAAACAGCATAAACAAAATATTAAATTATGAGCAATATAAGTAGGGGCCAAAATAAGAAAAAAAAAAAGAACTTAGAAACAGAAGGATAACAATAGAATCACCAGATCCACAAAAAAGTAGAGAGAATTACCGCACACCAGCATCGCCGACGATCCCAATGGCCATTCCGGCGGATAATCCGGCCAGGCCGCATGAAAGGCCGGAAGAGAGATGAGCATATCCGTCGAAGAGGTAATACGACTTTGCCTTGGGATTTATTCCCGTGCTAATAATAACCGCAATGATCAAACCGTAGATCCCGAGAACTCCGGCCATAACAACAGGGACGATCGACTTCATGACAAGCTCCGGCCGCATCACACCCATCGAGGCCACGCCGACACCGCTCTTCGCCGTCCCATAAGCCGCCCCCATGCCTGAAAATAGATAACAACATAATATAAAAAAAAGTAGTTGGAATCAGATAAAGGCCTGTAATAAGTGAGATCGGTCGGAGAGAGATTACAGGAGAATACGAGCGCTGCGGCGGCGCCGAGGAATCCGAAGAAGGGAGCAGTTTCATCGCCGCTAAAGCCTGCCATTTGCGTAAAACTTCAAGCTTTTTTCCCTGAAGCCCTGACCTTTTTTTTAGATACAGGAAAAGAGGAAGGTGGAGGAAACTAATAAAAAAAGGAGAGATTTTTTTCGAGGAATTGGGGAGGGAAGCCACGACACGAGGCTACGGTAATGAATGGTCAGCGGCTATTTCATCTAATCTCTTATAGAAGAATAAGATATTTTATTAATCGTCAAATAAATTATTTTTAATAAAATTTGTAGGATATATTATATTATATACACATTTTTAAATATTTAGATATAGATCATTTATTTTATTTATTTAAATATATGATATCTTATATCTTAATTACATCATAAATTTTTTATATTAAGAAATTAATAATAATAATTTTTTAATATAATTTAAATATGTAAATGTGATATAAATAAATGCAAAATTTTAGATAAAATATAATTATATAACAGTTCTTTTATATTAGAGTTAATCATTAGTATCCAACTTATTTATGACGGTGGGCGTCAATTTTATGAACAATTATTACGTCCTCTGACCGGACGTAGAGCTACGTTCGACCGCCAATAGCATGTCGCCTTTACCGCGCGGCCCGACGACTTGACCCGGACAGGAAACTAGGATTGCTATGTTCGCGTATTGCGAGGTATTACTCAGTATTACTAGGTATTGCTTGGCAATAACGAGAAATACCGTTATGTGAAGACCAATACCGAGCAATACCGAGTTGTACCGAGTTTTTCTAGAAAAACTCGGTACAACTCGGTATTGGTTATTGCCGAGCAAAAGCGACCAATATCTAGCAATACCGAGCAATACCTAGCAAAATCGAGAAACATCGAGCCATCCTGGGTCTGTTCCGGGTCGGGTTGTCGGGGCGCACGGTAAATAGTGAGAACGCGTGGCGCGATTCTACTGGTGGCCGAACGTAGATCTACGTCCTGTGACCGAACCAAATAAAAGTTCCAATTTTAGAAACGATGATACTCAATGAAAGTTAGTTAGTAAGCCTTTTTATTTCCTCTATAAGTGTTTGAGAAAACTCTTTTTGATCTCCATAAATGCCTGGAAGTAAATCCTATTTATACAACTAATAAATATATATATATGATTATCCAAGTCATTTCAACTAAAAAATAGAATACTCCAAATAAATTGTGTTATTCTCATTGATCATATGATATTTTTAGGTATTTTAGAGTGACAATGACATCCAAATGAAATGTAAAATTTCTCTTATGACGACTTCCATTTTGATTTTGATTGTAAGTATGCAAAAAAAAAAAAAAGAAGGTTTAATCACTTTAAAGTAATTAGAAAATTTCTCTTCTGACAACTTCCAGCGTCTCAAGTACTTTATTCAAGCACATTTAGAAAGCTGTTTTAAGAAGTAGTAAGAAATCCGTACCAAACAAAGCCTTAATTTCTTATAAACTTTTAGGCTTTGTTTCAAACATGTTTCTTACTGCTTTGCAAAACTATTACAAAGAAATTAAAATCTTAAATATGCTATAGGAAATAATTTTTTAATACAATATTTTTTTCAAAGCATCAAAATATTAGTGGCAAAATAGAAATTGTGGTTTCAATCTAAAAGAGAAAGCAATAAGAAAGATATCTCAAACAAAGCTTTAGTATTATTAGGTTCATTTCATCAAGAGCATTTTCGGCTATAAATTTATTAAAAAATAAAAATTCATTTGGGACAGATTTCTTGATATTTTTAAAGTAATTTTTTGATGAAAAAAAATTTTAACTAAATTTTTTTGTATTAAAAAGTTACTTTAAAAGTAGTGATATATCATCAAAAAATTACCTTGCTCGAGCACGAATCTTGTAGCAAAATCAACTTGAAAACTTCAAAAATTATATCGGAGACCATCTGAACTCTGATTTTAGCAAACTTATAGTCGAACTGAATGTCTCCGAAATATGAACCCAACGACATCACATTCGACTCAACCCAAGCTCAAATAGGTCCAAATCAAAGACCTAAAGCGCTTTTGGAAGGTTCAAACTACAATTTGGATTACCAAACAGTTTTTAAATTAGACATGCTTATAGTCGAATTGAAGCGACTTGACGAGATGAATCCAACAAGCCCAAGATCATCAAATTTTTATAACATTATGACAATCAAAGGTCCATTGAACGATGCATGATAGTAGAAATCAAGATCATCCATCTATCCGAACCAGTCCTAATTTACTCTTGATCTTCCACTTATTTACAATCCATGCCACTCAAAAATTCTATAAATAATACCCCATTTCCTCTTGAAAAAGGGGGGAGGAGCCAAGAGAGAAGAAAGAAAAGGAGCAAGAAAGTTCTAGCCACCTAGCTCCTCCTTGACCACCACCGGAGTCCTGCCGCACCACCGCCGGGGAAGAGCCAAGAGAGAAGAAGGAAGAGTAGGAAGAAAGCTCCAGCCACCTAGCTCCTCCTCAACCACCGTCGGAGTTCTGCCGCACCATCGCCGGGGAATATCCAAGAGAGAAAAAAGAAGAGGAGGAAGAAAGCTCCAGCCGCCTAGCTCCTCTCCGACCACCGATGGAGTTCTGCAGAACCACCGCTGGAGTAGAGCAAAGAGAGAAGAAGGAAGAGGAAGAAGAAAACTCCAGCCGCCTAGCTCCTCCTTGACCACCGCCGAGTTTTTTCGCATCACCACCAGGTTCTGTAACCACCACCAGACCATCCAAGGTCGTCGAAGTGCCACCCAAAGCTGGAGTGCCCCCTGATGCTGAAGTGCTACTGTCGGACCACCACCTGATACCAGAGTGCTGTCAGACCATAACCTGAGGCTCGGACTTTTGTCGGACCACTACTTGATGATCAGAGTTCTGTTGGAGTATCACCCTACTACTACGATCTTTTTTACCATAGACTCCTGCCAACTACAATCTTTCTAACCCCAGTCATTTGTAGACTATGGTCCTTTCGACCTCTGACGTTTATTATGATCCTTCCAACCTCCATTGTCAGACAATGATCTTTCTGACCCCATTCACTTACCGACCATGTGACAACCCAAATATCAATAGTGAAATGATTCATCTGACATTCTTTTTTTTTTTCTTTCTTTTCGTTCAGATCAATACAGACATCCATAGATAATTGCATTAAAGAAAAGAAATACAGCAACTACTATAATTCACGTTTCAACATATATACAGTCAAAAGGAGCGTCCAAAAGAATATACACAATAGCCATACAGCTACAAAACAAATGCCTGCCAAAGGCTACAAAAAAAAAAACAAAACTACACTAGTGACCGAAGAATCTTCACGCGGGAGGCTCTGCACCTGAAATCATTAACCACATATAATGAGCTTAAATAGCCCAGCAGGTCACCAAAGCCTACAACTGAAAAAAGCACGATAGAAGCAATATGTAGGTCAATCAAATCAAATTAAATCAATCAGTCGCACATGATCAATGAGTCGATGCAAATACGGAAATTAATACAGAACAGAAATCAATAAAATCAGTGAACAGTAGGAAATCCATAAAGCTCAAGAAATCAATGCGTACATCAAATCTCTACATTATCTATCATAGCAGTCAATAACATCAGTTACATCAATATAGTCGTCTAGCCATCTTATCTCTCGTATCAGTCTATAGCATCAGTCAAATCAATAGAATAGAATCGTATTAGGACACACACTTGCAAATCGATCAGTTGTTCAATATCACTTACTCCCTGTCAGTACGGCAGCGTATGTATCCATATCCACAACGAGAACAATCCAATGACGACAACGAATGATGCTACAACAGTGAAATCGCATCAATCAAATCAGTAAAGCAATTACTTCCGGTCAATAATATCAATCGGCATAGAGTCCCATAAAACAATCAAATCAATACATCGTGAGAGCAGTTGAAATTAAATCAATATAATCGGCAAATACAATTGAAAGCAATCGATGCAATAACAATCAAATCAATAAGCAATCAACCCAAATCAATCAATAGTATCCATGAATCCATAATATCGATGAATCAATAATATCGGTATTTGTATCCATGAATCAATACAATATCCATATCTATACAGTATCTATAACAGTAGCAATGCGCAATGACATAATATAAATATCAATGAAATCGTACGATAACAGTAAGTCCGTAAATCCGTTAGTAAATCCATTCAATAATAAATCGATTCAATACAATAAATCCATCGATATCAATCATGCGTAGGGTAATCAATAAATCAATCAGAAATCAATATATACAATACAATAGTCTTACTGAACAAGTACAATCACTGGCTATTAAGGCGTTTTTCAAGTCGATAATCCATAGTGCTGTTGTAGATATCTATCCATTGGTTCAATAAGAGTCGTCACTCTGTGCCCGTCGGCATAGTAATCTCCTTATGACTCCCAATCGTTATATCTATGATCAATAGAGGATAACACCAAACCCTTTTTAAAGGAAAGCCCGTCGGCCCACCATCTTGTACAGGTCAAGTCGATCTCCAACCAACGGTTCAACCAGTCTTCACTTGTCTTTCAGTAACAATAATCAAATAGTCACATTCATATGCATTCAAATCATCAATTTCAGAAAATCGGAAATCGTACGAAAATCCAGTGGCATAACGGCAGTATAAGAAATTTAGTCAATTTACACAAAAATTCACTAAATCAGAATTTCACCAAATTACCACATAACATTCACAACAACATTATAAGACTTTTATTCTACTGAAGCAACACAAATCAACAACCTGATATTTATCTATTCAATCAAAATCGCACAGAACCCAAAATAACCGGTAGAATCGTTATAGAAAATACTCAAAATATGTAGAAAAATCATATCAATAACATATCAAAAGTTGTGCGGTGAAAGTTTTGTCAATACAAAATACAGCGCGTTTTTCGGTAACGAAAACACAAATCTGTGCACAAAACGACCAAAACTCAATATCTTCGAAAACAGAAATAGGATTCGGAGTCCTTACAGCGAGATAAACTAATTGCTCAACAGCGGCGACGGACGAAAAGCGCTCCGCGGCCTTCGAAATCCGGCTTTTCCTTTGCTTTTCTTCTCTTTCTCTCTCCTCAGATATTTTGATTTTATAAAAATGAAATTTCTCTCTCCTCAAATCGAGCTGATTTCCTTATAAAATAAGTCTGATCGTCCCGGCCGATCGCCACATCGTCCAAGACGATATGAACAAATTTCAATCGTCTAGGACGATTTCGCAGGACGATAATTAATTTCTTGGACGATTTGCTCTCTGACTTGTGCCATGCTCTGATCGTCCCAGGACGATCCACTTCCAGAAAATCAGTTGTTTCACTGCAGTGATCGTCCTGGACGATCTCAATATCGTCCCGGACGATCCTGGGAGGAAAAATCAAATCCAGAAAGGAACAAATCAAAGGAACGAGCTCTCACAGACCACAATCCTTCCGACCTCCGTCGCCCACTATAGTCCTTCCAACCTCCCTCGCCAGACAACAGTCTTTCTGACCCTAGTCTCTTGCCGACTACGATCCTTCTGACTTGCATCGCCTACTACTATCCTTCCGACCTCCTTCGCCATACAACAGTCTTTCTGACCCTAGTCTCCTGTTGAATACGATCCTTCTGACTTGCCTCGTCATAGAATGATCTTTCTGACCCTAGTCTCATGCCGACTACGATCCTTTTGACATACATCATCTACTACGGTCCTTCTGACCTCCCTTGCCACAATGGTCTTTCTGACCTCAGTCTCCTGCCGACTACGGTCATTCCGACCTCCCTTGCTAGACAATAATCTTTATGACCCCAATCTCCTGCCGACTACGATCCTTCCAACCTCCGTCGCCTGATACGGTAACCTCCCTCGCCAACTATGGTCTTTCTGACCTCAGTCTTCTACCGATTATGGTACTTCAAACTTCTGTCGCCTACTACGGTCTTTCCAATCTCTATCCAATCGACTATGGTACTGTCAACCAAACAAATATGTCTATATTGATTATTGTAACTCCTACCATATAATGCGCTATATATGATGTACATTTATGACATCAAGTCAAGGCCTTCTCCCAAGGAAGGGTCTCATTTGTAATCAATTGCAAAGACTAGTTGATTCATTTAAACTGGGCCTCACCCCGTGGGTTTTCCCCTTTTTCAGGGGTTTCCACGTAAAAACTATAGTGTCTCTTATAAATACTGCACCCTCTCTCTTTCATCTGTTTGTGTGCTGGATCTTTGTACAATGCTAAGACGTTAAACTATATACTTCTCTACCGCCACAAATATTTCAGGACACAACAAGTAGTAAAAAAACTTACCCAAATAAAGCCTAAGTTTGAAGCATTCAAATACACATAAAAATTCGCGCTTGATAGATTGAATTTTTTAGTGATATATCTACTCCCTTTATTAATTAGTCTAATTGCATCTTGATTAGAGTTAATGACCAACTAATCTTGATTTGAGTTCAGTTCAATTAAAGTTTTTATTTAGTATTGATATGTATTGAATAAATGAGCTGTTAGTTTATTAAATTGATACATATATTTTAATATCAAGATTCTCAGTTCCTATTTCAACTACATCAATAAATCTCCACCCCTCACATGAAAAATCATACATATACATACATTTTAACTTGCTCAAATAAATCTGATCCTTAAGCCAGTTTAATTTGAGTTCATTATAAGTTTAATATGCATGTATTGTCGGCTTAATTAAGGCTTCGTTTGGGACGGCTTTCTAATGTTTTTTAAAGCAACTTTTTAGTATAAAAATAAAAAAAAATTATATTAAAAAATTACTTTAAAAAGCAATAAAAAAACTGTCTCAAACAAAAGCCTAAATAAAAACCAAAAATCTAATTAAAACTAAAGAACAAATTAAAATGACATAACTTCTAATGTTTGTATGTTATGATTTTCTAATTACTTTACTTTTCAAATCATAATCCCAACTTACATTTGGGTACTGCTTTTTCATTATTAAAAAAAATTATACTAAAAATTTATTTTTACAATAATTAAAAAATAATAATTTTCACACAACAATTTTACAATATTTTTATAAAAAAATTATAGCCATTGCTAACAACCATTGGACTCTGATTATTGAACCACCTTACAATGAAATTTGCATCGAATAGAATGACTTCCTACTGATGTTGAACTAAATTCAGATCAACTCAAAAGTTGCACCCACTAATATAATTTTATAAGATAAAATACATATTTTCATGTAGAGATTTTAATATTTTTAAAATGTTAAAAAATTATATAAATAAATATAAAAGATTTAGACACTACATGCATGAATAGTAAAGAAGCAGGCAGCAAGATTAAGAAGGCTCTACATACCCTCTCGGTGCACTTTGGGCTTAAGAGGAAAAGTAACTTTTGTTAGATCATCTCTAGGCAAACGCCTAACACTTCTTAGATGTCCGATGTCCGTCATTTGCTCCAGCTGAGCGCCGAAAAAATGGCATTAATGCGACGGTTCGCATTGCACTGTTCACATGCTATTTTTTTACTTCAAAATTTAGGTTTGTTTCGGGTTGAAAGATTTGTGGCGATAGAATGAGTAAACTTTTCATCTTAGTGATACACAGATGTCCAACACACAAACAAAAAGAGAAGTAAACCACCCAATCTTTTTTATGTGAAAAAAATCGGGTGTTTTATTTCTCTTTCAATGCACAGATATCCAACATACAAACAAGATTATTGATTTTAATTTTTTAAGTGTAAAATTTTTTAGTAATAATTCAAAAAAAATTATTTATAAACACATTATTTTTTAGAATTTAAAATTTTTTTTTTTAATGTTAGAAAATAATATTCCGTTGAAGTAAAGTTACTGTATTTTGGAGTTAAAATTGAGTTTTTGGGTTGGAGATGGCCTTATACAGCAGATATTGTAATCATGTTATAGTGTAAAAAATCCTTTGTAGATGCCGACCATATGTGCCATTCTAATTTCATAGTGATGGAGCTCTAGTTGATCAAGAAAACTAATGTATCTCCATATTTGAATTGCATATCATACGGGCTTTGCCTTTTATGTGCTGATATATTGTATAGATCATACCCTGGACCTTCGTAAGTATACCATTATTCCAATGCCAGTTAGTACAACTGCGCTTGCAAAAATGCCAGATTTGAAGGAGGATGCCCATTCACTTGTTTGCAACACTTCTGCATTTAAAGCAGGCTTTGCTGCTTCAGTTTTGGTTCTCCTGCTTTCAATATGCAATCTTAGAACCTGGAAAAAAAGGAATCAATGGTCAGCAATTGTTAATTAAGGATCTGCAGCTGCTTGTAAAAAAACAATTGTAGAATTATTTTACGAGATTGACAATTCATAGGAGATACAGAAAGATAGTAAGGCCATAACTAGCCACATAAATGGTAAAGAGCAAAGAATAAGGTTTGCCGAATCATTCTACTATAAACATGGCAGCCTGCAATGACCGCAAAGAGTAAATAGCGGTGGACGGCCGACCATAAGCATGCTATCAGGTGGACAGCCATGTGAGGATGTCGAACGTCATCCAAAGACCAATCATAATGCGCCATTTCACCCCCTGCTTGGTACCCAGCTCGGTACTGCTGACGTGACGCATTCTGGTTGGTCTCCGGACGGTAAACTGCGTTCGGCGTCCGCATATAATAATTTCTTCTGAAGCCGGCCTTTTATGGAAGATGGACACTCAGGTGAAAGGAAGAGATGCCAGCAAGCATTTAGGGAATAGCTGGCGCTGGTTGGGAAGGTGCAGAGGAGACGCATTGAACGCTGAGAAAATAAATGCTGGAAGATGCAATAAGGGCATCTCCAACCGAAAATCCCATTTTTCACTCCAAAATGCAGTGAAACTAAAAAATGTTGTGATTCATCTCCAAACGAACTCTATTTTGCACGCTTCTGCAAAGGTAATTGTCCTCTCCTCTTTCACGCGTTTCTTCGGCAAATCCGGTTGAGATAGAAAAATCGCGTAGGTGAACAATGTCCACCGATTAGCGATCTTTTTGCCGTTCGAATGGAGCAAACGAACTATGCCTTATAGTCGTTTGGGGTTCGGCTGGAGACGCCCTAAGCGTGGTGGCTGCACGCTGGCTGGAGTATTTTTAGAATTTCCATACCATTTCTCAAACTCGGAATATATACTTAATGATTTTTTGCTAGGAAGTAAAATTTTCAAATTGTGATTAATCAAGAGCTTTATTAAGAATATCTACAATCTACAATCTGAAGTTTTGTTGGAGCGTAATAGTCGAATGAATCCTCGAAAAAATTTCTTCTTTTCAGACTGTCAGATTATTTTCTACATACGTCGTTTGATCAAGCTGGATAGGATTCTTATCAATATTAACAGTTTGATTGTCACGTCTCATCATAGGTTAAGTGGTGAAACTTATTAAATCTTTAAGAAGACATTCTAGCCACATGCCTTCATAAATACCACGGGTCATCACCCTGAATTTTGCTTCAGCATAACTACCAGAAACCATATACAAACCTTTTCGAGATATCTTAGCATTCTGTATACGGCGTCAAAATGCTCCTGCATGGGATTATACATAAACTGGCTAACAATGCTAACAGAAAAATAAATTTAAGAATAAATAGTTTAGTCTTCCTATTAATTGTTGGTACCTTACTTTATCAATTGAGGTAAAATCTCTCTTCGCGTCAACTTTTTTTGTGAATTGAACAGCATGTTTTTGTGATTCCCCTAGAACCGAACCGAACAAACCAGCCCAAGCAAGGTGCCCCCCCCCACACACACACACAAAAAGGGGTAGAAATCAAAGAAAGAGAGGGAGTCGGCAAAGGCTTTAGGAAAGAATTTTGAAATTGGTTTATGTTAGGAAATTGTTTATTAGGAAGAATTGTATTTAAAGAACATGGGAGGCTAGCGTTCGGGCATGCATGATTTGAGTTATTTTCTTGGAGTTCCCTTAGGGTTTTGGGCTCTAGATCCATCATCTAGAGATTGGGAGAGAACGATCCTCCTCTCAAATTGAGGATCAATTGTACATTTGATTCATTTTGTTTCGCTTTGCTTTATATAAAACTATCTATCGTTTGATTGTTTTTTCAACATATTTTGTTCCATTTTTCTCCCTGTTTTACCGATTATTGTTAGGTTTGCTTGCAAACTCAAGTATTTCCCATTAGGATTACTTGCGAACTCAAGTATTTCCTATCACGTGTTTATAGTTTTACACCCATGTGTACCAATATCTTTTTTTAGTAATCCATTCAGTATTTTTGTACCAAGATAAATATCTGTTTCTTTTATCTTGCTATTTCTATGCATGGGAGAACTTCAATAAACCAAGATCCTTTATTTTTAAAACTACAGCTAGGACACCTTTCATCTTGTTTATTCTAATTCATGATTTCGTGTTAAGATGATATCATCACAATCAAGAGAGAAATTTTACCTTTAGATGATTTTTGGTAAATAAGATATAATCATATGTGCCTTTTAATCATCATGTGTTGAGCCAAGCTTTTGGTGATTATTTCAACCTATATACTAATTTCTTGAGCCCGCATACGTTGTTCATATTTGTCATACTCTCAAATCAGCAAGTTGTTAAATAGGCTTCATCTCCGAAATCACCATTTAGAAAATCATTTTTGACATCTAGTTGATTGAGTTGTCAAACTAAATAAGTAACAAGAGAGAAATGTTTTGATAGTATTCATTCTAGTAGTTGGGGCAAAGATTTCTTGATAGTTAATTCCATAGGTTTGAGTGAAATACTTTTGTCACTAACCTTGTTTTGTATTGGTCAACACATGCAACAGCTTTGTATTTCATATTGAGATCCACTAGCATCCAACAGATAGTTTCTCTTTGGGAAGATCTAAAAGATTCCACAAACCGTTTCTTTCAAGGATCTGTATTCTTAATGAATAACATTTTTCCATTTAAGTTCTTTTAATGTTTTTTGAATGTGGCTTGAAATTTCTATGATATAAAGACTTGTAGTAAAGGCATAAAATTTTAAAGATAGTTTATGGCAAGTAATATAATGAAATAATAAATGATTGGATGATCAGAACAACTTCTTATGATTTTCCTACAAATAGTAATAGACACGTTTAGATCATTATCAAAATCAATATAACGTTATACTTTTTGAACGATGTTAGGACATGACTAAGGCATTGGGTTTAGCTCTAGTTAGTTAAATTGTCCCGACATCTGGAGTAGAAAACCCCATTATACCTTGCTAGCATTTGAACTTCTAAAGGTCGAGGTTTAAATGAGTGAGATTCAAATAGATTTCGAAGATGCATTGTACCAGATACTAAGAAGATAGACATATATCTTCATTAAATTCCTATTCACAGAAAAAATGAATGTTCTCCCCTTGAATTCAAGTTTTTGGATAAGAATAATTGATTTTTGAAAAAGATTTCCTCCGTGTGGTGCAGTATTTTTTAGTGCTGGGAGAATAACATTTTCATCATTATTGAAGATAAGCGTAGTAGTAAAAATTTCAACTTTGCATTCACCGGCACAGAGGCCATTGACATTGTCATGGAAACCATGGCTTATATCCTGGGAGCACTTCAGAGGGTCAATAGAGGTATGGCATTATGCTTCTAAACAGACTAAAATTATTCCAAGTCAAGTCAGCAGAAAATTTTGAAGTCGAACAAGGAAAAGCTCCAATTTTTTCCGTCTTCCTTGTTTCCTTTTTTTATGTCATCATTAATGCAGTTTTAATGAAACTGTAAAGTTACACCCAGGCATGATAATAGTAGAAGTAAGAAGAACTAACCTTCCAACCAGCTAATCTGGCTTGGCTAACAGCTCCAACAAGATCAACATCTGCTGTGAGTAAAATTTTGTCACGTTCATCATCTTCATACTGCATGAAATTGAACAGCACTTGTTGAAAGAAAATATCATTGACTAACAGCAGGAGGATGGGGGAGTAAATCAAACGAAAAGTTAATAATCACACCAACAGTTGAATATCATCTTTATTATCATCGCCAAGCCCCATTCTCTGCAATACAGTAGCAACAAGCTCAGCTAGACTCTCGGTACCTAAAAAAACAAGAAAAGGGCATTTATTGCACATAAAGTAGGATGTTACTTCACATAAAACTAACATGGTTAACAAACTAACCACAATTGAATCTATGCATTTGTCCCTTCTGGTCCTCAAACTTATAGGAAAATGAATTCCCTGCAACAGGAGGATACATCGATCTTCCAGTATCTGTATGCTCGGATGCCATCATACCAGATAGTTCACTGTAAATTACTAGAAAGTACTAAAATGAGAATTAGAGGAATAAAATGGTTAGTTAGCAATGAGAAGCATAGAAAATAATCAAAATGAGACCTTTGTGTATCAAACTCCTCATCAGCTGGCTCAAGAGCAAGCGTGGAATCCCAAAACTTCTGCATCATAGTGTTTGCCATTTCATTTGCCGTATCAGAACTTCCCTCAACCTTCAAGGAGAATTCATAGAAAAGGCTGAATGTTCAGAAAATCTGCCAGCTTGATAAAGAAGATCACGAGAGAATGGGAATATTACTCTTGAAAATGGATCTAGAAATACATAGCTATGCAGCTCATTGCATAATTTTTTCGCAAAAACAATTTACCATAAAATATGTTGCGTTCAACTAAGTTAATTTAGAAGTATTGCTGCATTTTGAGCTAGCACAAAACAAGGTTAATATAACTTTATTTTTAAGGAAAAAGACTATTAATAACGGATGAAAAACAAACCCTACCCTGTGAAACAAAGATTGTGAATATAGGGCCAATAAATATTTAACATAAGAATCAAGGAACACAAAACAATGCTGGAAATGAATATTTTCAAAGAGTAAATTTGCGTGCATTTTGATAATCTTTAAGGAGCGAATTTTGAGAGCAAATAGAGGAAATAAAAACTTCCAGCTCATGAATCAAAGAAAAGAGTAAGGTAAATTCATGTATAATTATGCATTCTCACCATGGAAATCGCAGCATGAGTTATTTGCAAAACATCCAAGCAAGTCACAATCTGTCCGTCTATAGCTTAAAATTGCAAGTCAAATGACAGAAAAATAGATAACCACTTGGTGAACAATAATGTGTAAACAATCACCTCTATCCAACACCGGAAGGTGAAGGAATTTCCCATCATGCATCTTATGAAGAGCATCAAGAATTGTAGTGTCCAGTGTGGCACATTCTGGGTTTGTAGTCATTACCTACAGCAATATTAGACAGCCTTTCTCATAAGCAAGAAAGCCAACAACAAAGAAAATTAGTCCTGAATGTAACAATCAACAGCAATTGACAATTCAAACCATCTTTGTCCACAATGAACAAGGAAGTTACATTCCAATAAATTAATTGATGATTCATTCAAAAAAAATCCACCAGCCAGCTGAACATAATAAATCATTAAGCCTATATGTTGTTCCCATTTAATAATTTCTCAACATAATCCTTTAACCTTGTTTTATTTCATCATTAAGATTCTATAATCTTCACTTCTAATAAACCTAATTTAATCAAAGTCTCTAAAATCACTATTCCTTGCCTTAGCTACATACCAACGTAATCATTAAAAACTCTAACTTTCGCTTTGCATACTTCCCTCATATAAATTTTTTTCTTATAATCAGTGTAAGCATCAATGGTGCTGATTTTTTACAGCCCTAAAAGAATGTTTAATACCTCATAATTCTACCCTTAGGTTATACTACTCGCATACAATCATATTATGAATTCTTTTAAAAATTTTATGGCAAAATTCTCAATAAAAGCAGTTATCTTATACCATATCAAGTTTGGTTTAACTATAGGATTTTAATTTACCTCTCTAAATAACTTATTCAAGATATTAATAGCCTTAAAATAATGTTTAATGCATCCTCATTCTAACTTCAGGTTATATCACTCGCATGCAATCTATTTCTGAATTTTCCTAATAATTTTATGGCATAACACTCAATACAATTAGTCATTTTATGCCAATATCAACTTTGGTTAACTATAGGGTTTAAATTTGCCTCTTCAAATAATTTATTCAAGATATTAACACTCCTCGCCATTCAAGCCATCCTATCTTATAATAAATGAATTATTTGCTTTATTTATACCTCTAAAATATTACTCAATGACAAACTACCCTTGTTCGTTTAAATTTTTTTCCTAATATTATCTCACAACCTTTTGTAAGAAACGTGCTTTTCCCTTCTATGTAAAATTAAAATATTAGTGAACTAACCTGGAAGCTTCGCATGTGAAAGTAACCAAGTGCTCTTCCCAATTCTTCCAGCATAAGTTCATTATCAAAAGATCGGAATTTATTGTGAATATATTAATAGCTTCCCTCATTACATTTTCATCTCCTATTACACACCCCACCATGCATCCTCCTGTCATAACCCACTCTACTAAAAATTATATTTTAATTAAATCACCGCCAATATTTCTCATCTCTTTTTCAATAATATGTGCAATAGTTCATCCATTTCTTCAAAATAATATTTTTTAAAAATTATTTCCTAATCCAACTTAAGAAGTATGAGTCATAAAAATTTATAATGCCATAGCAAATAATTAACTTAGTGACAATCAATATATCACTAATCATATCAACCTTCATAATTTTAACTACCAACTCTTCCTCCATTACTATATCTACATCATTTTTCACCTTTGCACCACACAATAGCCTAAAACCTTCTCAATCTATGAATTGTTCTCATGTTCATTTAGTTTCTTGAAAATCTGTGATATTTATTTGATATATCATCAAAAAATTATCTTGATCGGGCACAAATCTCGAAGCAAAAATCAAATTGGAAACTTCGAAAATTAAATCGGAAACCATTTGAAATTTGATTTCAGCAAACTTATAGTCGAACTGAACGTCTTAGAAATACGAACCCAACGACACCAAATTCAACTCAATCAAAGCCCAAAATAGTTCAAATCAAAGACCCGAAGCACATTCGGAAGGTTCAATCCATAATTTGGATTACCAAACAGTTTCCAAATATGGCTTGTTTTAGACGAATTGAGCGTCTCAACGAGATGAATCCAACGAGCTCAAGATCGTCAAATTCTAATATCATTAGAGCCTTAAAATGTCTGATAAATGATCCACGATCAAGGGATTCAACATCGGCCATTCATTCAAACCACTCCCAATTTACCCCCGATCTTCCTCCTATTTACTGGTCATTCCATCCTCAAAAAATTATAAATAGCCCCTCATTTCTCTTAAGGGGGACCCAAGGAAGAAAACGAGTAAGAAGAGAAGAGAAAAAGAGGAGGGAAGAAGCTCCTCCTCGACCACCGCCGGAGTTTCGCCCAACTTTCAAGTGACGCAGGAGTTCCGCCCGACTTTTAAGTGATGTCGGAGTTCCGTCCAACCACCATGTGATGCTGAAGTTCCGCCCGACTTTTAAGTGACGCCGGAGTTCCGCCCGACTTTCAAGTGTCGCCGGAGTTCCATCCGACCACCAAGTAACGCTGAAGTTTTTCCCGACTTTTAAGTGACGCCGGAGTTCGCCCGACTTTCAAGTGACGTCGAAGTTCCTTCCGACATCCAAGTAACATTAGAACCCTCTCTGACAAACAACGGACACCAGTTTTCTGAAAACAGCATTTTGATATCCATGTGCAACTGACTTTCAACCCGGGAGTTGATTATTGTAATCTGATCCTCCTAAAATTTTAAGGATGAGTCAGCCTATTGTAACTCAAACAAACACTAGTGAAATTCTTTCAACTAGGCGTGGCCTCGTGGTTTTTCCCTTTCCAAGTCTTTCCACGTCAAAACTCCTGTGTTTTATATCTTTTATGTTTGTGTGTTGGATATTCATACAACGCTGAGACGAAAAATTCTAACTCTATCCCCGCGTATATTCTAGCCCGCAACATTATTATGTTTCAAATAGTTGTGCCAACAAATTTCAAACTCCTGCCATTCCAAGGCCACAAATTCCATAAAGAAAACTTAATCATAGAATTAATAAATATTAGCATATTTTCTATAATTGGGTTAAGCAATAGGCATTACTTGCAGGTTAAAAACATCATTGGATTAAATTGTAGAACGTCACATTCAAACATACCTTATCTACTTCTAACCACGATAAAAATAGGTCAAAATAGCATACTGTCTCTAGGAAGCATACTAGTAAATTATAAATGATAAATGCATAACTCTCTTAGAGAATCAAGTATCAACCAAAATAACAAACTTGTGTGCACCTGTGATGGTTAAAGAAAGAAAAAATGATAAAATATAAATGAATCCATGTACAAAATATTATATCTCCGATGACAACTAACCTTCTCTACCAAAGTTAGTTCAGGAGGAAGGTCTTGTGCAACCACTCGCATAAGAACATCCTTTGATCTGAAAAAGTATAGTGGAGCAGACAGCAGTATAAGGCAAGGGCTGTTCTCCAATAAGACAGCTTGGAGTAATTAAAAAATAAATCTGAAAAGAAAAATCAAACGGCATACGTAAGGATTCCCTGAGGCTTGTTTTCTGTAACCGCAATCACCGAATTAACTCGAAATTCACGCATCTTTTTGGCAGCAACAATAACAGGGTCAGAAGGAGATACAACTGCAACTCTGCGAGTGAAGATAGTTGAAAGAATAAGAGGTGGTTACGTCAAGAAAAAAAAATATATATATATTTTGGAACTAATTTCACAAAAAAGCCAGACAAGTTCATGAAACGTGTACTTTGAGTTCTCAGTGACAATAGTTGACAAAGAAGGTTTAAACATTCTTTCCCGAAGAGTTTCTATGAAAGCAGAAGGAGCTGCAGCAAAAATTGGAAAAGAAAATTAGCATTGAATAAAATGAACTACATAGTTAACCATATTAAAAACACGCATCAAGATTTATTTAGCATCCTAAAAACAATCATTCTCAGTTAACTGATTAAATAAAACCAGAGCACGTGACAAATGGTATAAGATAATTCAGAAAAGTTAATGTTGATTAAAGTTTACAGTCATCATGACATCTCACGTCATAGAGAATTCAATCACAAAAGCAAACTGCATTGCTTTCCTCGTTTCCAGAAAATGAAGAAATAACTTGGTGGAGGATGATCAAGGTAGCACCTTTAGCCTAATTGATTCTTCTATTTACTCAAACAAACTTCATGTTATCCATTCGAAGAGTATTTTCCAAACTCCCAGAAGACAAATAAAAAAGCAAGCTTGACAATTTAAGAAGGTGGTATCATCTCAGAAAAATATAATTCCATCATTCACCCGATGAAAGTTTCAACATTTCCTTGAGATAAGATAAAGCAATATTCATTTCTGGAGACATTTCCTAGATCTTGAACTAAAATTTGATAAAATAAATCGTGCAAGCATGATATTCATCATATGAATTTATAGTTGAATAAAAAAGCAAAGATAGCACACAAATTACATTGCTCGTTCAATGTACTTAATTCTATCTTTCAGACATTGTCAACCATAAACATGCCAACTGGGAATTTGAAGTGGATTGGCACATCCTCATCATCAACCAAATGGTAAGTAATACATTAAATAACAACTCATTTTTTTACTGACCTAACTCTCTATTATATTGCAGTAAATACAAGATGGAAATACAACAACAACAAGCCTTAATCCCACTACATGAGGCGGCTACATAAATCCTTTTTTCTTCATTGTCCTGTAAATAGTCAAATTCTCATTTAAATCTAATTAAAAATGTCATTTCTAATATTTTCTAACTAAGTATGTTTAGGACCTTAGGTCTACCTCTACCTTTCTTAACATAAGCCAAAACCTAATGCATTTACTTTCCTAACCGGGTCATCGGAAGGTTGATGTTTATGTGACCAAACCATCTAAGGCGACTCTCCAATCTTATCTTCCACCAGAGCTACTCCAATCTTTTCACTTAAATGCAAATTTTGTATCCTGTCTCTAAGACTAACACACTCATCCATCCAAGCATCCTCATCTCTGCAACACTTAATCTTATACTTCTCTTTTAATGGCCAACATTCTACACCAAAAAGCATTGCAATTCTCACCACCATATTATAGAATTTCCCCTTAAGTTTGAGGGTACTTATCTATCACACAACGAGCCCGATACATTCCTCTACTTCAACCATCCAACTTGATTTCTACAAATATAATCCCCATATTTTGCCATGGCTCTGAACAATAGACCCAAGATATTTAAAATGTGTACTCTTATTAATGACTTGATTACCCAAAGTCACAATCCCCCCACTAGATCTATTACTACTAAAATTACACTTCAAAATTATGCAATAATCATTATCATCCAGGCTCTATTCTTGAACAGAAGTAGTTACAAAAACATTGAGTAATTTGAATGCATCTTATTGTTTTATCTAATTTAGAACATTAACTAATTATTATAAGAATATGCTTTATCATGTAAAACCCGAAAATCCTATTTTAGGCTTCGCACGCTTTTCAAAGCGCCGCGACGAGGTTTAAGTGAAATTTTCAAGGTTATCAGAATGCAACGAAATTAATTTTAGAAAATCCTACGCGAAATTCTGATCGTTTTGGTATATAGAAGTTATACCAAATTTTGCCTAATTAAAGAGTTATTATTTTTAGAAGTCCATAAATACCCATTTTACCCTCACTTGTTTCTTAAGACGAATTTACTTAAGTAAGGGCATTTTGGACTTTTAGCAAAACCTAATTCCCTTAATAGGATTAACCGA